TAGGCAACAAGGGGTGCAAAAACAGACTTAACTCAAGACTAATATTGGTCTTATTCCAGGACAGGAATGATCCCAATCCAGAAGATAATGCTCCTGATCCCCAGTTGTTTAGCTTGTTGTGTTTTCCTTCTTCGTTTTTGTCAAGTTTATTTTGTTGCAGATGGAGAGTGCAGTTTCAGCAGTTTCTTCTTTGATTCTACTCGTCTGTTTCCTCTCAGGGTTGTTCCCTGAACTCAGATTTACTATTCCTTTTATACATCCAGAGAGATCTGCTGGTTTTACTTGGTAAAACAAGTATGGTATCGGAAAACCCAGACTCCTGTCTGGAATTGGTTTCTAAAATGGAGTAAATATTTTCTTTTCTTTGAGCTGAGTTTTGAACACCCATCTTCAAATCATTAACCCACTTTCAAACCTCTCGACTACCTGTGACTTTGGAGTTTCAGAAACTTGAGGATCTACTTTTGCTTAATAATCAAGAGACAAGCAGCTGAGTGCAGTGAATGAAACTCATCTCAAAGAGCCAGGATGTTGATTTTGCAGTTTTGTTTTTTGATAAATTGAAAGTAATCTTCTGCAGGTTCCCCCTCTGTCTGATTGTTTTTGTTTTTTTCCAGAAAGACTGCTTCAGACTGATATACTATGATAAGCCACAAGATATCACTGTGCTTGTCTGGTTTAAAGTCTTAGAGCTGCAAATCTTTATCGGAAAGTCCAAACTCATCTTCTGTCTCAAAAGTGTTTTGAACACTGACCTCCCGGTTGCTAGGCAGGGTCTCAGAGCTCTTTGCCATCGGTGAGTCTTAGGTTTGGGGGAACTTGGAGATCTTGTTTCACTTATTTATGATGGAACAAGCTGCCAATGGCACACAACAAAATTACTTTAGACTGCCAGGAAGTCAGTCTTATAGGATTTAAAGTTTCGTCTTTGGAAAGACAAAGTCTGATTTTCCGATTTATTCCATGCCCCGAATCTCTCTGTCTCTGTATTAATGATGAAAAACCAGCGCTGAAGACAGTCGAGTGGAACCATCACCACCTAGGAATGAGGACACCATGGATCGGAACCCGACGTCGGCAAACAAAGGTACAAACACAAAAGTGTGAGAGTGTGTGTGTGAGAGGGGGGGGGGGTATCTAAATTCAAAACCGATAAAACTTGCGTTGCGTTGCGTGCATTTCTCGTCGTGAATTTCCGTTGCGTTCGAATTTCCACCACCCTCGAATTTCAACACCGAATTCCAAAGGAACAAGGACAACAACTGACAAAGTAAGTTAACAAGGCAAGTACAGCTAGCTTGACAAAAGCTAGCTACCTCTACTTGTTTTTGAGCATTTGCTTTTGGATTTATGAAAATATAAGTATGACAAAAAAAACATTGAAGTCAGAGGTTTAAAAAACAAAATTCAAAACCATTAAAACTTGCATTGCGTGCATTGCGTTTGAATTTCCACCACTGTCAAATTTCTACACCAGATTTAAAAGGAACAAGAACAACAGCCGACAAAGTAAGTGCACAAGGCAAGTGTAGCTAGCTTGACAAGGACTAACTACCTCAACTTCTTTTTGAGGTAGTCAGACAACCTCTTTGTCTCTGTATTCACAAAAAATAACCAGTGCCAAGGATAGTCAAGAGGAACGGTCACCGCCTAAGAACGAGGACACCATGGTTCGAAACCCGACATGGTCAAACAAAGACACAAACTCAGAAGTGTGTCTGTGTGTGTGTGTGGACTTCCCCTTAATTTCTGAATGTTGCTGACCGCTTGCTTCTCCAGTTTTAGCAACGAATGCATGATAGCAATATACAGCAGTGTACTTCTTCATATGCAAACCTCAACCAATAAGCCACTCGTAGCCATAATTAATGTTCAAAACAGCACCTAACCTCCTCAATAGTCCATATAGGGTCCCAGCCATAGCATTAACCATCAAACATCTTTTTAGCTTTGCCGAATTTCTTTAGCAAAGAGACTGAACACAGCTCACCTACTCTCTTCCAGCAGCCGCTTGTTTGTGGGGGAGCCCTGATGAGTCGATCTAGTGTTGTAGTTTAGTTATTTCTTTTCTTTTAGCCAAACTGTAGTTAGAAAATTGCTCATGCATTTGTAAGTGATTGTATTTTTGCTAAAGCTGTATGGTGCCTTCAGTTTTACAGACATTTCTTTAAGTAATTAAACCCTGAGCAGAGATCCTAAATTACAAGGGAACTTTTGTAAAACCAAAAAAAGAGAAAATGGATGAAAGTTTAAAACAAACTGATTGGGGTTTGTGCAGGAAGACACCACTAATGAATCACTGAGGATAAGATCTGATGAACCCCCGATTGGATGAATTTTATCCTCCAAGATCAATGAGAGATTTAGTAAGTTTCTCTCTCTGTATCAGGAGCATTAATCAAAGTTTTATTTAAGGAGACTCTGGCAAAAGGTAGGTGACTTTCACCTGCAGGCTAATTAATAACTTCTCACACTGAGGGTTGTTTCATGGGGCGGCTCTGCAGGGGGCCGGCGGTGAGTTTTGTACTCCTCACATTGTCCTAATTTTCCCTTTCAGTAACCACGAAGATTAATCAAATTATACCCTAAATTTTAGACTTTATCTCAGTCTTACATCAAATGCAACTTTTTAGTGGAGGTTTTCTGTATCAGCAACACAAATATAATGAGTTTTATCACCTGCAGAGGCTCCCCTGGTTTCTAATTGGACCTTTACAGGTCAGCTGTTTGTAGTCACAGCCTCTGACTGGTTGACAGACCAAAGCAAAGATGGCTGTACCTTTCTAGCATAGTCAGCCAACAACATATAAAGCAATGTTTCTCCATAATAAAAACACAGAAATATACAGAATTTGTCAATGAAAAGCTGCCAGTCTCACAAAGCAAGGGGATATTACAGTTGGCTGCTAAATCATATTACTCTATTCTGAAGGCTTGTATCATAATTAGTTCTCTATTTCCATTTGCAGTTTATTGATGAAATGACTATCCACGGGATTTCCACCGCATCTGGAAAAGTTTTGATCCAGAACAGCAACGATTTTCGCCATACGCCAATTCCTACAGGATCCGTTTGTGAGACGAATGTCACAGGAATTGCGAGAACTCACAAGAACCTGCGGATTTACATGCAATCGAGCGATTACAAGTTGTCTCTATGAAGACAGCCACATAGGCTAACCATATAAGCAGTAGATTGTGTCCTTCCAGAGGAGGAAATCCACTTCTAGACTTCTAAAATCAGCATCCTCTCATCCATGGTGTTATCAGGATGAAATGCTGTCTAAAAACCTTTCAGTTGTTTGTCCCCGCCCATTTGCATGGCGTGAAATACGATCTGCCTGAAACACAGAGTGTTTTATTTTGAAAAGGAGACGGATGTTTTATTTTGTGTCTCTGCCCGACTTCCTTTCCAGCATGGGTTAATCTGTGCTGAATTTATCCGGCATGCTCCAGCATCTGGAAAAAATAGAACTCTTGCGATCAGCAGCGGAACGGAAAGAAGCCGGTGGAAATTGACGCATTAACTTGAATGGTTATCAGCTACGATCAACGGATACAGCCTTTTTGTAGAGAAACCTTGAGAGTCAAACTGCTGTTTTTCAAACACTTAACAGTTTAACAGACAAATTTTACTTCTTTATCAGGCTGGTCAGTTTCTGTGTGAGAAGTTTGTGTAAGAAGGTAAAAAGAATCACTTTTCACTCCAGAGGTGTTTCAACCTTTAAACAACCTCACCATCCAAACTGCTAATAAAACCCCCTGGACTGTGTCTGTCTATGTTTGTTTCTACCAACTGTATGAGCTGTGTGTGTTTGTTTGCTGTTGTTTGCTGTGTGTTTAGTTGTGGGTATCACACAAAAGGACTATTTATTCCTCCTGCGGGAATCAGGAAAGCTTCGGCTGAGCTGCTTCACTCTGAGCTTTTGTTCACATGAGCCTGAGTGGGAGAAGAGTGTGTGTTTGTGTGTTTTAGCAGTGTATGTTTATCCTGCAATTTTCATGACCAGGTGTCCTTGTTACCGTGGCAACCCTCGGAGACAAGAGGTCAGGTATAACCGAATCAGAGTCGCTCTGCTGATTTTTTTCATTATAAAATCACTTATACCTCCTCGCAGCTTTAAAAACAACCTGAGGAGCTCAAACTATTTTTACTGCCAAGGCACCTTTTTATAAAGATAATCGAACTTGAACATATACCTATATAAATATCAAACCACACAAAGAAAACTGTGAAAATGCTTTAAAAAGTAATGCAAAACTTCTATTTTACCACAAAAAACCTTGTTGCTCCAATTTAGACACCAGGATAAAGTTAATGTCTGCTTTCTGCACACTGACTCTTTACAGAAAGTCAGCAGCACCAGGTGTGAAACCAAAGTCTGCAGGTGGGCGTGAGCAGAGCCACGGTCCTGCTGCTGAGAGCTGTACCTGGAGACATTTATAATGAAAAGGTGTGAGTCTGTCTCTGGCTCCACTCCAAACAACCAGAATTGTGGTTTTATATCCTGGATCTATCTGTGAGTTTCTCTTCTGAACCAGTTAAGAGGTCTGTGTTTGCTGTTTCATCAAATCCTCATTCAACAACTATAACACAATTGATCTTATGCAACAATATACTATCAGGAGAAGCTGAGAATGAAACACATTTTCTTTTGTATTGTCCTTTATACAATGTGTTAAGAAATCCTACAATGAATGAAACGTTGGTTTAAAGTTCTGGCATGTTCTGGTGCACTGATGATGAATGGCTGAGATGGCTTTCTATTCTATTCTACAGTGGCAGGTGTTTAAGATTTGAATAGAGCATACTCCAGCATGAAGTGAAAGAAGTCAAATGTGGATTGTAGACACTAGAAATGCACAAAAAATAAAACGTGTTTTTCAAATTAATATTAAATATAATACATTAATATTATAATATACAAACCGTCTCTCTTCCAGAAACCTCTTGTTTGTATGGAGACCTTCAGGTGAGTCCATTGACTGCAGTGGGGGGACGCAGCTCAAGGGAGAAAATTTATGTTCACTTCTTTATAATTTCCTTGAAGTAATAGTAAACATATTTTTCATTTTGGACTGCAGACGTGGTAGTTCATCTGCCTTAGCATCTCAGTCTGATTGCATTTCCATTAAAAATAATAATCATAAATGTTTTTCCTTGAGCTGCGTCCCCCCGCTGCAGTCGATAGACTCACCCGGAGGTCTCCGTACAAACAAGCGGCTGCTGGAAGAGAGTTGGTGAGTTGTGTTTAGTCTCTATGTTAAAGAAATGAGGCAAAGTTAAAAAGATGTTTGGTGGCTAGTTCTGTGGCTGGGACCCTATATGTACTGTTGATGAAGTTAGGTGCTGTTCTGACCATTATTTGTGGCTATAGAGTTGCGTTTTGGTTGAGCGCGTGGCTCTCTGTATTGCTATCTGTGGTCGTTACTAAAGATGGTATAACTAGAGAAGCAAGCGGTCTGCAACAGTCATCTCTCAACGGGGTGTCTAACTCTGTTGAGGTGTGTTTGACCCTAACTTAATTTTACGTCGGAATATCCCTTTAACAACAACAAGACTTGGTGGTTTGGGCTCCTTTTCTGTATAGTAAGTGAAGTGAAACCCTCTCCAGGTGTGACATAAAATCTTCACTTCGAACCATAATTCTGCTCACCCTTTCAGGAATCCAATCCACCATAAGTGCCCAGCCACTATACATCACCCCTCAGTTCCTGACTATCAACATGACTAACAACAGAGGGGAACATGACTAAACCTTTTCATCATCGTCAGAATAATAAACTCATAGTTGACATCCCAGAACTGCTTGGTTTGGTTTAGTGCAAATAAACAAATACATGCCTATTTTTGAGACAGAACTTAAGTCTAAGGTCTCTCTTGTCGTGTGTCGGTTGAATCCTGTGACATTCTTGGTCGTTAAACTTTACTCAAACTGGAAACGAAGCACGTCATTGGTTGATTGACAGTCCTCATTTTTCTCGGTAATTGTATTTCAACCCTGCCATTTAAAAAAATTACATTGCCTGTAATGTGTTTGTGTGTGTTATGGCATCAAAAAGCAAACCTCGCCTTGAGGTATTAACCAAGTCAGGCCTCATTAAACACACACACACACACACACACACACACACACACACACACGCAGCCTCCCTCCATTTCTCCATTCTTTCACCTCTCAGTCATCCCTTCTTTCATTTCTTTTTCCTCTCAGCCGTAAAAAATCTGTTCAGCCTTTCAGCTCTGAAGGTTTCAGACGGTACAGTTATAGTGAACACAAACACTCAGAACAGGTCCTCTGATTTTTATTAAGTAAACATTAACATGTTTTCCTTGGAATTATTTTAACGAACAACCAAGTAAATCTGTTAGAAACACGGGGGACAACTTTAAGACTGTGGAAGTCTAAAACAAGGGCTTCAGTTTCTCAAATAGCCAAACCTGTAACCCAAGACTTGAAAACCTCGCTATTGCAAACTATTACTCTGGTTTTATTGGAACATTTGGACGTTAAAAGACATTCAAAAGGCTCAATCCTCAAAGAAAACACCCATTAAACATGGAGAAAAGTATTTTCAACATTTGGATAAATATGTAAGACATGCCATATTGCACAATTCAAACCTTTGTCCACATTCACCATTCAGAGCATGAAGGCTGTTTGATTAAAAGAAAATATTCAAACCATTTTTCTTCCTATTCTGCTCACAAGGTCCTTGCATTTATATGGGAACTGTTTATCAAAGACACAGAAAAGCATCAGGGCTGCAAAAACATTAAAGCTTTTGTTAAATGAGAACACTGTCCGCCGGCCAGTATGAGTATCTTACTCAGATCTACAATTGATATCAGGATGAGGGACGGCAATAGATGAAATTTTATGTCTTTATCTGTCCTGCTTATCAGCTGTATTCTTCAACAAAACCTAATAAATTCCTGTTAGGAAAAAAATATTATTTTATCGACTTAATGAGTTGAGATTTTATCCCTGTTGCTGCTCTGCTGAGAAGGGGCAGTCTGGCTTCTGATTGGGGCTTTGGAGTTCAACTGATCAAATTAAGAGCCTCTGATTGGTTGATGGACCTAACAAAGAAGGGGCCCTTCCATTGGCATAGTCAGCTATCAACATAAATCAAACGTGGTCTCTTAAATGGATACATAAATCAACATAGATCGCCTTTGTTTTAGATGGATTGGATCTGGACAGTCTGAAAATATTCTAATCTCGTCTGGGGGAAAGAAGTGTCATGATGTGACTGTATATTCAACTTCCATCATATCATATCATATTGTTAGCCCCTAAATATCACAGAAACACACACATTTTATCATATAAAAAGCTACTGGTAATGATTCACCGCTCAGATTTTAGAGAAACCCATTCTGATCTGAAACCATTTATCGATTTCTAGCCCTAGTCAGAATAAATAGTTCGATAAACAAATTCAGTGTATTTAATGTGAAAGATCACTATTGTTATCTTTTTTGCTGAGGTTGTTCAATGTCAATTTCTTTCAAATCTGAATACAGTCAATACCTTAAATCAACTTAACACTCATATCAACCCAAACCATGATCTTTTCACCAACCAGTATGCCAGTTTGGGACTGTACCTTACCAAACCCTGGTACATTTTTGGATACAGCATAGGACCGCCAAAGCTTTTTGGAGAATTTTTGGGCGAAAATAGAAAAAATAAAATAAAATTCAAGGGGCCATCCTTAATAATCTTTATCTTTCAATATGAGGGCTTAATTTCTTAAAAATAATTCAGGTTGAGGTTAAAAGTGCTTTTGTAAACTGCATCAGCCAGCAGCAGCTGTAACGCGACGTAATCCCTGTTGTTAAAGATTTCACAACAAATGGATTTTGATTTTACACTGACAGGCTCAGATTGTTATTTTCAGTGTCTGACAGCTTTAAAAATATGATCCTTATAGTGATGGACCTCTCCCTGAGGAGTAAGGCGCCTTTTTGAACAGTAACACAGTTTCTTCATTCTGTTCAGGGCCACCACACTCACATTCACAGAAAGAAGTCATTGTACTCTGCAGAACATTGGCATCACTGTTGCCTTGGCCTCCGTTTGTCTGTATTTGCCTGTTTAAATGTCTCTTCTGCGGTCTTAAAGTGTCGTTTGGATGTATTTTGTGCCTAAACCTGACCACGAGTCATAAGATTTTGAAGCTGGTCTTTCTGCCTCCATTTGCATCTTCTTCTAAACGTCCTGCAAAATATCAACAAACTATCCATGTAATAGTTTTTATACAAGTCAGATTCCTAGTATAAGCAGGCTCATCAAACAACTCTACACACTTGACTCTCTTGCGACCCCTTCAGGGCTCCTCCTAGGGGATCTCATGGTGGTCCCAGGCCAGATGGAATATGCAACTCCCCCAGTGAGTTCTGGGTCTGCCCCGGGGTCTCCCTCAAGTTATACAGGCCTTAAGTACTTCCACTGGGACACATGCAGAGATACTGTAACCATACCATTTCCAATGGCTTCTCCCCGTTCTACAGGATGGCTTTGAATCGTTATATTTCATGTCTTTACATTTTCTTTCATCCCATCGATTTGCTAATTATGAGTTGTACCTGGCTCCATCAAGTGAAATATAGAGACCCAGCACTTTTCAGGAGTTCTATTTTTTCTCTGATTTATATCAGACTTACCGAGCCTTTGCCTAACATGCCAACCTGAGGACATCTCTTGATTGACTTTTAGAAAGTCTTCATAACCTTTGACACATCTGTTTTTATGACAGTAAAGTGAGGCATTCAGAGGTCAAGTGGGATTGTGGTTTTTAAGGAAAGGGAGGCTGAAGCCACCGAATTGTCATGTGTCAAAAGTAATTTTTAGATTTCTCTCGAATCTGGATTAACATGTTTACACTCACAGCTATGAAATCTGGATAAATAAGCTACAAGGAGGAAATGTGGACTATTAAATAATGGAGGACCTTTGATACCAACACATTTGTAAGTCATTAAGTTGTCTCTTTCATGTAAACCAATGGGACTTGAAACTTTAAAATCAAAACATAGGCCATTAAATTTTTTTTTCCAACACACAGCTCTTGTCATTAAAGTTTGTTCTTATTATGCTGATTTATGTTGTAGTATTTACTTTTCTGAGGAGTTTAGTTGTACTTGTTTTTTGATGGAAAAAATTTGTACAATTCTACATGCCCCTGACACTGCAAGGAGAAGGTGGAAGGCTTAGCTTAGCACAGTGGTTCTCAATCCAGTCACACACACCTGATTCAAATGATGAGCTCGTTATCAAGCTCTGTAATGGCTTAATAACGAGCTGATCATTTGAATCAGGTGTGTTGGAGCAGGGAAACATCCAAAACATGCAGGACAGGGGGGGCTTGAGGACTGGATTGAGAACCACTGGCACAAGTGGTCCAAATGCCAATATTGGAATAATACCCACCCAAATTTACCTATGAAGCCCACCCAATCACATCATATCTCATTCATTTGATGCAAAAACCAAAGTGCTGCAAAAATTAAAAAAAACAACAGTAACTCTTATTTTAACTCTGTAAAGTTGCTCATAGTCCAACAACTCCAAAAAGTTACAAGCAGGAAGCAGTCCAGCACATACAAGCATGACTAAAACCCCAACAATGACAGATATTTGCGTTCCCAGTCTCTGTCTCTACCCTCCCCTCTCCCATTAGAACTGATGCTGTGTGTCAGCTCGTTCAATAGCCTGTAGCCTGTGGTACAAGTTCAGTCTGATGGAGCTCATCCATTTAAAACCTATTACACACACTCACACAAAATACATTACAGAGGTCATTAAGAATATATTAGAGGTGTCGATGTTGTTATAAATTCACAACATATTAGAGAAGTCATTAAGAAATGTAGGTCAGCACACACGCACATGGGCAGGTTATTAATGTCATTCATGAATGAGACCGACAATCCAATCTGAGTAAACTGAGATTACTGTGTGTGTGATGGATGGACTCAGGTGTGTGTGACGCCCTGCCCGCTTCCTCTGTAATGCTTATATGTTTTTTATTCTTTTTTTAAAATCAAACATCAGTCCAGTGCTTGGTGGTTTTTTGTTGCCTTTTCATTATTGTGCTGTTATCCCGTTTTACATTGGTGTACGTCAAAATGTGTTTCCTTCTGGAAAGCTGTTTTTATCCAAATCAAATTTGCACCCAAACTCAGCTAATTTGAACTAGCTGATCCTGATAGGGTTTGAACGTTGGAGGTCTGTGTGGATTAAACCCAAGGACTTAATGGGATATTCCGGCGTAAAATTAATTTAGGGTCAAACACACCATAACACCGAGTTAGACACCCCGTTGAAATATAAATGTTGCCGACCACTTGCGTCTCTAGTTATACAAACTTGAGTAACAACCGCAGGATAGCAATACACAGCGGTCTGAGGAGCCATAAACAAACCTCAATCAAAATGCCACTCTATAGGCACAAATAATGGTCAGAACAGCACCTAACTTCATCAACAGTACATATAGGGTCCCAGCCACAGCACTAGCCACCAAACATCTTTTTAACTTTGCCTGATTTCTTTAGCAAAAAGACTAAACACAACCCACCTACTCTCTTCCAGCAGCCGCTTGTTCGTAGCGAGACCTCAGGCCAGTCTATTACGGACTACAGCGGGGTGACGCAGCTCAAGGAAGAACATTTTGCACTGTAGATGCGGTAGTTCTTCTGCCTTAGTGTCTCAGTCTGATTGCCTTTCCATGAAGAAATGATCATAAATGTTATTCCTTGAGCTGCGTCACCCCAACATCTCTCTTGAAGGGTGTTACGGTGTGTTTGACCTTAAATTAATTTTATGCCGGAATATCCCTTTAAGTGGATGTAACTGATGTTATGTAAACCATGCTTCGGGAATACGTTAAACCGTTAAGTTTGTCATTTTGACTCTTTGAATCATGCCTTTTAGAGCCAGAAAATATTTCTTTTTGTATCGAGTTTGGCGCCCCCTGTGGACAAAATTTGTATCACAATGTTGATTTTACTCTGTACATATGCTAGCAGTATACAACAAAAACAAAAAAAAATTCCAAGTAAACAAAAAACACACTGTACAAAAAGGTTAAATCACTCAAAAGACAAGTAATCCCAGCAAACCCATTTTCTAATATAAACACCTAGCAGGCATCTCAGAAGGTGAAATCCCTCACAGGATCTTATCCCAAACCCACAACCTGTAACTGACCCAGAATCCTTTGCATTCGTACTGAATACATCTTTTGCCCATTTTGAATCCAACCAGACTGCCACCATACCTGCCCCCCTGGAAAGCTGCCACTATAATCCCTGTAACCAAAACACCACAGCCCACCGAACCAAACCACTATCCCCCTGTTGCCCTCACCCCCGTAATTATGGAGTGCCTGGAGAAGCTGCTTCTGCATACCATCCTGCCTGTCATCACACCGCAGCTCGACCCCCTTCAATTTTCCTATTAGGCCACAAGGGGCACTGAGGATGCAGCGGCTTGCCTGCTGCACCTCCTCCTCCAGCACCTGGAAGGCCAAAACCGCATGCATAACCACCACGGCTTCCAGAATAATCACTCTCCCCACACCAAATTTAACAGATCTCAACATCAGGGCCATTACACGCATCGCAACCTCAATAGAACAGGACATCACACATCCATTAAACACCCACTTTGCCCCACTCCCCTCAGGGCGAAAATAGAGAGCACTGAGGTGTAGAAGGTTCCTTGCTTCAGGAAAAGCCTGGTAGCTACTGCCATAGCTCCCCTGAACAAAAGGCCTCGTTAGAAGGATCATAGTGCGGTCTCGGTAAAATGTTGAATGCTGTTGTCAAAATGTGTGTTTCTCATATGTTTTACTGTGTCCTGTTCTGTGTTTTACTGTGGTGGACTTTGGGGGGTGGAGACGGTGCTGTGGAAAGCATTTCCCCATGGGGACAATAAAGTCGAAGTCTAAAGGCTTCCAGAGGGCGCCTTTTCCTTGTTATATTAGCTGTTAAGGGTTCTAAGAGGTGCTTTTACCACATTTTAACACATAAGGACATCTAGAGAGCATATTTTACATTTCACCTGTTGTACAGGGGGTATTGTCCTGTATCTTTTCAATCTGCGATGGCATCTAAAAGGCAATTCAAACATATTTTATACCGCACGGGCATTCAGAGGGCACTTTTTTGTGTGTTTTATATATTGTAGGGGAATCCAGAGGACATATTGGAGGGGCATTTGGGGGGCACTATTTTACCACTTATAAACTAGAATTGGCATTTAGAGCTAGAGCTAGAGTTTTTTGCAATTAATTTCCTTGTGACGGATTATCCAGAGAACCTTTTTGTGTGTTTTTAAAAAAAGAAAAGGCAGGGATATGATATTTAACATTTTTATTGCTGGGATGGCCTCCTGCACTTTTTGCACTTTGTATGCTGGAGGAGCCACCCTCCTTGAGTACACCACTGCTCATAACATAAAAGAGGAGAGGTATAATTTTGTCACACCACGAGATTAAAGCGTTGAAAATCAACACACACTGTATTATCTCCTGCATGACAGTAGTATTTCTCACTAATAAATGAAGCATGAAGAACTGAATGTGTTTATTTGTGCATTGCTAAACATATATTATCCTTTTGACTTCACCCTCAGCAGCAGTTTAATGTTCCTCTCAGTGAACATTAGCAGCTGTGTACTTTATGTACAGCGATGTTTGGCTGAAGGCCTGTGGTAAAACTGCCTGAGGCTGGATCGCACGAGGAGGGAGAAAATCACACAGAAGCCGGCGTGATGCCACAGAGAGGAGGCGCAACTTAAAGCAACAGATGCAATCTGAAACATGAGAGCTGCACGTTCACATGAGTCAGACCCTGATCGGGTGAGGGATCATTGGCCTGATGCTAATATCCATCTGTGTTTCTCTTTGGTTTTGGCCATATTTTTTTTCATTTTATTAAACATATTACAGTTATTTACAGGCTTTTAATTTCTTGATTCTCTACAGTCTGATCCCAGAGCGGCTTTGCTTTCACTCCATAGTAACAGCATCTAACTGTGGCATACTTCACAAATTCCTTAAATGTCATATTGCATTAAAAAAAACCGCTTTCAAAGCCAAAAAAATCTTAAAACTGTTAAAACTGAAGGACTAAACCAAGCAGAAGAAAACACCCCAAAATGAACTCACCTGTGGAGGAAAAGCTTCATTATGCAAATCTTTTTCACCTGCGCAGCCTTTTCTCTCTGTTTCTCTGAGAAAATTTAAAACATGACAGGAAACATGACTCATTTCTTATAGTTGCAGTTCATTAACTGGTGTGACTAAATTTGTGGTGACTAAGCAGAGGGGCACTCAGTTTGTTGTGACTCCACGTCAGTTATGAGTGGTTGTCTTCCCCTTTATTTGCACATGAAAAAAGGTGCTGTTTACTTTGACTCTCCTCTTGTGTGCGCTGCCATCTGGTGGTCCATGCTTTACTCATTAAGTGGCCAAAAGTATATGGACAGCTGGGATCTAACTGAGAAATTCTTGTAACTCTACAATTTAATTTTGCAGATGCTTTGATCCAGAGTGACATACATTCAATTTTGTCTTTTTTTCATGTTGTTTTTTAACTTTGAGGAAGCTTTGAGGTTATTTTTCTACTTTTTCTGGAGGCTTCTCTGTTCTTTTCTGCTCTGAAGACCTGATTTAGAGGAACTCGCACCCCTGGAAATGACCTCACCCATAGGCCACTATTGTGAGCTGTGACGTCAGATAGTCGCTGCAATCTGGCTGTTCTGCTGTAAATACAGTTGAAGAAATCTAATCATAAAGTTTCATACATAAACACAGACTCTGTTTGTCCTTATTAGCCTTTAAAAATGATAAAACTATGAGTGAAGTGCACTGAGTGAAAATTATGATCATGGTAAAAAGGGGCTGATCATTATGATTCGTGGTGCTGTCCTGTATTGCAGAGTTATATAATGAAACCCAATCTTAATTTCTAGTTTTTCAGTTTATAATTAATGGATCAAACAGCAGAGCAGACTGGAGTCTCTGTTCACAATTACATCTACAAAAAGAAGACAAATCTGAGCAAGCATTGCCCCAGCACTTGCTTGTGTTGTTAAAGCAATATGGAGTCATTTGTAATTTGTAACAACAGTAATATATGATTCCATATTATATAAACTTTGAAAACTTACTTTGACTAAAGGTGTGTCCACATTCAGCACATCTGATGAGCTGAAGCTGTCCAAAAAAGTTAAACTGAGTTGTTGTTGTTTTTGTACTTTTTATTAAATAGACATCCGTCATATCTTATGGACTATAACTTTTAAAAATTGCATGCAATACAAGCTGACATTTGAGCTCTAGCTGGGGTCTTACGTAATTTTTTTCTGTCTATATTAGGACTGTTTTTGGCCCTTTAAATCCTGTCTCCCTCTATGTGACCTCTCCCCCTCCATCAGCCTGTTATGTAATTGATCAAACCCTGCCAAAGGTGAGGAATTACTGATTACATAAGAACACACAAGGGAAATTAAGGTTACTACATTTATTTTGGAATTGTACAAGTGCAGATTTCACAATAAAACCATTTCTGTGTGTTTTTTTTCCCTCTAAAGAAGTTGTTACTTTTTTATTTTCACAGGTAATGCAGCGATTACTGTCTGCCGGCAGCGTGTACATGCCACCTTCTTATCAAATGCAGCAGCTTTGTTTATGGTGCTGTGTTAAAATAGGACAAGCTAAGTGGGTCTCTTGGGTAAGTTTTGCATGTAACTGGTTTTGCATTGGCACAGAACTTTATAAACCTAAGATATTTCCTGTCTTTCTTTTGTGTTTTAAAACAAAAAACTGACTTCACTCAACACAAAAATTTTAAAAGAAAGCTGTTGGGCAAATCACTAGGTCCATGTTTTTCCCTCATTGCATTGGCAATATTGGAGAAAAAACTCTCCATTGTTCTGACCAAGTGCCTAAATCTGATGGTAAAAAATGAGGTGCTGAAACTGCAGTTCCTCAAGTTTCCACTAGAGGCTTCAGCAAAAGCCAAGGAATCCCCATAGACACCCATATTAAAATGCCCATTGGTATAACATGGTTAAACAAACTACAACCTGGTTCAAGAAAAGTTCGTAGTCTAAAAAGTTCATATTTCTACTTCTACACACAGAGGGCGAACATTTTACAGACTCACTTGTTTTGGTTGTTTCTGGTTTAAAAATCTTGCTTAATTTACCATAACTAGTAGCTGTTAGTTATTTACTTATTTATTCTTCACTCATTTTCAAGGATGACGTCCATGTTTGATGCAGTCTACAGTCTTTACAGGCTTTATTTAGTGGTTTTACGACACCCACACTGGATCCAGTGTTAGCTTTGATAGCTTTTCACTGTTACGGTGGCAAAAAACAGTGAACTTCAAATATCTTCAAATTTCCGGTTAACAAAATGAACACTGATTGGATCCGATGTCACTTCACCATCACTTCACCAGTTGTATAAGCAAAGGCAAGATTAAAAAACAAGTACTTCCCCGACTTACAGGTATCCCTACATTGTCATAAATCAAAGCAGTGGGGCCCTGCCTTTGTTGCATCATTTGGTGAGTTAGGAGTTCAGCAACTTCATTTGAAGGGAATTATCTGGACTCGACTCTGCAAGTGTTGCAAAATTTTGGAAAGTTCACCACAGGATTGGTTTATCAACCAAATGGAAAATGTCTTCAATCAAACACAAGTGCAGTGAGGTGTTTCTTTTTACACAACTTGGGTGCTTTACTTTGACACACACAACTTCAGTTTTGTCGAACAGTTTTTTCATACAAGGAGCTTAACTGTTACCCTGACTCACTCATTTAACCCGAGGAGGTTATAGCTTTAGCTTGCAACGACTTTGATAAAAGCTTAAGGAACAAAAAAAAAGAAATGGTTACATTAGGAGTTTTTCCTATATCTGGTTTTCAAATGTTTCTAGGCATCTAAGTGCAGTCAAATCTGGAGGTTTTAGATCCCAATTCATCACTACAAAGTTATAATTGATGCAAAAATCATTTAAAGAAGCTATCTGAAAACAACTACAATAAGTCAGGCTGCAAATGAGGCTTAAACTAAAATAAAAAAGACCTCTAATCTGCTGCTCCTTAAATCCTGGTTGAATGTTTGGATGTCCTCGAGTTAATAGAGCTGTAGTCAGATGTGGCAAGATGAGCTTAGAAACTGCTTTTTCTTACAACAATACGTCTTTGTTCCAGGCAATAACTATAATACTTAATTTTATGACACAACAAAGATAAAACTACTCCCTAGAATTAAACGTTTGTAATCTTTTTCCACAATAGAAAGCTGAAAAGAAATATTGAAATCGTCCTGCTTAATGCCTCATTACTATTCTGTTTCCTTCCTTATCACAGGGCTGCAATGCAGTTAAAATGAAAAAAAGTGGAGAAAGAGGTCATATACAGTATTGACCACTGAGTCCTCCTTTTACAGTGCAAAGGGTTAACATCAGGGGTCAGGGGTTTCCTTTAATAGCCCTTCATAGCAATGGACGATCCTCCTGCGCCGTCATAGCGCTGGATCTGACGGATCATCAAGAGGGAGACCAGCAGGCCGAGCACCTGCAGACACACAGACAGGTTTAAGTTAAGACAGAAATCTTGGTCACATCAGGTCAAGTCTAAATATCTTTAAAAATTGACATTTTTCACTTTGCTTGAAAACAAATCATGTCCACTCCACAATGCAGAAATGGTCAACCACGTCTAAATAGAGCTGTTAGTGGCAAATTGGTTCACAAAATGTAATCGTTGGCTTCAGCTGGGGTAGTTTATCCATTCAATGTAAACCAGAATGGATTATGAGAGACTTCTTATGGTAGAAAGATACATTTTCTCCAGAGCAGATTATGAATTGTACTGGTGGACCGACCAGTGGAGTTTTATGGTTGTCCAAGCTTATTCATGCCACAACTGTCCATCTCCTAGAGAATGTTATCTTATGGTAATCCCATTTTGTAACTATGTATCACCAAATATGTTAAATGCTCCATTTAATTTAGGATGCCAGTTGGTTGGTATGAGAATCACAGACTTGTACAGAATCTATAAGATATCAAAAGGGTAGATGGGTAATTTTTTTATATTTGAAGAGTTGTAAGTATAGCCATAACTTACTGCAGTCACAGCAAATCCAAAGAAAAAGGCCATGGCAATCTGAAAGAAGAGGTTGGCCCAACCAAAGATGTAGCCGCTGCAGCCCTTCAGACAGACAGAGAAAAACATCATCATTTGGAAACATCATTGATTGGTTGGGTGTGTGGTTGGTGAGTTGCTTGCTTGGTTAGTCCATGAGTGAATTGGTTGCTTGCTTGCTTTCTTGGTTGTAAGTCATTTAGTTCAGTGGTTGGTTTGATGGTTGGTATGTTGATATGTTGATTGGTTGTTCAGTTAATGATTGGTTGCTTGGTTAATCAAATGGTTGGTTTTTCAGTTGGTTGGTCAGTTAATTGATGGGTTGGTCAATTGGTTGACCAGTTAGTATGTTAGTTGGTTGACCAGACCCTTGTCTTGTTGGTTGGATGATTGGTTCATTTGTTGTTTAATTGGTTGGTCTGTTATAAGTAGTTGATACATTGGTTGAATGGTTGGTTAACATGTTAGTCAGTTGGTCAGTCGGTTAGTTGCTTGGCTTGTTAGTCAGTTAGTTTATTGGTTGTTTGGTAGGTCATTTGGTTGCTGGCTTGATTGGTTTTGAGTCATTTAGTTAGTTGGTTGGTTTGGGGGTTGGCTGGTCAATGTGAGTTGCTTTGTTGGTCAGTAAGTTGATTGATATGTTGGTAAGTTTTTTGTGTAGTTGGTTGGGTCATTCACTAATTAGTTAGTTTGTCATTTATTGGTTTAGTTGATTGGTTTAGTAGGTAAATTGGTTGATATCTTAGTCAGTAATTGGTCGTCTTGGTCGGTCAGTAAGTTATTTAAGTTGTTGGTTAGTTGTTTTGGATGTTAATTGCTTGGTCAATTGCTCAGTTGGCATATATTGGCTTGTTCAAATGCTAGTTGACTCATTTGTCAGTTGGTCGGTTGTTTGGTTGGTAAGTTGTTTGGTTGGTTGAATACCTCCTTGAAGATCTGTTCTGGTCCTTTGGTCCCCTGAAAGAACAAAAAAGCTTTACTTTAACTTAAAGGTGACCCCTGTCTATTACCTTTTTCCACCAGATATTAAGAGAAACTGACACACTGAACATCTTAAGTTAGTTCATAGAAAGTACTTGAATCTGAAATCTGTTTTTTGATGCCAGAGTTGGACCAGTTGATGTCAGAGTTTTGCAAAGTTATACAAAAACTGAACTTGTGGTTTAATTTGCATAACTCACTGTGGGTCTTGATTTGCATTCACTTGATCCAAATGCATAACTTCCATATGAAGGTGTGCATTCACAGGATTGGGGGATATCCTCACCCCAGTCTGCCGCACTCACCACTCCACAGCACCTGCCCTGAAACCACATGGAGGCAGCACGAGTTACAAGTTGTTGAAAAGCAGCATCAAATAAATAGAAATGAATATTATGAAATTAACAAGGTTATTACATCAATCTAACCGTACAAAAAAAAACAACCTAAAAAATGTAATCCTCTGTAAGGGGATTTTATTGAATGCCAATTAGTTTCAACCTGATCAGATTATTAAAAATTAAGCCTGGGTTTTTCACACTCAAGTTATTTAAAAAGTAGTGGTTCACTTTACAGAGAGCTGAAGCGCTTCAATCATCTGTCGCATATCCTCGTTTTCCATGTAATGCTCAACGACTTCGGTGGTGGCGCTGTCAAAGGCTTGTCTTAACTGCAAGTTGAGAAAAACAACTGTCAAATAAACTAATAGGCAATGCAAGATTAAAAAAAATGTTTTAAAAGGTGTTGTCATGATACAAAGCAAGCTTAAGCCAGAATACTGAGCATGAAAAATGTGAAATTATTGAAAGACAGCAAACTGAGGTAAAAATTACAACTCAAGATTGGAAGTATTGCAAAACAGCATTGGGCAATAAAAGCATCAAGATAGAGAGAGACACCTAATAAAGGTAGCGTCAACACACAGTGAGTGCAACGTCAAGAGCAAAAACTGAGTGGGCATAATAGTAGTGTCAGTAGTGTCAAGATACAGAACTAACAAAGGTCAGGTCAAGATACACAGCATAGCATCAAGATAAGCACCAATGGAAGAATACAGAAAATCTTTTAAGCAGACAGTCAGAGGAAGATTGGTATAAAGATTAAAAGACTCTTATCCAAATACTGAAAACAGGATATACTGTATATACACAGAAGCAATAATGAGAAGTGTCAAGATATAAAAATACAAGAAAAAAGAAAAACAGCAATTAAAAGCAAGAACAATTGTGGCATAGATAGACTAAGATAGACTAAGTTTGAAGAAATCTGCAAAGATCAAGATACTCATAAGGGTGAGCAACAAGAACTTGGGAGTCGAGATAGGTATGTTTTGGACTTTAACATGCAGAAAGGGAGGACAACTGAAAAGGAGCTGAAAATGAACATCAAGATAGATGAACAGATTAGTGATGGGATTGATAACCTTGTCTCTTGAGACCACAACCAAGATGCCAAAGATCAGCATGATGATCATTCCAGCCACCATGAAACCTGCAAACTGAACACGTAACATTATGAGCAACACTGAAATTATCATCTAACAAATTTTGTGTAAATGGTTGAGTTGCATGATTGCTCAGTTTTGATGAAGTGTATTTCAACAGGGTAATGTGGGCTTCTGTACGTACTATCTTGAGGGCGAGGGCTTTCTCGGCGCCTGCGGCGTAGATTCCCAGACAGGAGATACAAAGGATGCCGATGGAAAACACCCACAGCCAACCGATGCTCGGGGACCCCATAGCCGCCATCTACCCACCATGCCAAAGCAATGACATGACACAGAACAAAAAGTTAGAAAGTTGCAATCTTTGGTGTTTCTTCAGAAGACAAGAGCGGCCATGGAACGACTTAATATGTTATTATCTTGATTTAACAAAAATCATTTTCTGGTGATAAGGGAAATGTGTTTCAACCTCAAACAGTAACTTGTAAAAAACGCCCTCCAGTTTGGGATAATTCTGAAATGCCGCAGCCACCGTTGTTAACAGCAAGCAGCCTGCCCCACTCTACGCATACACGTCACACTTTCGACGCAGGAACATTTAACTGCCACTGCTACTGTTGTTGTCTGATTTGTGCATGGCAGGGAAATGTTCCCATATTTCTGAGAAAAGATGTCAAAAGGCCAGATCTGGTTTCCCAGAACTAATGATTTGTTTTCGAAAGTGTTCAACAGAAATAGAAAGTTAATTTGATCAGTAAAAATCAACGATCTATAACACTAAATCATCGTGAGAGACACGTTTCTAAGTAATCTTTGGGTTTCATCAACTCAAAGCAGTTCTGTTTTTTTCTCCTAAGAGAGTTGATTGCGAGAGTGGAAAAACTTAGCTCAGCCACATCTGTTCTGCATTAACAAAGAAATCAGAGACTCCACTACATCCTGGCAGCTGTTTGCATCCTTATAACAATCCCAAGTCCTCACCACGACATCTTCCAAACATCTCCAAACAGGTATTACAGTAATACTGCAGGATTGTGCGTGGGATGGCTGAGAAAAAAAATCTGCTTTGATTCTTTTGAATGCAAACCAGCTGCTTTTTTTTCTTTCAGTCCTCACGAAACACTCAGAGGATCTGAAATTTCTTACATAACCAAGACCAAACTTACGAGTGTGTAACTACTGCCCGTTAGAGTCTTCTTTTGCGGTAAATGCACATCTTTGAGTAATTTACAGTAATAGAAAATGACGCCGTAAACCTTCCCAAACATACACTTGATTGTTTTAATGGTTGTTTACATCTGAAACTGATCTACTCTGAGTCACGTTGCAGTACATGTGGTGCTCAGGCTGCCAACGAACATTCTGTGGTTCGCTGTCATAATTGAGAATTTGGCAGTGACCACTGACCCAACATAGATTTCAACCAATGGGGAAATTAACCTGGAAGATGACGGCACATACATAGGTTTGTATTTCCTCATTTTCCCCTCAAAAAAGAATTTGCTGAGTGCTCTGGCTAATCTCTATCTGGCCTCGATAAATTCCAGCATTTGTCCCAGAGGTTCACATTTCTTTTCAGACAGCTGTGATTGATCCAAATGTCAAAAAATAAACTGGGCTGAATTTAAAAAAAAAGGGGCTGAACCACCCAGTAGATGTACAAGTTTATTTGACGAGCTGTTGTCACCAATCCCAGTTGGCACCAGAATAAAAAGTCAGTTAATAAAGCTCCTGTGAAGCATATTTAAGTTGTGATGAAACACACAGAAACTAAAAATGACGCCTCTTTGTGACCTATGAAAGAAAACTAGACCACTAACATAAAAACCATTTGTATTATTTGCAACTGATTACTTTGACTATCTCCAGTTCAAATCATGACTTAAAGATAGGAGTCTCTGTCAAATGCTGGGTTTATTTTTACATATACTGAGGGTTAAACTCTAATTGAACAAGTGCAAAAACGTTATATCTGTGTATGGTTTGCAGTTATCCAGACCTTTATTTGATTGCTGACTGACATCCAGGGATCCCTGGTGAATGCACCAGCATTGGCACTTTGTCAGGAGTGTCAGTCTGGTCGCTTTCTCTGTTTACTGTAAGTTCTGTTTGTGTAAAACTGTTGTTCCCATGAGAAAAAGACACGTGACTTGTCTGCTTGATTTAGTTTTAACCACAGGTCTGTGGTCATTCACACTCTAAAATAGTGCTCAGCTGACTTCGCTGGTGCAGCTGCCCGTAAGTATTGGTCTGATTAGCTGCAGCTGTATGCTAAGCTGGTCGGGGGTTGCTATTATAGGTAGGAGGGGCTTAAGAGACTGAAAAGAGACCTTCTAAAATACGAGCGAATGCATCAACATTAAAATCCCTCTAAACATTCAGAAGCAACACTCAGATTGTTGTTGTTGTTCTTATTGTTGTTGTTTACCTGCTGGTTGACGCCGCTGACTTTAAACAATCCAACGATCAGCACAACTCCCAGGATCTGATGACACACAGTGACAGTTTATATCAGATTTATAAAACTTGAAGGTAAACCATAGGTGTAGAAAAGTTTTAAAAGGACAATTTGTGAAAATAGCAATATGTAGCAGTCAGAGTCTAGAAATGCTACTTTTCTCACCTTTTCTATTGGTGAATTTAGAGCAAGGAAGCTCCTGTGACGCACGATAAGTACGACCCTCCATTTGTCAAGTTTTCACCATCAAAAAGAAATATCAGTATGAACATTTTTGTGAATAGCTACAGCTACTCTAGTTTTAATCTTCGTCGTCTTTGAGCCTGTACGTGTTGGTGCGTTTCTCAGTAAAAACAAAACTAAGTGTAACACCATTTTGTGCATCCTGTGCTACTGTAGCGCAAGATGGCCACCTCCATAGAAGGTTACCTTTCCTATGTAGATATAAAATGCTCATTCTAAATCATCAAAAATAAAATTATATATTTAAGTGAACACCAATTTAACCATATCAAACAGTATTTTATTCTATTTCTACAGTCTCTTTTGCTATTTGTGCAAAATTCTACACACTGCACCTTTAAATTATTAAATTGAGTAAAAAGAATATTTTATAGATAATAGTTTTTATTTAAAGCATATTGGGACACATCAGGATGTGACCTGAAATGATACATTTTCACTTGATTGATACTGGTGCGTTCAGGGGTTTTTATCATGTCTCTGCAGTTTCTGCATGTAGACACCAGAGGGCAGCAGAGATCTAAAAACTGAATATCCCAGCCCTTTTACGTAACACCTGATCTTCACAATGGTGATTCGCTACAGCTGCAAATGCTCACAAACACTCTGAACATCTCCACCTGGAAATGATCTTGCATCAGACGGACCTCATGTCTGCATGCAATGTTTTTAAATTAGTTAAATCTCTCTAAAGTCTAGTAATTTTATCAAATTTGCCCAATCTTTCAAAAGTTTTCACAGCAAGCATACTTTGAAACTTGATTTACTTGTGGAAGTGTAAAAATAAGTCAATCAAAGAGACAGGAAACCAGATTTAATTGTTGTCAGGATTAAACAAGGTTGAAAATACGCAGGAAAAAACTTTTTATTGACTTTTAATTTCTTTTTCCATCCATGTCTTGTTTTAAATGTCTGCAGTCACTTTATTTTGCTGCATTTTTACTGCAGAGTGATGCAGTTTTTTTCCTGCCGTAAACGTTCACCTTAAATGTCCCCCAAATTGAAACCAGCTCCCGCAGACCCTGCCTTTTTGGATTTTTTTTCTTTTTTTTTTTTCATCAGAGTTTGAAGCTGCAGCAGAAAGAAACTTCATTAGAGGGAAGAAAAGGGGGGTCTGTAGCTGGAATGAAACTTGACGCCTCCTCTCTCTGTTTCACAGATTTTTTTTTTTTTTCTTCTCCTGCCACTTTTGTTTTACTGGAAGTGACTGTTCTCCGTACACACGCAAAAAAAAAAAAAAATCACCTTTTCATGTTTTTTTATGATTAAAAAGTAATATTTGCACCTTAGCTTCTAGTTCTTTCCCCTAAAATAATTAACTCTTTTTTCTTTCATGTCCTTTTTCTTTTTTTTTCTTATTTTGAGTTAGTTTTAGTTTTATTCAAAGCCTTTTGTCCCACACAAGAAGTAATTCTATTTTTTCCTCATCCTTCAATAAACATAAATAAAGTAATTTTCTGGGTCTTTTAAACTTCATTTACCTTATTTACTCAGGTTTTATACTCCTAAACACATTACAAAATGTTATATGTTAAATAAAGCTCAATTTGGATGCATTTATTCAATTATTCCACACGGAAAGTTACATAACTTTTTCTGTGGTGCATTTCAGCATCCAATTTTTATCTTTCTTTTTACATAAAGAAAATAAACTTGTGTTTTCTGTCTGATAAAAACAACAAAAACCTTTTTTAGACAGAAAAAAACATCCTGTAGAAAAAAGTTGTCAAATTGTCATAAAATTGTTTTTACTTACTGCATAAAGCACGTTGAAGAAGATAAAAAGACATTTTAGGCATCCGTTTATTTTCCCCATCTTCACTTTTTTGATGTTTGTCTCTCAGAGATGAAGACGTGACGCTGTCTGGTGTGTGTATGGGAAAGTGAGTGTGTGATGGTGATGTGCAGCTGTGTGTGCTGCCTGTAGGGTGGAAGTGAGTGAAGTTAGGAATGTAGAGCTGCAACACACAGATATGATCTGCAGACCGACTTATAAACAGGATGTATGCAATCTTGAGGAAAAAAGATTCACACATTGATTGTAGCTTAAAATGTCCTGAATAGAATTGCAGAAACAAAAGACTCATTAAGGAACTGCTTTAATTTGTCAAAAGAAGGAAGAATGAGATTTTTGATTCTTTGAAAACCCTGAATTAAAAGAACTGAGACTTGCAAAAACAGAAGAAAAAGAAACTTTTTTCAGTACAGTGTTATCCCTGCAAGAGGATTTTTGGTCCACTCTAGCTACTCTAGATCTGTGCACTATTTACTATAGGCGTGACCACACCCCCTTACACCCACCCCTCAAATGCAGGAGATGATGGCTCATTCCTTCCTACAACACAAAAAAGTGAAGGTCAAAGAAAAAAAGAGGAAATCAAAACAATATGCTGCCGGAGAAGGCGGAGAAGCACAGGAGCAGAGGGACGGCAGAGGTTGAGGGATAGGTACATGCAGTGACAGTCTTTACATTTGAGTTTGAATTTCAGTTTCAACCACCTGGCTAAAGAAGAGGAAGAGGTTAAAGTTCTCAAAAAAAGCTGAAAAACGTTGAACCGCATGACCAGCTTCCTCTGGTGTGTCAATTTGCATTTGTGTTCTTTGCATGGGGGGGGGGGGGGCATAAGTGCTCTTTAAGAACGCCTCAAAATTAAAAAAACTTTTTTTTTTCAACAAAGTGGATCGATCGTAGAGCTCTTTGATTGGAGCAGAAGAGGCCGCGCTACCTTGACTGTAGCTACATCGATTCTGGGTCTCCATGAGGTCGTTAAAAAAACAACAACACTGAGCTGATTATATCTTACTAAAGCAAATTTTTGTAAAGGTGGTCATAAGAGACTGAACCAACTTCAACGGATAAGGTTGATGCCAAAAATCCTAAAAAAACTTTTGCCAAATCATGTAAAACTTTTGAGAGTTCCTTCTGCCACGAGACACTTTTGAAGGGATCTGGAGTCCTTTCAAATGATCCAGACATGATTTTAAGGATCCTTGGAGACTTGTATGAGGTTTTGGGTCACTTCTGCAAGATTCTGAGACACTTTGCAAGGTCCTCAAAAGTTTTTGTGACCTTTAAATCTACTTTTGAAAGTTAGGGGAGATTTTTAAAAGTTTGGTTTTGTAGTCATCCTTTAGCACCTTTGCACCACCTTGAGCAGTTTTGCAAGTTCCCTATAGAAACTTTGCAAGGTTGTAAGACACTTTGCAAGATTCCTGAGGATTCTTTCATCCCAAATCTGAAGATCTTGAAACAATTTTGGAGAATTTCTAAGAATGATTTGGGAGACCATGAAGCACTTTTGCTTTCAATGTTTGTGAGCTTTCTTAATCACCCCAAATTTTCACCACATCCGGAACGGCTCCAATCCAAAACAGCGGCGGTTTTTGCTGTCCGCCAATTCCTACCAGATCCGTTTGTGAGGCGGATTTCGTGGCGGATTATGGACAGCAGGAATCACAACAACTCACAAGAACCCGCAATCAAAAAAAAAATAGAACTCTTGTGATCGGCTGAGGAGTCCGACGATCAGCAGCAGAATGGAAAGAGGCCGGTGGAAATTGACACATTAACTTGAATGGTTACGATCAGCTACGATCGGCGGATACGGCCTTTTTGTATCCGTTCTGAATGCGGTGGAAATTGGGGGTTGATCAGATTCTAACCATTTTGTAAAATCCAAACAAACCTTTATCAAATCATTTAACTCTTTTCCAAGATCCATTAGAAAACTGTTTCTGTTCTCTGAGACACTTTGCAAGATTCCTAGTTATTCCATTAGACATGTTTGGGCGGCAGTAGCTCAGGAGGTAGAGCGGTCGTCCAATGAACGGAAGGTTGGCGGTTCAATTCCCCCCTATCCTGAGTCTGTTCGTTGTGTCCTTGGGCAAGACACTTGACCCACCTTGCTCCCAGTGTGTGTCCTCCACTGGTGTATGAATCAGAGTGTTGTGTCGTGGTGGTCAGAGAGACCGTAGGCACAAACTGGCAGCCACGTTTCCGTCAGTCTGCCCCAGGACAGTTGTGACTACTAAGGTAGTTGACCATCACCAAGGTGTGACTGATGTATCTAAAGTAAAGTGCTTTGAGTGTCTCTGATAAAGCGTTATATGAAATCTGATGCATTATTATTTGCAAGATCCTAAGAAACTTTTGCAGGGCTGTAAGGCACTTTTTTGAAAATCTAGGACACACTTCAAAATCCTTGGAAACGTTTGCAAGATCTAAAGATACTTTGCAAGACACTTAAAGTGTATTTTCAGATTCTGAACATCTTTTCTCAAGATACAAAGAAACTTTTTCAGAGATCTTGCAACACTTTTACAAGTTTTCTGGTCCTGACACGTTTTGCATGATAGCAACAAAGGTTTGTGAGAATTTGAGACAGTTTTGCTGGAACCCAAATCATGTCAAAGTGCTTGTTTGTGTGAAGCTCTGAGGAAGAACAGAAGACAGATTGGTCAAGTGTTAACAGAGTTTACTCTGGTCATAGGTAAAGCATGTACTCAGCTGAGGTCTCAGAAGGGATGAGCCTCCATGTGCAAAAAAAAGATAAACATTCACCTTCTTGGGTCACACCCAGTTCAATAGGTTGGACTTTCATTTTCGGAATCTCCTGTTCAAACATGCCAGGACCCTCTCTGTTCGGGGCTGTGCCAGCCTTCAGCCCACGCACTCATTCCTGTGTGAGATCTGTGTATGTGTGTGTGTTGTTTTTAGGCGTGTGGATAATGAACATTCGCACTTTTAGTCGACAGAAAGTTTTCCTGTTATTCAGAACATTCTGTGCCCAGGATGGTTATCCAGTTGTCTAAAATAAGTTCTGCAACATTTGTATTCTAACATTATCATAAAGAGGGGGACACTAAGTAGCAAAAATACAAAAATACTTCAATCAAATTACTCAATACTTTTACAACATCCCTCGAAACTTTTGAAAGGCTGTGTTTCCTTGGAGACTTTTGCAAGCTCTTATACACTTTGGGAATTTTTACTACAGTATGACACTGAAATGCCTGTCAGCAGGTTAATTCACACCTCTAACTCCACTTCTGTTGCTGTGATCAGTGGCAGCTCAGTAACTGTAAAAGTCACACTAAGACTTGAGTGTAAACTGTAGGGGTGACGCTGTGTATCCAGTTTTATCAGGATCCACTATTCTCTCCTCTTGTGTTGTGTAAAAGATGGTGCTGTTTAAGGTTTGCCCCACTGTTTGGGAATTTGTGGGTTCTTGTTACTATTTACGAGCCTCATTGTTAGAGTTTTTACGAGAGGAAAAGTTACATTCCTGTCTCCCTGATTTACACTGACTCCTCCGTTTCACAGGATGCAGACCACAGCGAGGGCAGCCAGGGTCAGAAATTTTTGAAACAGTTCATTCAAAAATGCATTAAAAACATCCTTAATTAAACCCTACATCAGTGACAAAGCAGAACATGTGTCCGTGTCAGTAACACTGATGAAAACGGGTAAAATTATGGCTATTCACCAGTTGAAATGTCATTGTTAAGATCAGATAATTTGATCTCTTGCAACAGTTTTGGATTAAATAAACCTCCAAATAAAATAATCATGTCTTAATGTTTGCTCTGTGATTATTTTACCTGTAATTTTTGAAGAAATATTTTGAATTCAGAAGAAAGGACCATTGCACCTTCAGCCTCCATGAAAGATTTGCAGCATCTCCATTTCTAACAACATTATCCACGCGATGATCTGATTGACTTAAATCAGTCCCAGAGGCCCCACAAAAGTAAATTTGAAGTTTGTTGTCTAAAACACTAGTTTATTTGTGGATATCAGCCAGCCTGTACCCCCCTCTTTTTGAGCTCCACTGAGAACGGTCTGATTCTGCGCCTGTCCCTTTAAATGATAATGAGCTGTGTATAACCACACTCTTCCTCCCAAAGGTCACTCTGGGCTGCCGGCACTGGTCTGGAGATCTTCTGAGGATTTCCAGACCACTGCGTCTGGAAGCACCAGCCTGCCTCCACGCCCCGAGGAACACCCGCCGCTCACTGGAATACAAGTAAATAGAAGCGGGTCTAAAGATGAACACCAACGATGGTAAACACACGTGATTGCAGCCAAAGCACTAGTCATACGTAAAATGGTAAAAACTTAAAGCTTCCACGTGTGAAGTTGGGTTCCAGTCGGTATGGATCCAGGTTTTATCTTCAGCTTCTTAGCAAATCCTGCTTTGAACGGCCCCTCACTGGTAAAACAGTCCGAGGTGAAATGGTTAGCACACACATACAACATTTTCGAAGTTGTTGTGGGTACATTTCCATCAAAAATAGAATTACGTCATCATAACCGCACAGCTTTTACATTGGCCTGTTTGCACTCATGTTTTCAGAAATGTAGTGTCAGAGAGGGGAGTGTCCGGACCAATCCAAACAGAGAGTTGTGGAAGAACATAACTCCAGGAGAGCCTGCACTAGTGTCAAGGATCTGACCCCAAACTGGAGGAGGTACTGCAGCCACAGTCACATCAATCTGTATCTAAATGGTGCATAAAAAATGTGAGTGTTATTCCTGCTATTTTGCCTTTTTTGTGCATCATTATTTCAGCCTTTGCTGTTGAAGCTCTTTGAGGTGAAGGAGAAGTCATTGATGCTCTGGTTTGCAACCAACAACAGAGCAGTTGAGGTGACTGGTTCCAAACTTTGACATTTTGACTCTTGAACAACAAAGTAAATCACAAAAGTAAAGCCCTAGCAGGGGTTTGGGTAGCAGTCCTGTCCTGATGTCACTACAGGAGCTGACCCTAACTGCCTAGTAGAAGCTACCCTGGAAGTGGGTAATAGAAACAATGGAAAAGAATTTTAAGCTCAGATTAACCTGTGCTGGAAAGGAAGTCAGGCACAGACACAAAATAAAACACTCCATGTTTCAGGTGGATCATATTTCACACCATTCAAACGAGTGGGGACGAACAAGTGAAAGGTTTATAGACAGCATTTCATCCTGATGACACTATGGATGAGGAGATGCTGATTTTATAAGTCTAGAAGTAGATTTTCTCCTCTGGAAGGACACAATCTACTGCTTATATGGTTAGCCTATGTGGCTTAAGACAACTTGTTATCGCACGATTGCACATGAATCCACGGGTTCTTGTGAGTTGCTGCGATTCCTGCTGTCCGTAATCAGCCATGAAACTCACAAACAGATCTGGTAGGAATTGGCGTACGGCAAAAAACCACCGCCGTTCCGGATTGGAGCCGTTCTGGATGCTATGGAAATCTCGGGTAACTTGTCAGTCAGGACAGGAAAACCAACTTTGTTTATGCCCAGCTGGTACAGTCAGCTTCAAAACCACATTTTGCTGATATCTTGATTGCTCAACATTTCTATCCAAAGTCATTTTTGATTAATGAACTACGATGTGTGTGTAGCGATTTGAAATGAGCCTCACAAGGCCGCACCAAAACAATACTGTAGCGATTGAAATTTATAATAAATGTCTGAAGATTAATAATCTCAAATTATGACATTTATGCACTCGTTGAAAGGGGCACCACCCACCCTTAATGGTGGGAAAATAAAGAAAACAAAAGTTTAATTCAGAAATCAAACATCAAGTCAGTTTTAATTAATCAGTCTCATATCTTAAGTCGAAATTCTAATTTCAGGGACTCCACTTCTGGAAGAACACTAACAGTCAAGAACTTAGAAAAATAATGATCTGTTTATTACAGGATAAATGATGGTACAACACACATGCAATAAATGATGATAAGATAATGAAGATAAATAATAATAGGTGAATAAATAAAGATTCTGAGTCAGGCTAGGAGCACTAAAGTTAATGATAGTGAGTGAATATGCGCTAACATATTAACCTACACTAACTTTGGTGTCGAGATAAACTCGGATGTGGATTTGGAGGAATCTAAGATTACCAGAATAAGAGGATATCTGAGTTATGAACGCATGAGACAGCACCAGCCCTCTTTAGAGCTCTGGAGGTTTGCATACTTAAGTGCGACTGGTCCTTGGAGAAGATGGAGCAGGTTCCGAAGGTCCAGGGCTACTGGCGGTTCGAGCGGTTCAGCTCAGAAGACGACTGAGGTCAGCCGAAGGATGAGCCGGGAGTTGTAGCACTCGGGCCTGGAGTAAAGCCGGCGCCTGTGGATCCTGTGGATGCTCGTTTGGACGCTTCTTGGTCTCACTCAAAAACTCTGGCACAGAGGATGACCTGGGCCTGCTGGATTGCGTTCAGAGGTGACTTTGAATCACGCAGATAACTCAGAAAACGAGGCTCGAAGAGTAGAGAAAACTTTCAAAAATGGCTTCGCGAAATTAAAGAAAAATCAATCAAAGGCTTAATCTTGAATTGCTATGCGCACAAAAAGTTGAAGTTTCAAAACTTGAACTAAGACGATGTTAAAGAAAAATCAACGTGAATCAACACGTGGCGTAAAACTTAGAAGACTAAGAAAAAGTTCTAAGAGAAAACAAAGAAACGCACCACAGAAGGGTGTGGGCAGAAGAGTGGGTACGAGAGAGGAAGGAAGTGATGGACAAGAGAGAGAAGCATAAGAGAGTGCGCAACCCCACTTCACTGGTTTTATCTTCTCACACTTGGAGTGTCTACGGCGTGTGTGTGTGAGGAGAAAGAGGAGGGGGTCATCGGGTCTCTGATTATTTGATCTAACTTATTCTTTTGGCTGGTAAAAGAGTCAGATCTGATACTCACTCACTATGATTAATATCATTGAATACTTGGTTTCATGATAAATAATTTGACACTAAACACATATGAATGAAGTGTAGGATCACATCAAACATTCTCATTATGTTTTAAGTATCACATTGAACATGCTAAATTACTCTGAAATGAAACAGATAGTAACACATGGAAACTGTGAACAACAAAAGAGTAAACACATGTGAATGAACTTCATCATGATTAATAATGGATTCTAAATACTCACATTCAGGTTATTCAATGACATTATAACCATCTAATGGTTAAAAATACTAAATAAACAACTAAAATATAAACCAAACATTTCTAAACTGTTTATGTTACTTTAGAGTAAAGTTTTGATTCATAGTCAATAAATTTAACTCTTAAAAGTTCATGAAACAGTCTGAAAAGCTGTTGGTCTAAAGAAACTAAAGAGCGATAACTCGGCTTCTGGAGCACATAGAAAAATGGGAAACATCTCATTTTAACACAAATTTCATGATTAGACAGATTAGTACATTGCTGAATGCATAAGATGTCATGATCAGTCATTTGTATTCTTTCACCAAAGGAATGTAGTCTTTATCAGTGTATGGTCGAGCAGGGTTTTACGACCGAGGTCTGGAGGTCAGTGTCCCCCCTTATCCTGGGGTCCGTATGTTCACACACTTTAAGAAGGTAAATCTCAAATGGGAGATCTGGGTTGAGACGTTAATGTTTATTTAGATGGTCAGTGATGGAGTAAGTTTGAAAGGTAATAAAAACTCTGTCTCTGTTCGCCGAACTGACCAATCATGAAGAGTCAGAAGTTTGGTCAACCTCCGGTTGGGTCACTTAGGCACCTGAAAGTGTAAACAAGTCTGGAAAGATTTATATCCTGTGTCCTGGGACCAGATAAGGAAACTTTCCTGTGAGGAATGTGTGATTTTCACACCCAGGGTTGTCTTGATTGCTACATGTGCATGGCATTTATATGCTGGAAAACAGTCAAACTAACAAAATTTAGGTTCTGTCTAGGTTAAGCAGTATTTATGCATTTAACCCCACCATATTCTTGTACCATGCTCAAAGTTTGCTGTCTTATCAAGCCCACATAGCAAAGAACAGGAGATGAAAATATCAAAGCAAATCAGCTTAAATACATTAACAGCACCCTCACTTTTTTCGAAGCTTGCTGAGTTGATTTAAGAATTGTTCAGCACACGTTACGACGGACTGGAAAGTCTATCAAAGTGTATATTTTGGAGTTCCGTCCATGTTTAAGAAGCAAAATCTAATTTGGTGTGTTCGACTGCTCTGTTGACAGACAAAAGAGAGCCTCACATATAGTTCAACCTTCAGAGGGAACTCTTATTATCACTGAGTTGACAGCAACACTGATAAAAAAGGTCAGCTTGTAATATACTTCACCCCTAACCACACCAAAAATAGAACCTCTTACGGTTCCAATGTCACTGCTGCCTACTTAAAGGCCTTCAACTTCTTAACTCTTCTCTTTCCTGGCTTAAAATGAGGTTTAATATGTCTACATATGTCTAACAGTAGCAGTGATTTGGATCACATATTTGCACCAATTTTCCTCCAAAACAACCAAAAGAACAAGAATCTGTCATCTGCAAAGAGCAATTTGCAAAAAAGTGCAAATATTCCGAATACTTCATAATAATTCCTTTGAGCCATCACATGACATCCACTGATAGGCTCAGTGCATCCTTGACTGATAGCACCTCTCCGTTGGTGGTGTATGATCAGTCATAGGTGAATTCATAGCTGAGATGGGTACAAGAGATTGCCCAACTGGTGCAAGTATACAAGAGTCCAACTGTGATGCCCAAATTGGGTTAGAGCTCTCATAGAGTGTTCCCAGTCTGCAGCATTGAAACAGCAATAGGGGGACGGGTGGAAAAGACCCTCTGGTGTCTGTGGGGGGACAGTGCAACACAAAAACAAACCTGGTTAGTCCTCCAGGAGAGCCGGCACAAGTGCACTTTATGATCTGGAATCTAACCAAATGCAGGAAAGGGCAAGTATTTGAGTGAAGTACAGCTGTGTCATCACTGCATGTCTCTGAGTGTGTTTTCACTACTTTCTTATCTTTCATGTGAAACTTTCTGAGGTCAGTTCTAGTTGTTGAAACACTTAAGGGTGAAAGTGAAACAGTTGGTAGGACAGAATAAAGATATAAAGATATTCATCTTTTCCCATTGCAAGAATGCAAGGATTCTCCAGAAATGGAATTTACCTGTTCCTTTTTTTGATATCGACAGTCTGCTTTCTGTATTAGAGCCAGACCAATAAGACCAAAACATTTTATTCCCTGCCCTGGAATGCCAAAGCCTGAGGCGGGAATAGCAAACCTCCTCCAGTTCGTGTGCATGCATGAAAAACCAAATAAACGTTTTGTGTCAGATAACAACCAACCACTCCCAGTGCATTATCCCATACCTGTCTAATACACACAAACCCCAAAAACACTTGGAATACTGTCTGGATTGCTTAATACATTAGTGGGCAGTTTTGAAACTGTTGTGGTAGTGGTTGTACAGACGATGATGTCTCCTTAATAGACTCACAGTATGTCCAGTTATCACAACTATTGCATACAAGACACAGGAAACTGTGAGTCATATCCTAGGGGACCAGGTCATTTGGACAAAGGCACTCTGGACTTCACTAAATATAATTAGGGAGACTGTGTGCTGGTGGCTTTCTCTGTCCCTTAACTGATAGGCAGCAAAAGGGATAATGCACTCCCTGCAGTCATAAAATCGTCTTTATCTGTTGAAAACAGGATGCACTCAACCAACTATGCAATTTGATGAAATCTAACCACACTCCTCCATTAGCACCTCCCTCACAAAATAAATGAATAAATAAAATGGTAGAAAATCTTCTGAACTCTGCAAATCAGTCCTGATTAAACTCAGATCTTTTCCATCATCTTGTTTTTTTCAACACACTCTTGATTTTTAGGGGAATATAAACCTGCTCAGTAAATGTCACTCTCAACTTTCCATCACGTTATAAATTTACTCTGACGGATGGTCATTTTTGTCCAGATGGGGGCATGAAATGAACCTTAGGGAGTTGTAGAAAATGTTGACAGTTCATCCTCTGGGAGCCATGAATACTCACAGTCAATCTAATCCCATTTTAAAGTGCTTCGCAGAGCTGGACAATAAATAAACAAACATGAAATAACACAAAAATTTAAACCAACAGTGGTTGAGCATTAAAGGGATATTCCAGTCTAAAATTAATTTAGGGTCAAACACACTGTAACAGAGTTAGACACCCCCTTGAGAGATGAATGTTGTCGACTGTTTGCTTCTCTAGTTATACCAACTTTAGTAACGACTGCAGATAGGAATACACAGCAGTCTGAGGAGCCATAAACAAACCTCAACCAAAACACCACTCTGTAGCCACAAATAATGCTCAGAACAGCACCTAACTTCACCAACAGTACATATAGGGTCCTAGCACTAGCCACCAAACATCTTTTTAACTTTGCCTAATTTCTTTAGCTAAGACACTAAACACAATTCACCCACTCTCTTCCAGCAGCCGCTTGTTTGTAGTGAGACCTCGGGCCAGTCCATTACAGACTGCTGCGGGGTGATGCAGCTCAAGGAAGAACATTTATGATCCTTTCTTTTTCATTTCCTTGAAGTAATAATCATCATATTAATCATTTTGTAATGCAGATGCAGTAGTTCTTCTGCCTTAAGGTCCTTACACACCGCGGCCGACGCAAATATAGAACGCAAAATTACGAAATATTCGGAGGAGAATTTTGACGCACCTGACTATACACATCAAGCCCGATGCGATTTTGCGACTTTCCGGGTGAAAAAGACACATCCTGGGTCAAAGCGAGAACACTGACACAACAACAGACTGAGTGTTTTTCAGACCATCGTCATATGAGAAATCTGACGCTATGACTCTCTACAAGTCGTCCTTCAGGTCGTCATCTTTGTAATGTTTGTGTTTTTATCAAAAAGCACTCTGTTCTCCGACACGTAAACAATCAGCCAGTCGGCCATGTTGGATATACCGGTGAATCAGACGTCGCAACAACGCGAAATCTGATTGGTCAGAAGTGGACACAAAGAATGCGAAACTTTAGAAAAATCGACCATGATCCGAAAAAAATAAATGCCGCAATAACGCAGGATGGGAAATCGTCGCTGATGTGAACGCTTGTATTGACAGGATACGGGTTCGAAAAAAAATATTGATGTCCGAAATAATCGCACGTAAAAAGCGGTCCCGGTGTGAAAGGACCTCTAGCGTCTCAGTTTGATTGCATTTCCGTGAAGAAATGATCATAAATTTTCTTCCTTGAGCTGCATCACCCCGCAGCAGTCTGTAATGGACTGGCCTGAGGTCTTACTACAAACAAGCAGCTTCTTGTTTGTAGTGAAGATGTTTGGTGGCTAGTGCTGTGGCTGGGACCCTATATGTACTGTTGATGAAGTTAGTTGCTGTTCTGAGCATTATTTGTGGCTATAGTGTGACGTTTTGGTTGATGTTTGTTTGTGGCTCCTCAGACCGCAGTGTATTGCTATCTGCAGTCGTTACTAAAGTTGGTATAACTAGAAAAGCAAGCGGTCAGCAACATTCATCTCTCGAGGGGGTGTCTAACTCTGTATTATGGTGTGTTTGACCCTAAATTAATTTTACACCAGAATATCCCTTTAAGTTTTTAACAACAAGGAAGACCCTTAAACACCCCCTGGCTTTTTGCCCAGGTTTTCTTATCATAACTTGGACTGGTTCCATCAGAGCAGCTGTGACATGAAAAACTTAATTAGCAGTTGTTTACCAGGGTGTTTATGATGTTAGGAGGTAATGGAGACCATTAGAAGGCAGAGAGAAGCCACAGGCTGAGAGACAGCAGCAACTTACAGGAAAACTTCCTGTTCACCTCCCAGTGCACTCCCACGCCAGCTCCCTGAGCTGGGAAAAACACAAGTGGTGATAAAAATGTTGAAATAAAGATAAAGTTCAGTTTATGACGGCAAGTTTAAACTTGTTTCCCAGCAGGGCCAAGAATCAAAAGATGTCCAATGGCTTAAATCTTGAATTCAGTTATTTTTGGCCAATTTTCTCAAAAGTACCTCACTTAAAGAGATTTCTTCTATCCAAACAGTCTTACTAAGTCTCTCTGTTTCCTGAACTGTTCACTTTTGGGCTGAAAAACATCAGCTCCAATCTTTTGAGGGTGGAGTTACTTTTTTTCTCCTTAGCCTTTTCTTTTTTTTTTTTTACACAGAGCTGATGGTAAACTGGGTAGGATTTTGACCAGTAATTCTGCATCTGACTGGCAATGATTAATCTGTTACAAGGCACCAGTTGTCATCTATTTTGATTAAATTACTTCACGTCAGTAATAAGGTACACTAAAACTTAAGGTAATTTCATGATAAGATAAACTCAACAATCCAGTCATTGTTTCCTTGAAACGGTCAGATTTTTAGGACAGTTGAATTGATTTCCCTTTTCTGTGAAATACTTGTTCCTCTCCGTCTGAATAACCATGTTTTTTTAAAATTATTCATCTGAACCGTCACATTGGCACAGTCAATATGGTTACTTGGTCATGTTAGAGGGGAAGTTTTTGCTCTTCCTCCCTCATCCTAGCCTGCAGAAGATGGATATCTACAATCGCATTGGCTCCAATTTGTTTACAGCTGCTGTTGTTCTGTTTTACATCTCCATCTGTATCCACTCATCTTCAGCAGAGGGTTTAATGTTATCAGAGGCAGTGTCCTGTCGGCCAAGGAGACTAACCAGGCGTGAGACTGTTCACACAGCACGCGCGCGGAAGCGCCGCGCGCGGAACGGCTCGCGCTCTGGAGCGCGGGTGCTCCGCTTCTCTCTATTTTCGGCGCGAGCCGCGAGCGCCGATGTAAAGCTCAACAGAGCAGATCGGACCAGACAGGAAGTCAGGAAGGAGATGCGAGAGAATCCGGTCAATTTTCAAAATAAAGTAAATGTCAATAAATTAGAAAAGGATTTACGGTGTTGCTTGTCAGTCTATTTTTTTTACCGATGAACACACACACACACACACACACACACACACACACACACACACACACACACACACACACACACACACACACGGAGGGAGAGCTGCAGAGATTCAGTGATGTTATTGAGACAAAGAGAGGGGGGACTTTATTACGATACAGTCAATAGCCTCGAGCTAACAAGGCTATACATACAACGGAGTCAACAGACTCCCCAATTTATTCGTCGTTTACCCCTATATAATAATTTAAAACATTACTTGAAGATGCTGTCAATATTTAATTCATGTATGACGAAATAAAAACGTAAATAAATAGTGATTTACCCATTTTTAAAGCGCTCGTAAGTGTGGAAAACTGAGGGCAGACGGAAACGGCCGAGCATTACCGGGCTCAGTCGATGTCTGACCGGCATGTCAGAGCGCAGCAGAAAGCGCTTCCTGTGTGAACAGCCAAGCGCGAGCCGGCGCTGCGCGCGCGCGCGGCGCTTCCGTTCCGCGCGCGGCGCTTCCTGTGTGAACCAGGCGTTAGCCCGGTAGTGCTCGGCCGTTTCCGTCTGCCCTCAGTTTTCCACACTGTAATATGATTTCCAGGCCATGTGATTTATTCCATATAAACCCTACAGTGTGCATATAATATAAACAGCCACCAACCCTTTTTACTCTGAGCTTACTTATGCTGCATGATGAAACCTTTCTGTGGGGCGCTTATGCTTATTTTGTACAAGAAAAACACTCCATGTTGTTAGTGTGGCATTGAGATTTTGTCGGGAAATCATGTTTTTATACTAACCCCAGTTCCACACAAGTAATGCTGCTGAGTGTAGATGTGAATTATAAACAGATTATGATGGCTTGCAAATCACTGAAGCTCTATTTTTAATAGAAAATGGTGGAAAGACAGTATATCAAATGTAGGAATAGATTTTGTTTACGTTTTAGGTGAAATGTTTCGAAAAGTCAGTCCAGAAGCAAAAAATCGATGAAAACGTTAAAAAGTTAGCGAATATAACTACTAACTTACTTTTATCCGAGGTAAAAGGTCAACACCATAGGCTGTATATAGAATGGACAGCGTCTGCCTCCTTGCTGGGTGAAGCCACTCTGAGAACAGCACCCTCTGGTGACAGGCTGCAGTATAGGTCATAAACCCTGCCTTCGCCAGCCGTCCTTATGAAGCTGTGGAGAAACTTACAGACAGAATATAATTACACAGAATATACATTTTTCTCCACCCTGCTTGCGATTTTGAGATGTAGTTACTGTAAGACTGGTTTGTGCTCAAGTCCTCGTTTTTCTGTACAGCTCCATTTTTAAGCGTTATTAGGGGGGTTCATGTTTTTTATACTTGTCACTTGATACAGCCTATGGGTGTACAAAGATTGCATAGCTCACCTGGGGGATACACTGTTTGAGCCGAACGTCATCACAGCGACTCTCGGTGACTCTCCTGCCTGTCAACACCTAATAGTGCATTTAAATGGGGTTGTACATAAATGCAATGCTTTATTATGTGGCTGATGGGGTATGCGCAGTTAGTGCACCTTTAATTGATGAAGCAAAATGTAGTCATTTCCAACCTTTAGCTTTCTTGTATAGGTAATAATGACTCACGTGTCATATTTGTAACAAAAGTGCAAAAGCTTGTCACTAGAAGCACAGGCGCCTAAGATGATCTGGCCACCTGAGCATATATTTGGTACCCTCACTGTTTCGCCCCAACAGCAACATGCATACAAGTAAAACCGCAGCAAACTGGTCCATTGACCTGCTGATATGAAGTTTCCCTAAATTAACAAACTTGGGTTTTAACATCAACATCATTAACCATAACGATAAGCCAACCTCTATAAATCAACAAAATATGTCTGAAGTAGCACTTTGGGATTATAGAGGTTCCTTTTTTTGATGTAAATGCTTGGTTAAAAAAAAAAAAAAAGGAACCTCTAACTTCGTGTTTACACTAGATGTAAATACAATTATCAAAGCCAGTTGATTACATATTAAGTCAATGTAAGGACGCAAGTAGATCCAAGTTTTAACGTATGGCAAATTGCAAGAGTTGTACATGTGAATAATGCAAATTAGTGATGTTTTCGACAGGCTGTTCATTTCAATCGTGGCTTTAATCTATAGTCCTGTTGTCGTATTTTTACAAGTCAAAACACTTTAATCTGCTCAGCAGCATCATTATACTGCAGCTAAGTTGGTGTTTTTACTGCCTGATCTCACTGTTGTGATTTGAACTCCATAAAGGTTTTGTCTGATTGCCTCATTATAATTTGTTAGCAAGCATGTCATGTTTCCTCTATCTTGGTGAGGTTGGACATCACATTAGAGTTGAGATGAACCCTGTTGTGGCAACCAAAATATGGCCCAACCTACATCACAGGCTAACCATTTCAATGTATGGTTTAGAGTTGATTTTACATCCTAGCTTATTCAGAGCTGGTAGAGAGACACAGCTCCTCTGTATTGTGTACATTAATACAGGATATACCAACCCCTACCAACTTAAAACAAAAACAAAGTGAACTCGTTCTCTTCTGCATACAAAAACATTTTGTTCTCCTCAGTTTTTGTTGAAAACGGCAGAAAAACTGTCTCTCTCCCTTGAGAGGAAATAATATGTCCTGTGAAAGGGCTGAGGATGTGCTCAAGTCAGAGTTGAAGTGGAAACAAAGATCTACGCTCCCTCTTGTTTTAACAATGATGAAAGATTAGTTTTTAAGCTTCTCATGCACATACCATACTGTAAAGAAGAGTACCCATGGAAATTCACTTAAAACTATATCTGGCCGTATGAACGTATTGTGCATTGTCCGTGAAGTTATACAATGTTATCCTTTCCCTAAAACATCCGCCCTGCTGGGGTTTCCTGGCTAGCTGGAAAAATCCTGGAGAACCTGGCAGACATTTAGACTACAAACAGTGTAACAGAACAAGAACCATGTCTTATGTAGAAAAAAAGAGGATTTTGTTTTGTGTAACTTTGAATTTATCTAATATAATTAGCATTAACCTCAATTATATTTTCTATACAGTATTTTCTTCACAATTGAAAAAGTCTGAAATACTTGTGCAAATGTTCTCATTGTATTTCAACTGCTTAATCTTATATAATACAGGTAATTCAAGAGCTGTATCAAATCACAGTGTCAAGGAGTTTTTCTTTCCATTCAGTATCCACAAACTCACTCTGAACTGCTTTCACTGTCATGATATTAATCTGATATCTGGCCAGTTACGCAAATTTTGTGTTTTAAAAAATGTTGCTTTAGGCTGACAGATTTTAGGGGGGAAAAGTTTTATTGTTTTCTGTTGAAAAAAAAAAATCCTTTCTAGTCATTAGCTGTTTTGTTAACTTCTCTGTCCACCGCGAAACACAGAAATGGTTAAAAGTACTTATATAAGCACGTCAGACCACTTGGTAGAGATAAGAAATCACTTATGCCAGAACACTCAAGAGGAACATTGTTTACATTGCGTACACTGAGTTCACAGTCTTTGATTAACTATGCATGAAGTGGCATTTGAATCAATAACTATAAAGCATGATGAAACAGTGAAAACAAACTGAAAGATTTAAACATGAAGTTTAAAACAAAGACAAAAACAAGCCATTCCACCATCTTGGGACATGTGCAATACATATAAACAACATGTTATGGCAGGACAAGGAAATGACAGCATTTCAAACTTAAAAGGTGTTTTAGAAACCTAACTGTTTAGTGAACTTCTACGGGACATGACAGCTTTTTGTGTATTTTAGAACATATTTATTCAGGTTATCTTTTTTCTCTAGGGGGCGTCTGTGGCTCAGAGGAACAGTTGAGAGCTGGGGGTTGATTCCAAGTCCTCCTGTCCACATACCAAAGTGAGTGATTGAATTGTGTTTGCACTGAAGGGCACTTACATAATTGTCTTTATCATGAGTCCGAATGAACGGCAACCTTTTTTTTTCACTTTGAAGTCGTTGAAGGTTTGAATCATTATCAAGACTGTCGTTATTGTCAAGGCTCTGAGGAAACAGGATGACGACAAGGTTCATAACAGGAGTCTGCAAACACACAGAGAAAATGTAGACTGTGTAAAAGCGGGATAAACCATACCATTACTGCCATCTTGTGGCGTAAGAAGGAAGAACAGCTGAAGGCTACGCAAACAAAACTTAAAAATCACACTTTATTCACAAGGTACTTTACAAAGATGACACAACTCATCAAAAATAAAAAAAGCAGTCATATCTTTATATTTAGGTTTCTAACAGCAGACTTGATCCTAATGTAAATAGCTTAGTTCTGAGGGCTGCTGGGTCAATGTAAAGCAGAAAAAAACAACAAGAAACTCAAACTTACAAAGTTTGTCTGGTTTCCTGTCTGTTTCCCTTCAGTCACAATAAGCCACATACACCTGACAAATCAAATGTTAAAAACAACTTTCAGGTATGTTTTTAGGGGAACAACGGTGAAGGAAACCTGGAACTGTACATTTATTCTGGTTTTCTGCAACCACCAACAGGGTAGATGGTGTGTCTGGCTCTTACTTTTGACATCTTGACTGAAAAAATACACACAAAGCAGCGTAGATGAAAGCAGAATCCCTTGAGGGATGTAAGTGGTTTTGCATGCATGCCTATCAAAACACTTCTCATGTTACGTCACAGCAAGGGAGCCAATTCGACAGTTCCTGATAGAGTCTTGCCATGTTTTCCCAGTAGATGGCCCACAGAAACAACATAGAGGCATCAACATTCTCCTGGTTTTTTAGCAAGACTACGGTCTGGGAATACATGTAAAGGCAAGGAAAATGTAGTTTTCATTATATGGGCCTGTAAAAAACATGAAAACAGTCCAACAACAGATCTTTCTTTGAAATATAAATAAACAGTTTTGAAAATAACTTCAGATTTCCAAAAGAGTGCACAATGTGGCTTCATCGAACTCCTGCAATAATTGTCTTGTTTTAATAGGTGCCATTGAGCCAGTAAGACATCAGAGGTCAGGGGTCAAGTTGGGGTAGGTTTGGGTTGGTATTTGACTCTGTTGTAGTCATCGATGGTAGTTTGCACTGTTTGCGTCTTCCAATATTCTTCCAGGCCCAAAGCCAGACACAAAGCAATGGCAAATATCTGCAACACACATACACACGCATATACATAAATGATGATACACATACTTGTTTATGTTACTAATGAGTGGTTCTGGTTAACAAGCGAACTAGGACCCCTTACCTGTACAAAGGCATCTTGTGATATCCTCTTTAAAATTTCAAATGATACTGAGACATGACTACAGTGCCATTTAAAAGCAACATAAGTGTATTGTCAGACCAACACACACATTTATATCTATGTTGCCAAAATGGGTCTCCCTCTCTACAGGCCAAACCTGAACCCAGTCACTATATGATGGTATTTGTTGTGTTATTAGCATCATTTGTGTACTGTGATGCCATAATGTGTATTTTCAAGGATATGAAGATTCCAGTGGGATGCCACTTAAAAAGCCAAATATCTGAATTTTCTATTACTCTGAATTCAACTGTTAGACACTTAAGTTCCCAACTTTGCTATTATATCGTACCCTTTTCAGACTGAGTGTCATTAAGTTTTGTGAACTTGGCTATTTTTAAAACAATTAACTAAAGAAATGCTCACAAATTCTAGAAAAGGATAAGGATTTAGTATGTGACTGTGTACCGTGATGGTAGAAAAGGCTGAAATGATTCCTATCCTGAGTCTGATGGGGAAGCTCAAGTAGCTCTTCAGGATAGGACCACAGGGCTGAAATGAAATAGCAGATGATATTTTAAGGATAAAGCATGGACTGTATTTCTAAAAAGCTGTAGAACAAGTTGACAAAGGGTCACTTAAAAATAGGGAGGACTTCTTGTAAAAGTGTCAGCAGTGGTATTTGTATGAGTACCAAACTCTTGTTAAAACTAAATATTATTAAATTAAATTAAACAATGATGATAGGGTGAGGGTGGGTCTGAAATGGCACATGTAGCTACCTTAGAGTGAACCCATCCCCCTTCTGTGACCTGTACGGTTGGAGGATTTTGGTCGCTGCCCACCATCACACAGGGCTCTCCCGAACTAATGTCAACCACTTGAGAGCTGTAATAATAGAGAAAGTTTTGCAGAATTTTTGGAAACACAACAAAAACTCAAAACCATGACAATATGAAGATGTTTTCTGTTTTGGGGAAATTCAGTATATCTTGTACTACATTGAATTGCTGGTACATTAATAGTGATGGTGTTATATATAGCCCAATTATATGAGGTCAATTGCACAAACATTTCCTCTCTAGCTCACCTTTTTACTAAAAGCCTTAATATCATAATAAAAAGAAATAGGAAACACAGAATAAAATCCCAAATTGCTAAAATTATTTAGGAAAAAAAATAAGTTTATGAAATGTTATTACTCTTGTCAAAACACAAAAGAATTTAATGAAACACAAAATCGACTTAATAACTATGATTTTTTTTTTTTTGTTAAAACCTCCTAAAATTTTACTAAATTCTTTAACATTTCATTAAATGCAAAATTGGACAGATTTTAAAAAACATTTATTTGTAGTCTTCTTCTAGTTTTTGTCTAATCTAAATATTTTGTGAACTTTTTTTTTTCAAACATTTTTTTTGTACTGTAAGAGTTTTTTTTATATATTTCATTGAATATTTTTGAATTTTGTGGATTCTTATATCTTTTATAAAACATTCATCTCATTATTTTTTCCCACATTTTGATATCAATGAAATGTTTTTGTTATTAAGTGAAATGTCTGATGTGCCATGTAATGTTTGTGTAGTTGATCTTAGGAGCCACAGAACAAATCTGCCTGACAAAGTTTTAAAAATTTCAATAACTTTAAATTTGAGAGACATCTTGAGTACCTCAAGATGCAGAGTCCTTCAGTTAAAACCTTTCTGGTTACAAAATCTGATACTTCTGCAAGAAAATGGATACTTTGAAAACTTGTATATGTATGAAAGCATTGAGAATTATATTTCAAGAAAAACTACAAATTTGTAAGGTCCTTTGTAAGAACAAACCCATACTACGAACAGGGATTCACTCACATATGTACATTGCTATTTTTCATTATTTATATTTACATTTATAATTTTTATAATTCTGTCTTCATTGTTTTGGTACAAAAATGCCAAGTCAAATTCCTCATATGTGTGAATCTGCTTATTAGGTTCTCATGTTTTTGTTGCTGTACCTTGGATTTAACTCAGAGGTGTTGGCAAATGTGCATCCACATGTGTTTGGAAGTTGATCCTCCCAGTCTTTATAACTCCTCAAACCACAACAGGAATCCTGGGAAAAGACAGTATCTAAAAAATCAACGTCAACATGAATTTTACAGCTCTTACAAAACTGGCAGATACTATATGTCTCTCAAAAATATTTGTGTTTTTTTTTGTTTGTTTGTTTGTTTTAAATCCTTTAAGATCACATCAGATTAATACATTTGATCTGTTCTCGGTTTTTGTTCAAAGTTTCCTACTGAGGCCTGCAGCTTGTTCAGTTCACGCTGGATGTAATGGTCTGTTCTGTGAAGGGGAGTTACATTTAGAAACACATTTTCGACCTCAGCGTCCATCTGCAAAACAGAAAAAACAAACTGAGCAGTACATAAATATTAAAGAGTAACTCTAGGACAAAATTATCCACAAAAAGATTTTTTGCAGACAAAAATGCAGTGATTAAAAAAAACAGCACAAGAAAGAGTGTGAGCTTTTTAAATGTTCAGGAACGTAAGCTGCAATAAACAAAGCACCACCGGGGGTGCTGGAGGTGGTAAAGAAAGTAATAGACTTTACAGACAAACTAAATAGAAGTTACCTGGGTTTGAACTTGAACCAGTGGGGAGGCAACAACCATCATAGCTACGAACTCCACAAATATCAGAACAGAAAACTGGAAAATATAAACACAGATTAGCCACAGGCCTTCAGTTCTTCTTTTTAGTACAAAGTAGGGACTTGACTTTCTGATGGGGACAAGGGGACCATGCCCCCACAAGGAAGGTAAGTTAATTTTTGGTTCAGAATTAGTTTTAGGTTTTGGGTAAGAGAGGAGGGTCTCACCACCAAGAGCAATGGCTTGAGGTCCAATGTTGCAGCACAAATACCCAGAATGGATAAAATTACAGTGACAGGGCCAAACACCTGCAGGGCCAGTAGACCATCACTGCTAGACAACTGGTCAAACAACTGGGAAAAAAGGAAATAGGAAAAGTCAATTTTTGTGTGTGTATGAAATGAGCTGGTTTTATTTTGTCTTAAGAAAAACTGTTATGAAGCTACTATTAAAGCAGCAGTTCCCAAAGTGACCCCATATTAAAATATCAGCTTTACTACAGCAGAATTTAGCATGTTTACAGCCTACAAAAAATATAGTGGAGTCAGAAGACACTTATAGGAACCTTTTTTTTATTTTCATTTTGCAGATTTTATCAATAATTTTTGAACTATAGACCAATACAGCATTTAAATTGAAAAAGGGAAATTAAAATCCTAGGCTTCTATCTTGTTTGACACTGACAAATGAATGGTCTATGCATCCACTTGTTGAATAATGTATATTTACTTACTGCCACTGTTAAAACATGTTCACTCATATTCCGCTTCTTGCCTTTTTTAAATACCAATAAAATAATACCACGGTTGTTCAGTAATTGTGATATTTTATGCTGATATAAAGTCTGGGTCAGAGTTATGCATTTGGGGCATGTGTATTTGCTGGTTTGCTGATTAGCTGGAAGCCAGTTAAGGTAAACATTCACAATTCTTTGTGCCACATAATGCCTCTTGAGTAACCAATGGGTGACATCAGTGAGAGGACGGCCATCTTTTCAACAGTCTATAGTCTTGGGAAAGAAAAGTTGCTTGAAACAACAAACCAACCATGTGGGACGAATAGTAGTGCGTTGAGGTCTAACACAAACACAGTTACCTCAGCAACTGGAGTATTTCCCTCCATGGAGGCAAATCCAGCACCAATCATCACCACACCAGACACCTGCAGAGAGGTAATGAAGGGAAACAGACAAAAAAGTTTGTTAAACTGCCATGACTGAGTGAGTTTGTTGGTTTTCACAGAAGAAGGAAGTCTTTAACAGCAGCAACATTCCTCTGAAACTGTTCAGCTTCCCCAGAGAGATGCTCATCAGACCCTCATCAGCTGGGAACTATAAAACTTGACATCATCAGTCTCACAGTCAGAGTTTGGACTTTCACAGAAACTCTTACTGTACAAACCCACCTAAAGGCTTTCTTGATGGATTGTCATTACCTCCGCCAAGGAGGTTATGTTTTCGGTAGCGTTGGTTGGTTTGTTTGTTTGTTTGTTTGTTTGTTTGTTTGTCTGTTAGCAACTTTACGGAGAAAGTAACAGACGGATTGACCTGAAATTTTCACCAGAGGTGCGTCTCAGCCCCAGGAGGATCCCGTTAAATTTTGGTGGTCATCCAGACAAAATTCTGGATACTGTGATCCAGAACACACAAAAATAAGGGTGTCATTGGAATTTTCAATGCTGAAAGATAACCAATGGGCGGCACAGTGGTGTAGATAGGCAGCACAGTGGTGTAGTGGTTAGCACTGTTGCTTCACAACCAGAAGGTCCTGGGTTTCAATCCCTGTCAGGGCATTACTTGCTTAAGGGGGGACATGAACTGCTTGGCGGAGGTCTGCGCTCTCCGAGTGCTTTTCTAGTTTCTTTTTGTTTTTGTAGTTTCTGCAGCTATTTCTAATTTTGCAGCAAATTTAAAAGCAGCTGCTTAACGAGGATGTTCTAGAAAAAAGAAATCAACATCAAGGATAAAAAAGCAGTTAGTCTACAACTAATTAAAATACAATGAAAGGACACTTACAAAGCCCCAAAACACATTATATCCATTGTAGTCAGTAAAGAGAATGAAAAAGATAAAAAATATCATGTCTATGTCTGTTTTACATAGAGAGACAACAATTCACAAGGTCTGAAAAACACTGTGGCATTACAGGATTAAATACTCCTACAATGAAATATCTGACACTAAAATCAGTGTAGTCAGCCGATTATGTCTAACAGGCACCAAAACAGGAAGCAGGAGCTGGTAAATAAAGAACACCACAATGGAATATTTTCCCTGTCAGAGATTTAATGAAAAAAGTTAGGCAGCTATTTTCCATCTACTTACAATAACGTTAACATCATTTTTTTTAGATTATATAATATTTACAGCATGGCACTTTCACATCGTTCCAATAGAGAGCATTAAAGTGATGTTCTGTGCAGACTTTATTGTTATGCTACTTTTCAGCTCTGCTTTAATCTCTCTAAAAACAACATTTGAATGTAAAGCAATTACAATGAAATAATATTAATGCCCAAAAAAGTACAGACATCAACATACAAAAACTCAAAAAAAACAAAAAACAAAAATAAACTTTAAATTATGTACAACCAGAACCAATCCTTGGGGTGGTATGGTGGCATAGGCCCCCCTTTGTAATCTGATTGGCCACCCATGGTGCCATCCAAAAAAACTCAACTATTATTAGCAAGTTGCCTCATCAGAGGCGGGACTACTGTCAGGCCCAAAACTAATTGTTATGAAATGAGGAGTTGTGATATCTTCTTACAAGCTTCCCAAGGAGTGATTTCCAAACTTTAATTTAAGGAATGTGCTTGGGTCACACTCCAACTTCTGTGATATCTAGCCTCTGTTCTCTGAACATTACAACTCTTTTCACAGGCTATTAAAACTAAAAAGCTATATCTCATGTTTAACCTGTTTATAACTAAAGTATTGATTTTAAATCACATCTTTTTTCTTGATATTCCATCTTTTTCTGGTAATTGTGCAATTTTACTCTCAATAATATGAATAACTTTTGTGTCATATGAGTCTATTTACAGAAATTAACAGAAACCCAATTATTGCAACATTATATTCTATAAAAGTTATTTAACAACTTTACTTGGGTTATTGCAATTATTTATATATGTATATATCTATATACATATATATATGTGTGTGTGTGTGTGTGTGTGTGTGTGTGTGTGTGTGTGTGTGTGTGTGTGTGTGTGTGTAATTTTTTTTCCTCAAGCAAACATGACTTTATTCTTAAATTATGAAAACTGAAACTATTGCAACTCTATTGTCAGAATGTTATTTTTCAACTATAAATTTGGAAAGGGTGAATCATCAATCCTTCAATGATTCATCTTTATTCTCAGAAAGTACAGACTCAGCCCCTGGAAACTGCATTTTTGTTTTATATATGTATATATATCGTTGCTCTATCCTCACAATATTCACACTTTATATTTTGACTTTATTTTTAGAATCTTGTGAATTTTTCAAGTTTTGCAAGGACTTAAGTTTTGGAATTACACTACTTTAATTTAGAGTTTTTAAAACTTTGTTTGGCATATCATCGTACTAGAATTTCATTCTCAGTGTATTACAACTTAATTCCTGAAATATTACAACTCTATTACCACCTTTTCCATATAATTTGGGGACTTTGTTCTTGCAATATCTCAACTTTTGTCTTTGTATATAAAACTCTATTTTCTGAGTCGTGCAACTTTTTCCCTTATGATATGGGGAGTTTATTCTCGTAAGATTGCAACTTAATTCTGTTAACAGAGCAACTTTTAATGGAATTTAATGACTTATCCTAGAATCATAACAACTTATATCACATACATTAATATTACAACTTTTTCTCATAATATCAGAATTTTATTCTCAGAATAATAAGACTTTTTTAATTAATGCTAAGGTTTTATTCTCAGTATATGACCACTTTATTCTTTTGATATTACAAATCCATTCTGGGATTATTATGACTTTTGTAATGTAATATTATAACTATTCTTGTAAAATCACAATTTAGAAATTGGATTATTATAACTCTTTGTAATTTTGTGACTCTTCATTTAAAATTGATGACTTTTTCAGAAAATTACAGGTTAATTTTCAGAATATCAAGACTTTTAGTCAGGAATATTATTAATTAGCGCTCTGATATAATAACTTATAATATTTCAACTATTTTCTTGGAATACTTTTTTACTTTATACTCATAATCATTTTTTTTTTAATTTTTTTGGGAAAATGTAATACACATTGTTTCTGCAATCACAATTGACATTTCTAAATTTGTTTTTGTCTCTGTTTCCCTCAATTCTGTAATCTTAACTTTTCAACCAGATATTCTCTATCTGAATAAAGCCAAATAAATAAGATGAACTGGAAGTAAATCATTCAGTCTATTTCTGGGCTTGTAACTTTTTAATGTTGTTAAATCAGTCAATGTATTGACACAAGATTTAACAACATTTCATTTTAATGAATCTTTTACTATAAGACTTTCCAATTAGAGTTGGGAGATGCTATGAATCTGTTTTCTCTTAATTTTATGTTCTTATGTTAAATCTTTATGTTAAATCCTCAAGTTAATTAAGATACCTATGTCTTACTATGATGTTTACCTCACAAACATATTAGCATATTAGCAGTTAGCCATTAGCTCACCAGTAGCAGCACTGTGACACAGATGGAGAGTCCTCGTAAGTAACTCCTGCAGCGAGCCATGACCGTTGTCTGAGAGCGCCGAGCTAAAATAGAAACAGGGTAAAGACCAGAGCAGGCTCACAGGGTGTGTGTGTGTGTATATGTGTGTATATGTGTGTGCGTGCGTGCGTGCGTGCGTGTGTGTGTGAGAGAGAGAGAGGGAGAGAGAGATGGATGTTGTTTAAAGCTCCAGAGTGTTTGGCTGCAGAACGAAAGAACATGACCAAGTTTGGAAGATCAGCTGGACAGAAAAGAGGAGAGGAAGAAGCAAGGAGAGGAAACAAGGGGTGGAGGAAACAAGGGGGGAGACAAGGAAGCAAGAGGAAGGGAGGTTATTTTAGGTCACAATTCTATCTAATTGAAGGGAGAGGATGAGGAAGTAATCAAGACCAAGGGAAGGAAACACCGAGAGAAAGGAGGAAGGCAAGACAGAGGGTTTGAAAGAAAGGGAAAGCTCAAAGTATAACGATAATAGAAGAGTGAAAACAATGTTGTTAGGCACGATATGGTAAATAAGACAACAAACTAATATAATAAAACTAGTAAAATGAACACCATTATTTATGGTTCATTACATTTCCTTCGGAGCACCTGTTCAACTGTTTGTGATGAGTCTTAGTCTACTGTAAGAAGTAAGTTACACAAGTTTTAACTCTGACGTATGGTACACAAGTATTTGACTGAGTCTCATTTTCACTGATAATAGTAAGATAAACAGAGGCTTTATTCTAGCTAGCTTCTGTTTGTCGTGAGTCTCCGTTTACAGAGGCTTCACTCCGACTTACTTCAGTGGTATGAACCGGATTTTTTATAAAGTTGCTTAAACGACATTGTGATGCAGATTAGAAAAAATAAATAGTCAAGTTTTGTCAGGTCAAGAGGAGTAGGACAAACTAAAAAATTGGTTGAGTGCAGGTTGGATTTTTCTTTTCTGAAGCAGTCAGTGAAGTCGGAATATAAACTCAGAATTTCTTTAGTGACATGGCATCAAGCAGATTAGTGTCTCAGTGTAAATGTTTAATCTAGAGCAGTTTGCTGGCAGACCTAGCATGCAGATATCTGTTTATAAAGAGAGATAAATCATCAGTTTCCTACTGGTGAGAGCAGGGGTGTCATTTTGGTTGATTGTTCTGCCTGCTTTTGCTCTCCATACTTGCCATTTTTATGCCTGGACTTTTAACATTATTTATTTAAATCCCTTAAAATTTGCACTAACATTTGCATTTCTTAATTCAAGGACCATGTCATTTCAACATTCAAAACAACAAAACAACTGTGGTGGCTGCAGCTCCTTTTCAGAGTTCAAGTAATCGTACTATACGCCAAAAATGTCCTGAGCTATCCATATCAGTGTCTGGTATTGTGTAAAATGTTATGTCATCAGAGCTTGTTGTACAGATATGATAAAATAAAACAGAGGAATTCGGCGGAGTGATTAAGCAGTGCACTCTGTTGACTTAAGACTAAAAATAACTGCACAGGGACAGACTGACTGTATGTGTATGTCTGTGTGTATGTATCTGTGTGTGTGTGTGTGTGTGTGTGTGTGTGTGTGTGTGTGTGTGTGTGTGTGTGTGTGTGTGTGTGTGTGTGTGTGTGTGTGTGTGTGTGTGTCCGTGTGCGTGTGTTTGTACCTATACGTGTGTGTGTGTGATGGCTATAAACAGTGTTTCAGTTCTGAGCTGTTTTCCACTACGCATACATACCATCACGCAGTGACGAACATGATGATCCACACTCTGACAGACTCTGTTGTATTACAGTGAAGGAAACTTGTTCACTTTCATCCATCACTCTACATCATCAACATTTATTAAATCAGCTTCATACTTGGCATGACTGGAGTGTCTTTGTCTGAAAGTTTCCAACAATACTTGTTATAAACATTGCGGCCTCCAGAGGGCGCCGTCCGGACTGCTGTTGGTGGGCATATTTAGATCAGCAAAGACTCCCAGTACAGGTCATAGACTCTCATATCAAAGGATGGACCATTTATAGTAAACAGCTGTTCAGTTATAACTGGCATCAAAGAAATTTAAAGGCAAAGTAAACACAAGTTATCAGTACAGTGTCTCTTTATTGTGTTTTTATATATATATATATATAAAAGTAGAGCTTTTTTAATTTCTTTTTATTTAAATTAAGTGCCCTCCTAAGCTAAATAGAAGAGGATAAAGGGCAGTTTTTTGTACAATCGTACAATGTACAATCTCAATGTCAGAGTTTCTCTTTGTGATTTTGGAAGAATGGTGGAAAAAAAAAAAAAAAGCAACACTCTTCACACTCAACATACATCCAAGCTGAATCCTGGTCTTTATCAGAAAGCCGTAATGTAACCTTTTCACTGCAGCACAGAGTGTGACAGCTTCCCTCCATCCTTTCCTCTATTTACACAACCTGAGCGGTGATAAAACCAGTCTAAACAATGGACTGCAGACACACAGGAACATATCTGGATCAGTGTGTCGTGTTTTAGGACAGGGAACAGACCTCTGCTGTGTTTCAACTCAGTATGAAGATCTTTGGTGCCCAAATTGAGGTCTGAGGACAGTTTGGGGACCTTGAGTAGAACAAAAGGGGGTCCAATGGAAACATCAACTGAAAAAAAGTGTCTTTTAACATCTAAATTCTTTATTTAATTTTAAACATTTAACTGAGAGACTTATGTTAATTGAAGCCCCTACAAAATAAAAAAACCCCTCAAATATCACTTAGATGTGACAACACATTTTGATGTAGTATCTAATAATAACAAAAGCCTGAATGGCTAACTTTCCTGACATTATTTCTCTTTTTTTTTTTTTTGTTGTTGATTTTTTTAAAAGCTTTCTCATTGATTCAAAGATAGACATAAATACTTTGTTATTCAACTGGTATCAGTTTATTGATTATTTTCTCGATAAAGTCACAATATATAATAACTTTACAGACAAAAATCTTAAGTATGTCAGTTTTAACATAAAAAAATTCTGCTTGTTAGAAATTAAAATATTCTCATCAACCTTATTTCAATAACTCGAGCATGACAGGCAAATTCTACAGAACTTTATACAGTATGTATTATATTTGATAATTAAACCTAGAGTGGTGTCTAAACAACTTAAAACAAAAACATTCTGACAGTTTTAACCATTGCCTGTAAAATAATAACAGTAAAAATAAAACAGCAACAGCAACTAGATTCAGTGCAAAAAGAGCAACAAAAAAAATCAAGTTTTGCTTCTCAAAATAACAGACAAAATATTAGTTACACAGTATAGTGGTTTAATTAATGATAGGTAGAGCAGTGTCAGATCCAATTATTTAAAATGGTATTTATGTGTTATATTTTGATTCATGTTCACAAAAGTTACATTTTTTTGTATGTGTTTTAATAAAATGACACAAGCAAACGCAATAACTTCAACTTCCTGAGGATTATCAGTAACATTTTCTAAGTGTGGCAGCAGACATTTGAGACAGACAGCTACAGCAGTTTAAATGTATTAGCTAGAATGTACAGAAGCCCATTTCTGCCAAAATTAAATTAAATGTCATGTATTTAATTTACTTTAAAAACATGGGCAAAGTAGAATTTCAATAACTTCAAATGACAAAAAACTTTACCCAGCATTTCATTTATATGTTGAACTTAAAAATAAAACAACTTTTTTGTATCCCAAAGACACTAACAGAAATTTTTGGAAAAAATCTAAATGATTTAGTACGATAAAAGAAAAACTGAGCCCTCTAGTGGACACTGCTGTAAAACTGGTTGTTTTACAGGAAGTCTGATGAAAGCTAAATTACAAAAACAAAACATGGTGAAGTAGATATTATTAAATCTATTTCCCCCTTGCTGCTGGCCAAGGTCAAATTTGAAAATATATTTTTACAAGCTGACAAAGAAATACTTTCAAATTTTGGACTTTTGCTGCTTCAGTAGGTTATCAAGTTCGGAAAAAGTTCTAGCCTACTATTCTTTAATTTTGTGTCAGTTATTATTTTGGTAGTAATGGCCTTCGATACATTCCCAGCCCAAGACAAGTCACAGATTTTAACATGTTTTTGACTTCATTTTCCAACATTTTGTTCCCCAAGGTCACAGTGTGAATGGATTCTTATACTTGTTTTTTTGTGTGTATTATTCACTGTACAGCTGTATTCTGACATGATTTTCTGACATAACAAGGAAACACTTTATCACAAGTTTTCTGAACATTAAAGGAACACTCTGACATTTTAGGAACGCACTTGTCTATGTTTTTTGCTTTGCACATTCATAACAAAAAGAAATTTAAAAAATCATCCAGTTTGACAAAAAACACATTTTATTTTCAAACTTATTTCACAGATTTTAACATTTATTGTTTTTCTGGCATATTTCATTATTTAATATTTTTCACATGCAACATTTCTTTGTTTTGCCAACATTTTTTGAATTTTTAACAGACTCAGTACACATTCACTACATGCCAGTTTTGGTATAAGCTTTATTGACGATCCTAAATATCAGCGTGTTCCTTCACAGTAAAGGGTTATGTTACAGTGGCCCTCAGGATACATAGTGCGTGTTAAAGGGGTCTCTTTGAGCACTGCTGATTGGCTTTTTCCAGACAATGGGGGGGGGGGGGGGTTACATGTAGGTGGTCAAGCATTGGTGGAGGGACTGGTGGCGACATCCTTCCTGCCGATCTGACAGTAGAGAATCATGGCGAAGACCATGCCGAAAATCTGCAAGGACAGAAAATACATGAGAAAACCTACATCAGAGACAGAAACCATGATTCAAAATTTAATCATTTTTTTATGTTAATCAAAAAGAAAGGTTCTGAATGGTTGTATGATTGCCCATTTCAAACACTGTAACTCTTAAATTGTCTGATGTAAGCACAGGTTATCAACCACAACTGCCTCATTTTTTTCTTCTTGTGGTGTTCCTCAAGGTTCAGTCTATGGTCATCTTCTTTTTGTTAGTTCATGGAAGAGGTGAGTTGAAAACTCCGCAAGCAAAACATTTTTCTCTTGTTATGCAGATGACAACTTATTGTACATCCGCTTTACTTCTTTATTTCATGATCATACCCTCCTTAACTAACTGGAAATTGTACTGAAGCTGTGATTTATTAGTTTGTTAGTCTCAAGATGTACCAGTAGAAATAATCACATATTGTTGACTGTCTTGCAAATACTTTTTTTCTCTTGACGATCCAGATGTTTGACTTAGGCTTTTTTTTTCTTTGGCTGTCTTTACTGATCATGACCAACAATATTTACATCCTTATAATGACAGTGAAGAGCCTCTTTTTGAGTGTCTTTGTGTGTCTTTGTGTGTGTGTCTTTGTGCTGACCAGCAGGATGGCGATGGCAAAGGCAATCCCCAGCACAATCTCCATGTTTTTCTGCATTAGTCGCACAATTTCTTCAGCACAGGGCTGCAGGACGAGAAAGCGGCACAGTTAATAACACGTTGATTACATGCGTTTGTGTTTTGTCTGTTGTACAAAAGTTGACATCTTAATGGTCCATTTGGGTGTTAAACCTACAACACGGTTAAAAACAAGTTAAGTTCTGACAAGGTTAATCGTACAAAAGGTTAAATATACAAAACTGTGTGCAGTAACAGTTTAATATATGTGGCTTCACTTTTGTTTTCTGGTCTCACCGTTTGGTAGTGGGTACCAGGTGTGCAATCTGTCAACGTGGTGTTGCAGAGACAGGAAGCAGGAACCGAGTTTTCCCAGTCTGCGGGTCCATTCACAAGACCACAACATTGCAGCTAAAAGAAAAGCACATCAGAATCAGCTGTTTGCAAAGTTATAAATCCAAAACCCAAATTTCATCTATTTTAAAAGATCATTTAAATCAATAGGAATTCCCAGGAGTGCTGTACAAGCAGAAGTAACTAATCATCCAACCCTGACTGGACTGGAGCTGAACTACTTCAACACCTCAACACGGTATGTCTAACTGTAGAGCCAAAAAAAGATAAAAATATTCAACAACCAGGACTTTAAGTCGGAAAATACCTACTTAAAGTTTGTCTGTACATGCACATTTTAATTCTGTAAAAGTATCAGTCTTGACCAATATGTGGATTAAAGCTTGCTTTATATTAGTACATATAAACTTAACTTAAAAATATGTCTGCAGATACTTGGAATTAGATATAAATCCTGAGTGTATATTCTTCTGCTTGACCTAAAAACAACTTCATGGCAAACTGATGTGAGCGCTCCCTCTAGTAAATTTTCTTAGTGACACCAACTGAACATGTCTAATGCTTTGCCCTGCAAAGATGTCACCACTATTGTCTTTATTAACTCAACAGTGTGAGTGTGTGTTACCTCTCGCTGCAGTTTCTCCAGGTCAGATTTCACGTTTTCAGGTTGTTTTGACAGCGGCGTGAATTTTTCCAGACGCTTCTTCATCCAGTCCTTCACCTTTGTATTAACAAAAACAAGTAAATTTCATTAGAATACAATTAGTTATAAATCCATTTACTTGTTACTGTAAAAAAAAAAAAAAAAAAAAAAGTTGCATACAGAAAATATTAAGTGTTTTTTGTAACCAATATGTGAAGACAGATATACAGGTGGAAATACAAAACTATTAAAAAAAACAAGTACCAATGAAAAAATACAGCGCTCAGTGGTCTGAAATGAGGTTTTTTACCATACATTTTCTTGATCTTATTTTTCTTACTCAACTCAACTCAACTTTATTTGTAAAGCACTTTAAAACAACCACAGATGAACAAAGTGCTGTACATAAATAGACAAAACAACACGGACATTAAAAACAACCAAAAAATTAAAACAATGAATAAAATAAAAGCAGATGTTAAAAAGTAAAATATTACAAAAACAGTGACACTCAAGGATGATGAAACAAGTATTGTCTTCAACATGCTAACTGCATTTGATCAAAAACCAGCAAAAGGATTTTTTTTTGCCAAGTCAACTTACATGTTCAGACAGACATGCCTGTTGAGTTGCATACTTATGTCATTTAAATCTATGGATCACATATCATCCAAACAAACAGGTAAAACTGGTAATGTAATGTAACTTTACTGATGAATTTCTAGATCTAAACAGCAATGTCAAAAGAAAGTAAATAATGGATGCATTTGGTGCGAAACAGTAAGAAATAGCTGCTAATGTCAGAAATTGTTCCTGAGGCCATTAAATCACTTCCTTCTTGTCTTACCTTGTCCTCCCCCACAGCTCCCATGATACCTGCTGCCAGCAGGAGAATGAAGATGATGAGAAGACTGATGAAGAACTAAAAGAACCAGAGGTGAAAAATGAACAAGGTTATTTATTTAGGCATTTAAAAGTCGATTTAGGCTGAAAAGAAGTCTCCACTATCTGAAAAATACAAAAAAGTCAACAGTCAGAGCTAGTGTTGTAAGCAAGTGTTGCTTAAGAGTGTTGTATGTTCACAGGGGGTTATGCTGAAGCTAAAAGGTTGCATTAAGATGCCAATGCATGACCGTAAAAAGGCCCTTCATGATCAAAAACTCTGTAGAATGCCTGAATAAAAACAATTCTGCAAAGAAGAGGGGGCAAAAATTCCTCCTCAGCAATGTGAAAGAGTCATTGCCACTTATCGCAAGCAATTGATTGCAAAGGTGGCACAACCGGCTATTAGGTTTGGAGGGTTATAACTTTTGCACAGAGGGCCATGTTGGTTTGAATTGTTTTTTTTCTCTCAATAAATGAACTCATCATTTAAAAATTGCATCTTGTATTTACTCAGGTTATCTTTGTCTGATAGTCAAATTTGTTTGATGATCGGAAACATGTGAGACAAAAAAACAGAGGATATTTGTAAGGGAGCAATGGCTTTTTTACAGAACTGTAAGAATAGTACAAAACATAATAAAGTAAAAAGAAAATAAAGGACTTGTTCAATTAATTTTTTGATTATCTTAACATCCAAGGTAAAACAGAATAATTGTTTTTTCATAAAACTATTCAAGAAATGACGCAGAGCTATTTATCCGATGTTACCCACCAGTAACAGCATGCAGCGGTTTTCTCTGATTGCTCCACAGCAGCCAAGGAAGCCGAGCACCATGACAATGACTCCAATGGCGATCATCAGGTCTATGCCGGCTATCGATTCATCAGTAATCTGAGGACAAGAGGAGGGGAAGATGGTTCAACGGTTTTCAAACTGGAGAATACAGAAATATATCTTTGACATAGAAAATAAATTGGGGCGTAAAAACCTAAACCTATCCAGGAGAAAAAAACGAGTAAAATCTGAGACACAAATGATGTTTTTTAAAATTTCTTTTCTTCCTTGACTAGAAAAAATAAACAAAATCTGAGAGCTGACAGATTGATCATTAAGGGAGTCTTACCGCGTTTCCATCTTTGTTCACTTTCAGGTAGATAAAGACAGCCAGGATGATGATGCCACTGATCTGCAAAGAGACAGAGAGAACAAAACATTTAAACACAATATATTTAACAACAGACTTCAAGAGAGGATTAAATTGGTGGGAATTTGGCGGCATCTGGTGGAGAACACCTGCAGTGACTCAAACTCACTGATCACAAACACGCTGACTGTCCTGAATTCAAAAGGATGATTCTTTAATACAAAAGAAAAATCCTTTCTCTCTTAAATCAGTTAGAAGTTCACGTGTTTTTATCATTAAAGACACTATTTCTTAGGTTTGTAAAAAATTTAATTCATCCAAATTAACACAGAAAGGATCCAAATTGTGAGGACCAGAGAAAGAGTCTTCAGTCTGGCTCTTCAGTGGGCGGGGCTTAGCGCTGATGGGTGTCATTTATTTATTATTCACAAGTCAAACAATTAGCGGACACAAATGCGCTGCTGTGAGTGATTATCCCGCATCAATATTTCATCTTTACAGTGTCAGGACGAGAAAGAGAAGAGAGGAAGAGTCATGACTTTCTCTGAGGGAATGAATACAAACAAAAATTGACCTAAAAATACAAACAAACAAAAAAATAAAATAAAATAAAACGAGTGTAAACACAGTTTTTTCTCAAACTTTAGACTTGGAGAAAAATAAAGTTTAATTTATTATCTTTCATACAAAAATATTATATATTCAATCATTCATTTTCTTATAACTTGTTTCTTACATAAAAATATGATCAAAGTTTTTCATGTACAGGTAAAAAATGTCACAACTGCCCCCAGTCTCCCCTAATAACCATGTTTTTATGCAGTGTTCTAAATCAAACGTCACTTTTTTCTGTTTTTTTCTCCGCAGTCATTGTTTTACATGTTCTTTTATATTGTGTTTCATCTGTTTGGTTTACATTTAAGAGAAAATGATGAATGGTTCAGTCGACTTCTGAATGAACGGAAAGAAATGAGACAAGTAGAGAAAGGACGTGACCTCTGAGCACACACACACTGATCCACCACACCCTCAGTCTATTTTTATTTAGATCCAGGAAAGCTGAATTAATGTGGAACTTTTTGACTCACAACCTTACCAACACAGTCCTAAATAAAACAAGTGCAGCCATATTTTAAACGCCATATAAAAACGTGTCTGTCAAAAGGTTAAGTCTGTTTGCTCGCCAACCCTCCAAAAAATCACATTTAGGATAATTGTGGTTCATAATTGGGGTTTAAGAGGAAGAACAGTGTGAATAGCGCTCACATTGTCAGTTTAAACGCAGAATTTGTCCAAACACACTTTTACCATCTTTAAAATTCAGCTTAGTGGATCAGTTTTTGGTGTTGGCCCCTAAAATTTAGACTGTTTTACTGACAAATAAAAAGGTGTGTTGGTAGAAACACAACTCAAAGAAAACCTCCACCGTGAGTTTGTTGTGGAGACGTCCACCCTCATCCAATGGAGATTTTAAAGACAACAGAAACTACAATCGCTCTGACTGATCACACCGGTTTAACAACAGATATGAAAGAAAGCCTCTATTTCTGCGTCTTTAACTTCTTCCTTTGTACCTGTAAAGTTTCTTGTTGCTCTTTTGAATAAAGGCTGAATTTAATATTTTTCACAATCTCAACTGTGATATGGGGATAAGCGCACTAAAACACATCATGCCAACTGTCTACATCTGTGAGTCGCATAAATGTAGATTGCAAACATGAAGTTGCAACACTACCACCGACATGGAGACCCAGAAAATCCTTGATGAAGTGAGACCGATTTTAAGACAATGTTGCCCTTGGTGCTTGTTAATGCTGTCGGCATTTGAACAGACCTTTTTAAGACACCGTATCACAGCTTCATCTTTTTTTCTTCCATCAAGGTTTTGCATACTTCATTGCTTCCTAGCAACAAGCTTCTGCTGTTCAACTTCAATCGGATTGACTCATAAACATGGAGGAGAACACTGAACCTCAGTCACATTGTTCAGGTATATTAGTCCAGCTGAGAAGTTTGAGTAAGTGTGCTTTCAGTCACACTAATGTGTTAACATGTATTTTATAGTCCAGTTTCAGGAGAGGTCTGGCTCTAGAACTTCACTAAACTTAACTAAAGGCATTCAGGTTAAGTTGATCTTTATAACATCCTCAAATGAAGACTGGGAGATTAAATCAAAGTCGCCTCACCGTACTATGAACACAAAGTGAACCTGTAGAGCAACATGGTGATGGCAGACCACAATCACACCCATGTAAAAACAACGGTTAGAGTGGCTTTATTGAATTGGCATTGCAGCTGTCTCAGATTACTTTATCATTGTTACAGTTGGCAATACTAGCATTAACTAGAGTTCAAATTAACCAGGATAACATCTGATTATGATGATCACTACTTTATCATTTTCTTGAAGTAATAATCACCATAATAATCATTTTGTACTGCAGACGTGGTAGTTCTTCTGCCTTAGCGACTTGGTCTGATTGCATATCCATGAAGAAATGATCATAAATGTTCTTCCTTGAGCTGCGTAACCCCGCTGCAGTCAGTAATGGACTGGTCGAGGTCTGGCTACAAACCAACGGCTGCTGGAAGAGAGTGGGTGAGTTGTGTTTAGTCTCTTTGCTAAAGAAATCAGGCAAGGTTAAAAAGATGTTTGGTGGCTAGTACTATGGCTGGGACCCTATATGTACTGTTAATGAAGTTAGGTGCTGTCCTAAGTATTATTTGTGGCTATAGAGTGGTATTTTTGTTGAAGTTTATGTGTGGCTCTTCAGACAGCTGTGTATTGCCATTGTGCGGTCATTGCTAAAGTTGGTATAATTAGAGAAGCAAGCGGTCGGCAACATTCATCTCTCGAGGGGGTGTCTAACTCGGTGTTACGGTGTGTTTGACCCTAAATTAATTTTATATCAGAATATCCCTTTAAACTGGGTAACATTGGAAACAGAATTTGGTTAATCTGCATAACATCCACTCAAGATTAGAATTGATTGAACTGGTAATAATGTGCGTTAGCCATTGTTGAGTTGATTTCTACAGCATAGTTTTTGTCTAATCAAGATTATTGTTCATTTTTCAAAATTAAAACTGCATGAAAGATCATAATTCAGTCAAAAGTTAATTGTCAGAAACATTCCTATAACAAGGTTTGAAATGCTGTCCATCAGTTCTATCAAAGGTAAAGATGTCTTCACTTTTAATGCTGGTCAACTGTGTGAGTTTTTTTGTCTCTGCTGGGCGCCTGTTCATGTTTCAAACTGTACTGTTAAAACTTTTGTTCATCCTAAAGGAAGCACATCTGCTTCTTGGAATCAACAAAGAAACTTTATGATAATGACAATAATTACAAGGTCACTGACTGAACGCGCGCTTAGTCTGTCAGGTTATATGTATGTGGGTGTTTCATTCCTCAGGAGTTACTCACAGGAAACAACAAACACAATTGTAATGAGTCACTGCGTTACTGATCCAGTGGGTTCAGTGTTAATCCAAAACAGACAGGACTGTAGCACAGTTATACCACACACACACACACACACACACACACACACACACACACACACACACACACACACACACACACACACACACACACACACACACACACACATATATACAAAACTACAGTCAGCAACAACTGTGCAGGTTGTCAAGAGCCCACTGAGCTATCATGTTAAGTTGTTTAGGATCAACGGGCAGCTCTTTCAGTTTGAACATTCAAACCTGAATAAAACACATTATGGTCTGGGATATTCACAGTTGAAAAACACTGAAATTCACCTTTAAAAGTTTACCTCTTCATTTCAACCTCTCTGTGCTTAATACTTGATTCTGAATATTCAAAACCCCAAGACAACGATGATCAATTCTCAACAGCAAAAGCAGCTTCAGGGATGATATCATCAGAAATGTCATGACAAATAAATCCAAGAAAGTAAGTCTGACACATTTTATCTCTGCCTGTTGACACTGTGGCAAAGATGATGGACCACTACCTGTTGACACACTTGCAAAGACTTGGACTTCTGCCTGCAGTGACCAGGCAGAAACATTGAGTCTCAAGCAAAATCATTGGACCTTTGCCTGTTGAGGTAAAACCAAGACACCTCTGCTTATTGGGGCAAATATGATGGACGTTTCCCTGTTGACACCGTGTGAATATGAACCTTCTTCCCCTATTGACAATGTGGCAGTAAATTAGGGACTTCCGCCTGTTGACACTGGAAATAACATATACCCTCTGCCTTTTGACATTGTGGCAGTAATGCGGGGCCTATTTTTGTTGACATGTCCAAATTGTACCACTTTGCCTGCTGACACATTGGAAAGGAAGCGCTAATTTCCATCAGCTTTCTACACTGGTAAACATCATGATGTAGTTTATGATAGGGAAGCTGGATAAACCAACGTCTCTAGAGAAAATCTGAACGTATGTTCTTGTCATATTCATAGTAAGATAGAGATTTTTCAGAGCTTGAGAATTCACTATTACCCTGGTTTCTGACAGCTGTCGACTAGCTATATGAAAGCCCAGCCTCAGCCAAGCCACGGGTCAGTGAATCAAACATGGTGGCACCAGTACGACCATCTTCTTTCTGAACTGATGAGGAGAAAATCAGTTCTTTTCTTTGTAATCAAAGTATTATTCATAATTGGGAGTTAAGGTGGTGGAAAGCATCAGAACTCTGATCTATTGGAGTCTGTGGTTAACAGGATACACGACGTTGGCTTCCCAACATGTTCGGTGGAGCAAGTCCAGAAAAATTAGAAGGTACTGAAGAAACATTACCAGGTAGGTTCTCAGTGTACATGTAATCACCATATCCAGGAAATGATATGGCTGGCAGGATAAGGCTAATCACTGGGATCTCAGTCACTGGGTACAGACGTAACAGCAGCCTGAGAAGATGCTGGACCCCAAAGTGGAGCAACATCTTGTCCTAAAGTCTATGCAACAATCAATCAATACATAAAATAATATGGAAATGGACAAGATGCTGTAAACTGCAGTGTTTCATCCGAAATGGTAGCAAAATAGAAGATGATTGGAATAAAAACACATAAGCTGGGTCATTCTCTCAACAGAAGTACTACTTTTCCTTCTAACTGTAAAATGAAACCATAACATAACCAAACATACAGCAGTCCTATTCCACAACTTAACCTCAGGCATTAAAACAGCTTTGATGTATTTATTTACTACTTGCCTGTGATTTACTACAGAGCCAGGATGCCTTTTCTTTCTGTTGGGATCATCTATTTCCTCTGCAGGGACAGTCCCTTAATGCAGTATCAATAATGCATGGTGCATATGAGTACTTTGCTTTCAGCTAACAGGCGTTAATGCACACAGACAGAACTTCACATGATTGGTTATTCCTCCTCCATCACAGGCTCTAAATGCACCGGAGTTTGACAAGATGTCATGTATTTGGACGTGTTTTTCTGTGAGGTGTTTGGCCACAGAAACCACTGCAGGTAGAGCAAAGACTGCCAAGACTCCATGAGAAACAAGATGGAAACGTCAATCCATCTTCCTAATATTCCCTCCTTGCTCCTTTTTCCCATAGGCCACATTATGGTGAAATCATTTCCTACTCATGAAGTAGAACTTTACAACAGAAAGCTCCAGCGGATCCACAAACTCCAGCAGAAAGGCTTTACAGTAAACAGAAACCCCACCCTACCCTCACCATCATCATCATTAGACAAACACATCATGTCCAGCCTGTCCTCTGAGCGGTTAGAATCCAGTTAACATTGATTTAACTTTATTTCTGGGAACATGAGAGAGGACTGAAATAACTGTAGCAGTCAGCAGGACAGATGCTCACTAAGTGGGCGTTTTAGTTCGACAAAATTTAGCTGAAGGTTCTGACTGGTTTCTGGAAAAACTCTGACACTGTTATTTGGCAGAAAGATGTAAAAGGAGATTTGGTAACTTTAAACAATAGAAAATCATTTTTTTACTTTATTCTGATTTAAGATAGCCTGTCTGTAAAAGATATAAAGAAGACTGATAATAAGAGGTGTTTAAGTTTACCGTGTTACGCATCAGGCCTTTGAAAATGTTTAAGTCCTTCAGTCCAGATTTACTCGATAGCTTGTGACTCCAAAAAGTTTTAACATTGATGAACTAGAGAACAAAGTTTTAGCTCACGGACAATTGTGAGACAGAGGTCCAGTGTTCAAATGTCTGGATGTTGGTCATAAAGGTGAGCTTAAGCGCTAGTAAGAGCAGGTTAAGGTTTATTAGCTTGAGGTAGAAAACTTTAAAACAATGTTGATGTATTTACAGGACGAACTGGCGCCAGCTTGACTTTCAACCTGTTTGCTCATGGGTTCAGGCCTTTTGACAGTCTTACAGTCACTTCTGTTGAAGAATAGTGATGCATTCAACCTGGCTTCACATGTTACACCAATTCATGCTGGTTTACCAATGTCCTTTTGCTATGAGAGGAATGAAGGAGTCGATTTCAAACATTTCTTTGCAATTTAACAGACCAATTGAAGTCATGTGAGCATGTCCTAAATCATTAGCTTCAACTGCAACATCATCTTGATGGTGTCTTAAGCGCTTCTTTTGAGGTAATGGAAGTCTTGAACCAAACACAGCACTATGATTTGATGTAAACTTCAAACATACACCACACAAAAGAAACCACAACGATTTGATGTTGTTTGAAATCTTTGTGTTGGTTTTTCATTCTTAAAAGACTCCATAACTCAGTGCTGATAAAACCAGCACATCCCGTTTGATGAGCTGCCTCTTCAGTTTGTGCCACACCTTCATTTTTTTTGGATGAACAAATATAATATATGGATTTTTACAGCGCTGTGACAAATAACCTTCAACAAGTGCAGTCAGGTTTGTGTTGAGCAAGAAGGTATAGATTAAACAAGCAGTTTAAAAGGAGGCTCCCACCTAAGAAAACAAAGTAGACTGTTCAGTTTTTATGCAAACAGTGATGGCTGCAGCTTAAATGGGAAACACTGCACGTCTTTACATTGAAGACTGAGGGCAGGACAACATCTAACCACAGGCTGGAGTAACATGAACCTGCAGGAGTGGCGATGCGAGTGGCCGAGCATGGAGCCACGCCCTGAAACTGAACTAATGTTTGTTTTTTTTTGTTTTTTTTTATGGAGTGAGAGGCTTAAAAGAGCCCACACAACCTGTTCTGCACCAACGAGCTGCAGACTGGGAAGATAAAAGGAAGTGATTGTCTGTAGGTAGTTATAAAAGAGCAGAGCGACTGAGCAGTGAGTCATAAAATATTAAAGAAACTGAAAAAGACGCAACAAAACCCGTCTGCTGTACTCAGGGAAACACAAACAAGACCAGAAATGTAAATAGAGAATGTAAATAGTGAAAGAGAACAATCAAGAAAATGCCCAACAAAAGGAAGAAGCAGAAAGAGTTATGAAGATTAAAAAAAAAGCTGCAAAATTAGATCAAAAACCAAAGTCACCCCCATGAAAACTCACCTGCAGCACTGAGATAGATTGAAACCAAGATAGAAATAAAGCCGAAGAAAAGTTCTAATTTGCATTAAAAAGCACGGAAAACAGATACAAAAACAAAAAAATCCAACATTTTCAATCACTTTTTAGCTTTAAAGTAGAAATCAATGTCTCAGAGGCACATCTACACATTCAACCACGGTGCACTCAATAAAAAATGCACCGAAACTGATATGTAGGTCAACATTTTCTGTAAAAATGTTCAAACAAAAGCACACAGGTATTCATTAATCTAACATTAACCCTTCAAAATAGTTGATCCAATGTTTCTTTTTTGATGTAACACATTTCCCATGAATCACCTGTCAAGCACAAAAAGATGCACAAGTTATCATAATAAACCGTGTTCCGGTTTCCAGACTCACCCAGAAAAGGAGGTTGAAGAAGAAGAGGAGAAATTTTATGCATTTATTCACAGCCATGGTTTTATTTTTCTTTATCCGTCCCTCCTCAGCAGCTTCTTTCTCGACCGGCTCTCTCCAACTGATTCAAACTTCCTACAGAGTGACAGAGAGAAAGACTCCCTCAGGCCGGTAAACAGACCAGCCTGCTCTACCTGTTTCCTCTCACTGAGGGGGCGGACCATTTTGCTTCCTTCATGTCCTTTCCTCCTCTGCCTCCTTTTTGTTCCAACTCCAACTGCTTTAGTTCTTTTCTTCCCTTTTCCGATCTTGCATCCTTTTTTCTTTTCCTACTTCCTCATTTTTCACCAAAAGCCAAAGTAAATAAAGAAGAAAACAGGCCTTTGAGCTCCGAAACTAAAATGAAACTTGACTTTTATTGACATTTCCTATTTGCTTGTCTTTTCTTGTTCTGTTCTTTTTGCTTTTGTTGATATTTTTAAAGTGTACCTCAAAGGCACATCTAAACTATGACTATAAATGCCGCATTGTTTACTTGCTTTATCCCTAAACTAATGAACATTCAAATCAAAACCAATTTACCTTTGGCCCATTTTCCAAAAGAAGTCTTTACCTTTCTCCTTTTAACATTTTGAATTGAATATTGAAGAGGTCAGGTGGTTTTGTTTTGCAGTTTCAAACCAAGAACAAAGTCACACGGCCAATTTGTTGTTCTGTTACTTAACGCAATTTTTGTTTTATTCATATTATTTTAATTATTTCAATCAAATAGTTAATGGGTGGTTAGAAGTGATGAGTTAAGATTTTCAGGATAAATAATTGTGTGAATATGGAGCCAGATCAAGAAAATAAAACATGTAAAAATCACTGTATGTGCATTTGCACATTGCACCCCAGTTATCTGTGTTTTTTGTTCGAGATCGAACCTAATCCACTTTATCTACCCAAATCAGGTAATCCAGTTTATTTCTGGTTTGAATTTTAAAATAAATAATGGTTCACATAGAGACTTTTGAGGATTACCAAATGTATGGAAGTAAAACTGTGCCATCTGATTTTAAATTTGAATTTCTAAATCTGAATCTTTTTTGCATCAAAATCAGACTTTGAATTTCAAAACCATCGAATTTTAAGCACGCATTTTTATTTGTTACACTTATTTTTTTTCACAATAATGAAATAAATTCAGTGTAATTGATCACTCAAAATACTTGTATCGTAAAAATTCAACTTTTAAAAAACACTGTCATAAAAAAATTCACCATAAAATAATTTTCATTGTCAAATAATTCAGTTTCAAAAGATTTTGTGTAAAACAGACTTACTCAACATCCGGGTAATCAGGGGTCAGTGCCACATGACCAATATTGCATTATTTGATTGGCTGGACGATGGATGATTGAGCCAGGAATCGATTGCTCTCCCTGGTTACCCTGATATATAATTTTTACTTTTTTTTTTTTGAAGTTGAATTTTTACCAAACAAATCTTTTGAGAGACTGATTTTTTTCACACTGAATTTATTTCATCATTGTGAAAAAATAGGTGTCAGAAATAAAAATGCATGCTTGAAATTCAATAACTTCGAAATTCAAAGTCAAATTGTGATGCAAAAAGATTCAGCTTTAGAAATTCTAATTCAAATTAGACGGCACAGATTTACTTCCGTACAAATTTGCATTTGTCTGGATTGGCTGCAATGGAACAAGGTGCTATATTATTTGTCCACAGGGAGTTGCCAGAGTTCCCCCAAACTAAAAGATCAATACAGTGCATAATGATAAATATCTTGTTTATTTTGAACAGCTGTCTGCTAAAATATTTAAAAGTATGAAGTTCTTCTCAACTCTTAAATCCACCTTGGTTTTAAAATATTAAAATGTTTATCCCCATTGTAAGAATGTTGTATTCCCTATTGTTTTCACATTCAGCTACTGTGGATCAGGATAACCCTTATATATTTTAGCCCTCCCAATTCTACTTACAAATTTTGTACGAGTAAAAACAAAACTGGATCCTGATATAATCCTGTATCTCTTTTTTAACAACCTGATTTCAAAATCTGATCCTTTCCAAAAGGATTGGTCTGTTTTACTCCAGCCGGATTCTCTCCAAACAGCTGGACCGAAGTTAAAAAAAGTCAAAGGTGAAAGGTACATTTAGTGAAATGACACTCTGCTACCCTCAAGTGGCAAGTGTAAGGAAATACAAATACATATCCAACTACTTTTCCACAGTCCCCTCCCATTTTAATTCCCTTGATATGATCTTCCTCTCCTCCAGTCAGTTTACAGTTTGATAATTCGGAGATTAGACAAGACGCTACATGAGGACAACGTTCAGTGTTTCTAAACAGCTGCACACCTGAGCAGGTAAGTCATGTTTTCACTTTCAGGTTCCTCTTCACTCACCTGTCAGCATTTAAATACGAGAAATGCTGGTTTAGTACTGGTTAATGACTGACAAACTTAAAACGTCCAGCCAGTGTTTGACTGGCTGTATTGTTTACTCTACCTAGTGTGTGTTTACCTTTAACTCACATTTCCCCACCTGTGAGGTCAAGATGTCAGATCAGACACTTTTCAACAAGCAAAAAGCCAAATGAAACCAGATAGTGTCTGATTAAAACCACTGAGGAAAATAAGCAATAAATGTGTCAGCTTGAATCCAAAATAAAAAAAAGAGCTTTCGTTGTGATGCTGAATAAGGGCGATGAAATACCACATTGTTAAGATGAGCCTTCAGCTAGGATTTTAGGTTTAATAGATGACGGAATTCCAACAGAGAGAGCCAAAAATGGAACAACCCAATCATCTTTGGGTTTCAACTCACACCATGGGGTTACTGATCGGTAAATTTTAGAGTCGGCGACCGACCTATTCAGAACAAATCTTAGCCTTAAGATTCTTAAAGACACAATGCATCAAGCATTTCTACTACAGAACTTCAAACTAAATTAAAGTTATCTCAGGACACTCTACAAATAGGGCCTGTTTAGACTGTACCCTGTCGTATTTACAGGAGCAACATGAAAGTAATTAACCAAGACCGGGCACTAGTCATGAGTAGTGAGAAAAAAACGGTCTTAAATCAAAAAAGTTAATTTAAGGACAATCAGCCAACACATGCTAGAGAGATCCTATTGGGTTGATTTGGGATACCCAGCTGAGACAAAGACAATTTGCAGTTTCCAAAATGAGTTAGCCCATTTTGGTTTTACTTTATCGCTTAATTGCAAATCTTGGCCACCCCATACAGAAGTGCAGGTTGGAAATACTGTTGGGTGTTGTACAGATTGGGGAGACCTTCACTAGGGGATGGTGTTACTTTTTAAAGTTGATCTTATCTTGAGAGGTTAGCATAAAAGTGCAAACTTATACAGAAAAAAAAATGTGCTGACAAAAAAGAAAGCATACACGTTTCATAACCAACAGCATTTGTTAGTGATTATAACTCGTACATGTGTCTGATGAGGGGAGAGAAAACAGGAAGAAACAGTAGTGTGTCTGCGTGGCGGAGTGTGTGGGTGGGGGAAAGGGTTGACATTTTAGTGTGTGTACGCAGCTGTGGGAGAGAAAGAAAGCCGGTCCAGAAGAGAAGGGCGGGATGTCTTTATCTTGTAGCATTTGTATACAGTACATCTCCTTTTCTGGATACTTTGAGTTTTGTGGCCTTGCTAGAATTCTCTGTGGATGGATATCTTTAGCTTGCAGTTGGTTTTCTTCATTGTGGATCTACTTTTTGTTTGTAAAACTTCTAACCAACTGTCCATGATTTGTTGTGGGCCACATTTAATCCCCAAAGGTAAAGATCATGGATTAATGATGTTGTTGGCATGTCCATGTTTGTTCAATCTGTCTTTGTGAAAAGTATTTTTGTTCCCTCATCTTGGGTCAAGTAAAACTTGATCATTGCATCTGTAGTGACGGTTACGAAAACAAGCTTTTAATTTCTTCTTTTTCTGTTTTTTTTTTGTGTGTGTGTGTGTTTGTTTGTTTGTTAGTTTTTTTTAATTTTCCTGCTTTTCTGTGATACAGTCAATGACCCCTTATAAATAGTATTATTTCTCATAGGGAATAATTTTGATGAAACAAAGGTTAAAAAAGACAAATTTGCAATCCTCAAATGCAATCATGGCTTCAAAGTAGGTATTCATACTTTCAATGGATCCGTGTGGTTTCACTTTCACTTGCTCCCTCTCAGCCCTGATAATGCTGACACGCTCAAACAGGTCTCTGTTTATTGTTATTTTCCATCCTTCCATCAATACTTGACACTTGAGACATTTTATTTCATATTTCTTTCTTGGAATGATATACCAAACTGGATTTAAAGGTCTTTTTCGAGGTAAGGTTGATGCAATCCATTTTTAAAAACCTGTCTGTTTGTTTACTCTTTCATGTAAGTCCTCCGTTAGTATGAAGCTTTGCAAGCTCATTGGTTAATCTGGCCTGATGTCATATTTCCGTTGAGCAGGTTGAAAGAGGAAGACGAGGGTTTGTCTGGAACTGGCGGCTGAGAGGAAGCACAGTCTGTCAGAGGAAAACTAAAGCTTTGACCCCATCTGCACAAATTTAAAAAGGTAAGACTACTTTAAGGAAACACTAACATCTTACCCGGTGAGATGTTACTATTTATTTTGTAAAGCTGTGAACAAAGTGGCGGTACTGTCTGAGGTTATGTAGTGTGATGAAATCAGGCATGTAAGAACTGGCCCTAAATTCATTTGAAAGCTGTCAGATGAAAGTTTTCCTTCAACTCTCCATTTTGTTTGCCCTCTCTATGAAACAAATGAACACTGTTTAAGTAAACTTAGGTAGTTTCTCTCCTACGAATTTATTCAGTCTGAGCCTTCCTCTTCAGTTAGAAGAGGAAGGGTGTGAATGCAGTCCAGTTCATTTACAAAAAAATTTGGCTAAACATTTTTTTTAAATCTAATATAGTTGCTTGAGCCAAAAGCATCCTCAAAGTGACTGTCTCATAACTTAATGTTATGGTGATGGCTTAAATTATAACTTCTGTGGTCCGTTTTGTAGTGGACAATCAAAGTCGAGATGCAAAGTTTCAGCTATTTTGCATGAGAAGTGGAACAAAAAGGGTTGGGTTGAATCATTCAATGTCCCTTAAATATTTTCATTCTTCTTTAACAGAAAACTCTGATGGCAAGACTTAAAGAGGAGCTTTGGAAAACTCTGCAGGACTTAAAAGATGAGGATTTTAAGCACTTTAAGTGGTTCCTAAACCATGATGACATGGAGGAGGGCTCGTCAGGAATCCCGGTTTCTCGGTTGGAAAAAGCAGAGAGGGAGCAAGTAGTGGATCTGGTGGTCCAGAAATATCAGGATCCTGGAGCTCTGAGGGTGACCGTGAAGGTTTTAGGAAAGATCAGCAGAAATGATCTGGTGGAGCGTTTGCAGAGGTTCAGCCCAGGAACCAAAGGTAAGATTAGGGCAGGGGTGGGCAATCATGTGCCATGGAGGGCTGAGGGGCTGCAGGTTTTCTTTCCAACCCAAAACTCCACCAGGTTATTTCACTGATTAGTCCCTGCTCTCTGCTTGGAGGTATGTTAATCAGTAAAATCACCTGGTGGAGTTTTGGGTTGGAAAGAAAACCTGCAGCCTCTTGGCCCTCCATGGCACATAATTGCCCACCCCTGGATTAGTGAATGTCAAAATATAAATACTAGATTGGATTGGGATTTGAGGCCAATAAACATCTATGAACAATATGGAGAGCTTTCTGTAAGATAAACATTTGTTGTTGTTGTTCTGCTTTATTTCAGACCTCAAGAACCAAAAGACTTATGCTCTAAAGGGTGATTTTGAAAAAAAGAAGGCTGAACTGGGAGCTAAACTGAGTCGAATGATCCAGGAGAGAGAGATGAAGATCAGAGAAATCAAATGTTCTGTGGTGCTCAGCAGCAAATCTGCAGACATACACATCGCTGATAGCAAGCAGGCCTTTGATGTCCTGCTGCAAACTTTGAGGGAAAGTCTAGATAACCTCATCAAGGCCATCAATGAAAAGAGGGAAGCAACACAGAAACAGAGTGAAGAGTTCATCCAAAAGCTTCAGCAGGAAATCTCTGAGCTCACCAAGAAAAACACTGAGCTGGAGCAGCTCTCACCAACCAAAGACCACCTCAACTGTGTCTCTCTCAATGCCATTCCTCCCACTAAGAGCTGGACAGAAATCAGCATTACTCCACCGCAATATGGAGGAAGTTTGGCCACCACTGTGACTCAGCTTGAAGAAAAACTAAGAGAACAAAAGGAGAGGTTTATCAACAAGGGAAAGCTAAGCAGAGTCCAGCAGTTTGCAGAGGACGTGATGCTTGATCCTACTACAGCACATCCCTCCCTCATTCTGTCCAAGAATGGGAAGCAGGTTCACTCTGGATTGGTAAACCAAAATCTAGCAGATAACTCAAAACGATTTCTGTCTGCCATCAACGTTTTGGGGAAGCAGGGCTTCTCCTCAGGACGGTTTTATTACGAGGTTCAGGTCAGAGGGAAGACTTCTTGGGATTTAGGTGTCGTCAAAGAGTCCATTGACCGGAAAGGACCAATCACAGCAAAACCTGAGAACGGCTACTGGACGATATGTTTGAGAAATGGAAAGAACTACAAAGCTTCTGGAGCCCATCTCAGTGTGAAATCTGAGCCAAAGACAGTGGGCGTGTTTGTGGATTACGGGAAAGGTTCAGTCATTTTCTTTGATGTAGATTCAGCAGACATCATCCACAGCTTCACAGAGTGTTCCTTCACCGAAAAACTGTACCCATTCTTCAGTCCTGGTCTTCCTCTTGATGGTACCAACTCCATGCCCCTTATAATCTCTCCTGGCCCTCGCACTGATTGATCTCAAAGTGGTCCTTTTCCTGAGTTTGAACTGTTTATTGCAGCAACAGCAGGGCCAAAACAGTGCACCAAGGTAGAAGGATGTGCTTGCCATGGGATTTTAAGAACGTCACGTGTGGTGTGTAAAAGAGCAGCCCTAGTTGCCTGCCTGAACTAGCTCCAAGGCTTTGCTCCATTCCTTGATAGATTTTCAGATTTGGCCACCAAAACATGTTTCAGTGTCTGAAATTCGCTTTTCAAAGTGTGTGTGGTCTGTTTCATTTGCAAAAGTACACCACACCACTTGGCAATCAACTTTTTTTTCCGGGGAACTTTGGGACGCCTTCGTCCAAATTTTACCACCAGTTGAGTTTGTCCCTCCCTCCCAAACAGGTGTCAAAGATTCTGGGAGTATTAATGTCACAGTGTAATTTCTGAACCTGTTCATCAATCATTGAGATGATGACAAGGTTGCATAGAAGTTTTGGTGGTTAGTTGTCAAGCTCAAATATTTAGGGTTTCAGATCCTTGAACTCAGTCAGTTTGTTCCATCATTTTTATGTCTAGTTTAAATTCTGTTCTATTCTCTTTAGTAGCTCTGATTATGACAGCACTGCTTCTAAATCAGCCTAATGCCATAATTACATTTAAAAATTACAATCTGACCAAGTGCTGTCCTTGGAAAACAGTCTTCCTGGTGAAGACACCCATCAGTGCCGATTGGGACCAAGGGCTAACCCACAGTTAGATAACGACAAACAACGCTTACTTGTTTGTGGAAAGAAACTTCAGTTTCTACTATCTCGTTTCGTTTTCTTCCGCTTCATCCGGGTCCGGGTCGCGGGGGCAGCAGCTTCAGGAGGGAAGCCCAGACGGCTCTCACCCTGACCACTTCCACCAGCTCCTCCAGGGGGATTTTCAGGCGCTCCCAGGCCAGGCGAGAGATATAATCCCTCCACCTGGTCCTGGGCTTGTGGCTGGTCTGGAACACCTCTAGTTTCTACTATCTTCTATGTTTAATTCAAACAACCACAAGATCACATCATTGGTATAAAAACCTTGGAAATAAAATAACCTACAGGCTTCTTCCTTGATTAGCTTTAATTTTTACAGAAACTGTCCAAACTTCTGAAATAAATAAACAATGCTTCAACAGCATAACCTTGCATGAATTGTCTTTGTTATCTTACAGGATTATCATTTTATGTGTATTTTATATATCAACACAGACTAACACAGTTAACTTAACATTCAAAAAACTCAAAGTTCAGCCATTAGAACTGTAGAAATCATAAATCCAACCTCTGGGCAGTGCAAATCAGTTTCAGTAGTCTGTACTGAAGTGATTGTTGACTTTGGAGACAGGAATGTAGACTTTGAGGTCGATGAGGAAAAACTGTTTCTGCTCCTCTAGCCACAGCAACATCATCTTCACCCGGCCCCCCTGGTCCCTGTACTCCATCAGAAAATAATCTCCACTGTAGTCCAAGGACAGCATCTTGGTCGCCATTTTCATGCAAATAGGCGAGCTGACGCACCAGAAGGGTTTCTGGAACTCGTCCAGCAGAGTCAGCGTTATGATGCAGCAGTTCTACACGGCGTAAGAAAGAACTATCAGCGCAGGAAAGAGGGATGTTATCTTTTTCTCTTCCAACATAAAGTACACAAGATTCAGGGGAGGAAGACAGGAAAGAGAGGAAACGATAGATGAGTCTGCATGAAATGAGGATGAGAAGGCAGCGTCAGGGTGAGGAGCATGCATGGGTGCAGGGGAAAAACTGTACACCCTGCCTCCCTCTTATTTTGTTTTTTTATGAGGAAAGGTCATAGAAAGTAGAAAACGACAGACAAAAAAAATGTGTGATTTCACTCCCAACAGCAACACTTATAGAGGAGAACCCCACATGTCCAGTTTTAGCTCCATTGTCACAAGGGATTGAAGCAACAGCATTGACATCAGAGCCCTTTAGCTAAAGAAAACATCATTTTAAATTACCAAGAAAAAGCCAAAAATCCCTGAGGCAAGTACAGTTTACACCAATACAGGTTCTGGGGAAGTTAAATTACTTTTAAATGGGTGTTAATTACATTTTTTACCCGTTTCTTTTCTACTATACTTTATTAGAAACAGAGATGTTAATCATGGTGTTACACATGTGTTTCTTAGCATAAAAAAACTATTAATAACTACAGTACCATTGCTATTTACATGCAGGAGGCGGGTTTTGCGACTTAAAGTGCAGCAGCTCCAAATGTTTTGCTTTCACTTTCAGGAAGGTGACATGCTGTCCATCTCGATGTACAGTCTAAACTCCGCATGTATCCTCTTTTGTTATTGGGAAGTCATTAAATTGAGTGCTTTAAATAACCCTGAGATCTATTTAATCTGAAACGAGGGTTATGTAATGCAATAAATCATGGAAATTTAAATTTTGATAGATCAATGGTATTAATATGCAGTAGCTATTACATTGAGGACCAAGCAGAGGTCTATATGGGAAAGAAATTGTATTGCTGTATTTTGTACTATGAGGAAAATGGCTAATTTTTAATCATCTCTTACCTTTGGCTCAACCATTGTACAGCTCTGAATTGGTGACAGGATACAAGTGTGTTCATGGTCTAAGATTTTTAGATTTGTACAGATTGTTGTGGTCAGGTGTACCTCTACTGAGCCCTCCAGCTCCTCACTCTTCCACGGCATCTTGATGTTTCCAGAGAGGGACCTGTGCTTGGACAGGTTGGTCCTGTCGATGAATCTTAGCTCCACCTGTCCATCCATGATCTGACCTGATCCCACTAACAAATTAGGAATAAACAAGATGCTTCACTTTTTCAAACAAAACCAAACAGAGCAGAACAGAATTGATGGGATAATGTGTAACAAAGTTTGAGTAGATAACCAGAGTACTTCTGTGAGAGTAGAGTTGGAAGAAGCTTCCAGAGATGATCTTAGTGTCTGTGTTGTGCAGACCAAAATGCAGTGAGTAGCTGTGCAGACCAAACTCAGGGTCAGAGTTATCTGCTGGTAAGGGGTTCTCGGGCTCTGAGTATGGGCTGCAGAGAGGGACAAACAGGATGATGAGGACCACTGGATTACATGACGTCTTTATATAATACCCTTTTAGGGGAGAGGCGTTACAAAGTGCTTCATGAATATATGCAAACAAACAGACATTGATCACACAAAGTATTACATTATTATATCAGACAGAGAATCAGAATTAAGAGAAAACATTAGAAACAAGAAAAAGTTTAAAAATCAAGAATAACACACATCAAATGTCCTTCAAAGTAAAAAGCAGCAACTATAATAATGACAGTGCTAAATATTGTGGATTGGATTGTGTTGGCATAATTTGCAAATCTGCTGTGATGTCTTTTGACCAGTAGGTGGAGCTCTAACCCACACTTGACTTGACTAGATCCACTGAACAGATGTCACAGAATGTGATTGATAAATTTAGCCAGTCAGAAATCAAATGACTTTTTTTATGTAAGTTAAACAAGTTGACTCAACCAGACTGGAGATCCTAGCAGACTTCTCTCCACCAGCTTATGGAAGTGCAGACAGACCATGAAGAAAGCCACGCTGTTCTCACCCTACGACACACACATTTAATTTCTTTGTTACACAGCTGTGGTAGATACTTGACTCTGATTGATCAAAACTCCATGGCAACAGTCTGTTGTTGCTCAATAACTACCTTTGTTTTGCCGCTGACTCATTAACCATGCATATTATAAACCATTATTTTAAATTCTGTTTTGCAGCATACTCACCCTCCAGATGCCTACGATGAAGCTAGGCAGCAGATGAATCAGTCTGATCAGTCTGTCTTGGCCAATAAACCAAGTGGGCTGAGTTCTCATGTCCAAATTAGAGATCAGAGAGCGCCAGCCAGTCCTGAGGATGAGGAGGAGTAAATGTTTGGTGGAGTCAGAGCAGCAGACTTTGTGATGGGCAGAGTGCATCTTACTTCTTTGTTTTGAGGCTCCAGTGCGCCTCCTTCCTGACTGCGTGAAGCTGGATGTTTGTAATGTAATGATATTTAGGAAAGCAGCTTCCATTCCAGCAAAGGATCATGGACGACTCAAAGACGGACATCCAGCTCTGCTGCAGTGTGATCTTCTTCTCTAAGTTCCCAGCTTCTACCGTCAGCTCCCAGCTCATGTTCAGGTTCCTGAAAAATATCAACATACAGGCCTGAAACAACCAGATGTGACAGACACAAATATTCTCAAGACTTTTAAATATTTAGACCTGAAACTTCTTTGAATCCAGTGTTTGCTCTGTGAATCAGACTGTACCTGAGGACCCACTTTGTCTTTCTGGGCAGCCCGGTGTACATGCTGATTTCTCTCAACTCTCTCCTCCATTTGTTGATGTCCTGTCCAGCAACAGCTGTGAAGTACATCCTCTTCCAGTGACCGGCCAACTGACCACCCACCTCCTCTGCATCAACTCTGTGAACTGCATCGTCTGCCCACTTTGGCTTCCAAGTTTGACCCCCAAACTCTGACATGTAGATCTTTTGCCACATAATACTAGAGTGAAACAAAGATGATATGAGTTCGAAGATGCTGAGTCTCTCAGAAAGCTGGGAAGAAGTTCACCACTGTGTGAGAGACGGCATGAGCAAACTGTGTAGAAGTGGAATAAAGACCCTCTACATCACCCTTCTTTTCTTCTACATTTTTTAGTGTGATACAAAAGTCAACATCATATGATATAAAATGGTGACAAAATATAAACTCTCCTTTTAGTGTGAAATAACATGATAACCTTTCATTAAAATCTGGCCTTAAACTGACTCTGTCCCACTTACTCGTCGTTGGCAATTTGGTGGAAACATTTACTGACATAGCTTATGCAAAACAGCGAAGAGGCGTCCAGGTATGACAGAATCTTCATCAGTATCTCAGACGGCAACCTGAAGACAAATTCCAACATACTGGTGGGTAAATGTTGTTGTTTGTAATCAAATAGCTTTTATTACAGTTACCATTAATATTTCAAGTCCAGCTGTCCAACAGTCTGTGTCTTAAGGTTGGGAAACCCCCTTTTTGTCCCTCCAGTTTCACATAATCAAGTTTACTTTTGTCCTGCTTTTTTTTTCATTCCAAGAAAACTCTTGCTTAAATAAAATACTTAGTATAATGTAGCTACAACCCTGGTGCTTTCCCCACATTTTTTACCAATACTTGGGGGGGGGGGGGGGGAGGTTACGCTTTCAGGAAACAGCTGCTACCACTTCATAATTTCCCCATGACTTCTACTTTAGAAGGGGAAAAAACAACAGTAATTTTGCTTAATGTTACTCCTTAAGTATAAGGAGTAAATTAAGGTTTACTCCTTATATACTAAGATAAACTAAGGAAACCACGGTTGTAATGGCAACATGGTAGGCTACCATAAAAGCTGATAGAGTCGGCCAGCCAACTTACCTTTCAATAAAGTTTTCTTTATGTCCGGACGTTACGGTTGGAGTTGGGTTTGCTTTCTTACTCTCCATGTTGGGTTCTGGGAAGCTGTGATACAAATTATACTTTAAAAATACTGTATCTTTCATTATATCTTGGTTTTGTTGAATTGTAAGCTTAAATTTTCCAGGAAATACACGGTTGCTATCAGCGCCAACACCTGCGGTCCACGCCTTTAACCGAGACCGGCGGCGCTGCCCCCGGCATCCACTTCTTTCCCCTCCGTCCTCTGTCCGGACCCGGCGGTCGTCGTTCTGGACCTTGCCGTTTTCCACCTTCAACTAACACGGTGGATGATCTCTCAAAGCCCTCCAAGAAACTGCGACAAAACTCCCCTCGTCCGGCCGCCATCTTTCCCGAATTAGGGCAAGTGCTGTCCAAAAACGCTACCGTCTGAATTCAGGTCTCGAGGCCAAATTAAAAACGCTTAACTTCAGACAATTTCAGGCACTGCATAGACATAATATACATAGACGCCTCATTACATGCTGGAGCATATGCTGCGTTCGCGTTACCTTAGAAGTCCGAAGTTTCGAAAGTTTACAACAAAGTTCGAAGTTCCGAACTGAAAATGACGTCACACTCGAGTTGCCAGCGTTTCAGTTACAAAGTCGGTAAAAAGCTAAATCGGAGGTGGCTAATCAGTTGGCTACATCTACAAAAGTCATTTTAGCGTTACTTTGTCCGAATATAAGGCAAGCGCTAAAATAACTTTTCTAGATGTAGCCATCTTGTTTCAGGCTTCCAATTCGCTTATTTTCCGACTCGGGTGTAACGTCATTTTCAACTCCGACTTCTGACTTCTAAAGTAACTGCAATTTAGCAATAATCCCAATAGTATGTGTCTGCAGAGCCGGAGAGCCCTGCAGCTGCAGTTTTACACGCTGCAGTTCTACACGTGTCAGCGCCCCTGCTGGTAGGTCAGTGCTAATGCAGATGCTGCAGTTCTATACGTGATAGCGCCCCATGCTGGTAGGTCAGTGCTAATGCAGGTGCTGCAGTTCAGTAATTGGACTTCTTTACATGGATATAATGTGTTATTTTGCTGAAAAAAAACGGAATATGAGCTGACAGTCAATATTTAAGGTTTGGTTAACCCAAAACACCTTGTAGAATTTAGGTTTATTCCATCCAAAACAGTTAGGAGTAATCTAATTTCAATGTAATAAAAAAAATATTTATTTCTGGACCCAGTGTTTTAAATGCCCGAGCCAAAGCAAGCTGTGCAGTGCTTGAAGCCCTGTAGGGACCAGCTTTGCCTTTTTATTTATTCATTACATTTGATGACAATTTGACCCCTTTGAGTGAGAATTTCATAGTATTGTCATTCCAGGTAATTCTTTGTGGTGATCAACAAAAAAAATATGATTGGCTCTTAACGTCTACAAAAAAATGTCTTCTATCAAGAACAAAGCTGTGCAAAAAGGCTGTTGCCATGGAGAAGCCTTTGATCATAAAGCCACCAAGAATTGGCCTTTTGTCAAAGTGGCTAAGTGTTTTAATCTTAAGGTAAAGAGCAGTTCTTTGTGACTTGAGTGGTTGTTGGGAGAAACAGGAGGAAGATGGAGCCATGTCTGAAAGGCAGCATCAGGAAATGGGAGACAACCATCACAAGAGTCTAAATTCATATGGAATGCAGGTTTGAAGTCCCTTGATGGGGGCAAGTTCTTTTCTCTCATTATTAGAGTAGTTAATTATCTTTCTACAGCATTGAATGGAGTCATGGTGTTATCCTAATATCATAGAAACATGCTAAACCTTGTAAAATTGGTCAAAAACATACCATAATCACTTCAGAAACAAACAACACATCTTGTAGTAAACATATTTTTTTATTAACAAACAAACTTGTTGCAGGACTTGTGCAGCCTCATGTGAATTATCAGGATGGATGAGTCCTGAAAGAAAGACACATGATAGAAATAAAATGTTTGACATTTGACTTAGATATTTAAAGCTCAGATTGTGAAGTATGTAACAGCTCTACATACCATTCAGAGGTTTCCTTCCCTCTTCATTTTCTTTTCGATCGACCGACTGAATTCTTCCACTTCACTACAATAGGAAATGAAAATAATCACTGCTGGGTAAATTAATATTTGAAACTGAAAAACCTGAAAGAAAAAACTGAAAGACCTGAAATTGTAAATTGAAGAATTTACAATTTCTTAGTTATAGTAAGGATTTCAGCTAATTTGTGTTATGTTTTATTATTTTTTTTACCTCTGATGAATTGGCGGACCAGAATGGAAGACCTCCTCAGCTTCCTGCATGGAGAGGTTGTGGAGTGCACAATTCCGACAAGCTAACAATAGCTTTAGCTGGCTTAACCAACATAAATATTCGACGTGTCTTCCAGACTATCATGGTAAATATCATTAACGTCCGCACAACCACACATTAATTTCTCATTCAAATCAAGTGAACGATTTTGGAGACGCTAAATAAATTGTGGGATTCACATTTAATACTCACGGTTCGATCAACAAACTCCGCTACAGACCATTGCATACTATTGACAACTCTTCTCCAAAGAACACGAAAACGAAGAGGAGAAAAAAAGGGGGCGGTTACATGATTTCGAGACTCCGCCTCCTGCAGTTTTACACGCGTAGAACTGCAGCTGCAGGGCTCTCCGGCTCTGCAGAGACACCCTTCTCAATAATCCAGTGTTGCCCTCATATTGTATGGGTCTCGTCGGTTCGCACCATTGCCAACCAGAGTCAAGGGAAAACAAGCAACTAAATGTACGTTTTTTTGTGCACTATATGGTTGCAAAAACTGACACGGTATTGAACCCAGATCACGTAGGATTACATTTACTAAGTAAGATTGAAAAATAATTTTGGCTGTTTTTTATGTGTAACAGCATTCTGTACTAGAGCTACATTTCTGCCATTTGTAAACAACCAAACCGTGTGAAAATCGTACAAAAATGTAGGGAAAAGTGAATTAATTAGTTGGGCACACGTACATTCTTCAATAGAAATAAATGTGCTTGTGGTTCATGGGGGGACCCACCCAAGATGGCGGCCGCACTGATACATTAGCTTCAACAGGCAGCATCGGTCTATGAGGCGTCTGCGTGCATTATGTGTATGGGCCACAAGCTATGAATTTATTAGTTTTATTGAATATTTCTCATTTATTTGTGAGATTTGTGTGAGTTCTCCCACTGGAGTTAGAAACGGGGCTCTACGCATGCGCAGAATTGCTTAGTAGCCTATCAAAGTGGGGTAGCACTTTTCGCTAGAACACCAGAGGCTCCACTTTTTGACGTCTATTCCTCCTCGGTGTATTGCATACGACAATGTTGTGCTTGAATGACAGTTTCGCACAGGAAGCACGTTTGGGTGAAAATACCCCAATATTGCTATCAGCAAGGACTCAAAAGGGCTGAGAGTGAGTTAAAAAGATGAATTTTAATCAAGGTAACTGCCGTGAAAACACGGGGGAGGTCGTTGCGCTTCCAGGTCGCTAGATGGCAGTTACGCTTTTCCAACTTCACGCCTCAAAAATGGTAATGTTTATTATTTATTAAAACACCACAGGGCAAAAATGAACAACATTTCTCATCATGGATTTATTAAATTTGGATCATTAAAGGCCCTCTCGAAATATGACTTCTCTAAACCTGACCCTTAAGTCAAAAGTCTGTTGATTTTGAAAGAAAATGAAAATTTGTCTAAAATGTGCCACTTTATAAGGTAGGGTTGTTGAAGTTGTTATGTAGCATGTCACCATTCAACAAAAAATGTATTTGGGGACTTGAATCAACATTTGTCTTTTTGTAGTTTGTGTAAAACTGTCTGTCAGCAAAAGTACACTACAAATAGACAGCTCTTCAATTGTCAACTCTTTTTAATCAAAGTGAAACATCAAATATTGTAACCTGCTATAGCCATGGTTGGTCTACAAATTATCATCATGTAGTGAAAAATGTATATGCTTTTTTGCTTGAAAGTTTCAAATTAGGGTGGCCCTGGAAGTCAGCTACGGAGACAGGTTTTAACAAACATGTTAAACATTTTATAGAAAGCCAAAAATATTTGACAAACCCCTCAGAATTTCACAAAACATGTAAACATCAAATTCAAAAAAATAAATAGATAAATAAATCTGGAATGCCATAAAATTCAATTTAGCACAAAAGTACTTTACTGAATGCAATGTATTTTTTACAGAATGCATTTTCATGGAACCCAAAAACATTCCATTAAAAAATATATCTTAAGTAAATTGGGAGGAAAAATTCCCAAAACACACACAAATATTCAAATTTGTACAAAGATACTTTATGCAATACAAAAACATTTCATGAAATGCTAAATATTTTACAAAACAAACAAAAATTATTTTAACAAACAGTGATGTTACACAAAATACAATCTCCTTTTTGTTTGTATACCTCTGGCATCTTTTAGATAGAATCCCCAGTCTTAGACATGCCGTAAAAAGTCCAGGATAATGTTAATAACTCAGTAAATGTTGTCGCTTTGCTCCAGCCTGAAAAACAAACAGGTTTAAACATAAGGTGTGGTAATGTCCTGAAGATTCAGTTTCTTCGGTGAGTGCATGTGTGTGTTACATAAGCCTGCTCCCCTTTGTAATTTCACTAAAAGCTGTGAAACCTGAGAACACACACATTACACACACTCAGACTTTATTGACATCTCTCAGATGTAAACATGTTGTTGGTCTCTTAGCAGCTAAATAAACAATTGCACAGTGAAGAAGAGATGGTGTTTTGTTAAGGGAAACGTTGGAGGGGAAAGAGATGGACTTTCTTATGTCCATCGTGCAGGAAATCATCATCATTTTGCTGCAGCTCTTCATCAGCCTCATCTATCACCGTTTCACCTACAAGGAGAAGTGGTAAGTTGCAGGGGTCTGACCTTTACGCTGTTTAATTGATTCCAGTTTGAGATGCCACTTTTGTTGGCATGGTTTCCAACAGTACATTTAATTACATTTGTGTGACGAAAGTGTAGAAAGGTGCTTATATTACCAGCACAATACTAACGCCTGAAGTCTTAGCCAGTTTCAAAAGAGTGTCTGGCTAAAATCATTAGATTTGCTGCTTTTGCAGGCAGAATATTTGACATTTCTACATTTTAATGCCTCAAAAATCCACCCTTTGTTACTCATTTCTAATAACTTGGATTTAACATTATCTGATGTTTAATAAGATGTTTGGATTTAGAGGAAAATGATGCAATGTAAAGAAATATATCTGAATTGAAACCTTATTTCATCAGTTTGTGCACAATATACTGCCTGAGTTACACTAGATAGGTATCTAGTGTAAGTTACATTAGATACCTATCTAGTGTAACTTAAACCATAACAATTGTACAACAATACACTTTGCATAAATTAGAAGTCAGATTCACTTGTGGTGACAGCAAAAAAAAATTAAACTCTTGGCATAAGAAAGAAACAAGAAACAGAAAAACATTTAAAAAATTGTGTAAAAGAAAGAAAGTCATTCAAACAATTTGCAAGACTTACTTTTTTTTTGCAATTTTTCATGCTTAGAAATAATACAAACAGTAGAAAAATATAAATGAAGTGCATAAAATGAATGCCCTTATAATAACAGAATTGAAATTAAGCTACAAAAACAAACACGTGTTTTAACTGTTAAAGTTTCTTTTACATCATAATAAGCAAAACTAATAATCAACACACACAATAACTTATATATAGACAGAGACATAGAGCATAATAAATAGTTTAATTGGTCAAGTGATTATTACAAATTGCTAAATTTACAGTTGCTACTACTTGGAAATGTTATTTATTGTTTTGTCTAACAAATAAGACAAGGAAAATTTATGAAAAGTAATAAAAAGAGGAATAAAGCGAATGAGGAAGGTTGGTGTTGAAAACAGTAGTGATTTCAAGGAACAAGAAGGGTTATTTCGAGGTTTCCATGGTCACGCTTCTTTTGAGTTATTAAGAAAAGGGGAGGGGAGTTGAGGAGGAAGAGGAGGAGCTGCTTATGGAGGAAGAGGAGGCGTCCTATCTGTCTGTGTCCAGAGGAGAGGAGCGGCCGCCATGTTAACCAAGAAGCCCGGAACCTCGGTCCTCCCGACGGGTGAGCACAGCCTCTTTAGCCGGCCCTAGAGTTGCCTTAGGCCGGCTAGTGTTGAGGGAACACACCGCCGATTCCCTGCTTCTAATTGACCCCTTTAAATCCATCTAAACTAAAACATAACCGGGTGAGAAAGGGGGTGAAACACAGAGGAAAGGAAGGGCTAGGGTAGAAACAGCCTTTCTTCTTGTTGTTTATTCAATTATCAGTAATCTTATTTTAGAAAAGGTGGGGCATACTGGAGGAAAAATTACGTTTAGATGTACAAGTTTAACGAAAGGAAAGAAACCAAACTACAAGCTGCTCCAGACGTCTCCCTAGCCCAGTCTGTCAGGTTTATTTTTAGCAGATGAGAAGTGACAGCAGCAGCAGAAGAAGCAGGATTCCCGGTGTGTTTACTGCATGTTTATATCGGATTTAACTCCTTTATTGATCCTCTATAATAACACTTGGTTTGTCTTAAGTGTCCGTTTGCCAATTCGCGGTGTTTTAACGTTTGTGTATTGTGTTAGCAAGGAATGTTTTGCTCACGGACGAATCGGCTCCTTTAAACGGCTCCTTGAACCGAATTTCTTTATCAACCACAACGGGCGTATTTACAAGATATTTGCATGTATTTTTTTAATGACACCCAAAATGCATTGATATATAAAGTTGATAATGTTGTTAATCTATAAAATTTTTAGTCCGATGGGCTTTAAATAAGTTATTCAACCAACAAGTGGACTTGCTTGTAAGAGATCAAGGAAGCTTTGTTTTATTTTGTTAGTCAGCTGAAAGCCAATTGATTTTTAATTAGCTCTTGAGGTGTACTTATTCAATAAACACTACCTATTTATATTCTACATTGTTGTAAAAACCTGAAAGGATATAGTTATAATGCGTAGCCTGCTAAATGGGTCATTATTGTCACTAAAGGAAAATTGGGGCACTGGCTAATCTGTAGGTAAATCAAACCAGTTTAGAAGGAAATATCTGCTATTTTAAAGTTAAAAATTGCCAGATATTAGGTTGAAAATGTCATGGTTAAAAATATTATGTCGAGAGTCTGCAACTAGGCCATCTTAAACAAGTTGCCAGGTTGTTTTTTAGGATAACTTCAGCCTCAATTTGGGTGGCTATTTAAGCTTGATTTTACATAAGCTTTGCTATGGCGCAATAGCTAAGTAAGGTGATATACATCTTCGTGCTAGCAAAGTAGACATACGAAATATAACGGCAATATCAAACTGAAAGCTGTCTAGGAGCAGAAAGAGGTAACTCCCATTTTTTGGGGTGAGCCAAATGATCTGGGTCCCAAAAAATGGCTGGAATTCTCCTCACTAATGTTAGTTATGGTATTTTGGTGATGTTCCGCATGTGTGTGTGTGTGTGTGTGTGTGTGTGTGTGTGTGTGTGTGTGTTTTCTTGGTTGCCGGGTAATTTTGGCCCCTTGGTCCGCAGACAGAAATACAGCTTTAGTTCAGTCAGAGGTCACTTGGTTTTTCCTCGTCAGTGAAATTTATTTTTGCCAGCTGTCTGTTCTAAAAAAAAAAAAGGGCAATTTAGATTCTTGTGTAATTGAAGTAGCTTGACTAACATGCTAATGCTAGGTCTTTGCTGTTGTTATTATGGTAAATACTTAACTAAAGGTAGCGTCTAAAGCTGGTGAAAATACTGGAGTTTTTTTTTCATAATTGAAATTTGCCTTGGTAACAGTTAGAATCTGGGCTAGTTTACCAGCATTAGCATCTTCCAGCCAATTGGTTTCCAACATGCTTGTGAAAATGCTTTTGAGATGATTTAATGCTGCGTTGAGTTACCTCGAAAGTCAGAAGTCCGACCTGAAAATGACGTCACACCTGAGTTACCAGCGTTTCAGTTGCCAAGTCGGAAAAAAGCAAAATCGGAGGCCTGAAACAAGATGGCTACATCTACGAAAGTTATTTTATTTCAGAACTTGCCTTATATTGGGACAAGGCAAGCACTAAAATAACTTTCGTAGATGTAGCCATCTTGTTTCCGCCTCCTCTCTGTTTTTTTCTGACTTGGTAACTGAAACGCTGGTAACTCAGGTGTGATGTCATTTTCAGCTCGGACTGCTGACTTCCGAGGTCACTTGAACGCACCACAAGAATACTATGTTGGCACTGTTATTTTTGTTACCATCACTAACATGATAATATTTTGAATACAATGCAGTTCACCTGGAGTTTTCCAGGTTAACCCTTGTTTTATATGTACTATTTTTGAATTAAGGCGCTAAAGAAGCTTTTAGTTACTTCTAAAATGTAAGAATGGAAGTCTTTGAAAGGTTTTCACCGAGCCATGTGACTGTAACTAACATGTAGTTCGCTCCTTTGCTTATATAAGTGTAACTGTAGTTCGGAAATAGGTTATCTTACAGCAAACACTGGATCTGAAGTAAACATGTGATTATTAGTCAGGTCTTTGCTAAGCAGTGTATATTTACATAGAGGCAAATATTATTATATAATGTAAACATATGGAACAATTCCATTGTGTAAAGCATAGGTCTTTTACTGTTCAGAGAGCAGTGGCAAATTTACAGAAAGTTTGATGGATTTCGTCAGTATTGCAGTTTTCCACTGGTCTTGATTTTGCAAGTGCCGTTATTATTGAGGTAGCTCTGGTGTTCTTGCATTGAAAGTCCTTTTTTTCTCTCTACCATATTGGTATTTGAGCTGCTTGGGTCTTTTTTTTCTACAGTATTAACACTAAAATGATGTGTTCTTACCAGATTTTGACCTTGTGGTTTTTTAAGCTTACGTCTGTTCTTTCACAGCAGGTTTTTCTTACAACTTTGAGTCTGTAATCCCTGCCTTAAATCCCTCTACAGCATTCATTCACCATGTCTGCGGCTCCATAATCAGTTTATTAGTGCTTTGAATCTGTCAGTGTTTTCTCCTGTAGGCTGCGTGGAGACAGTTTGTGCTGCTTCAGGCTGCATTATCAGTTCTGTTCCAGTTTATGTGTCCCAGTTTCATCCAACTCTATAAAGCATGCATTTTATGTGCCTACATTGATGAAGCAAAGAGATTTACAACCAACATGTCTCAGTTAAACTAGGGCTTCCCATTAGAGGCAAGTTGAAATTCGAAAGCACCACAAACATCAAGTAAAAGGAGCATTTTCTGAGGTAATGTTCAGTCAAGCTCTTGCTCGAAGCACACCACCACAGTCTTGCAATTTTTGACTTTTGTCCAGCTGTGAGCGGCTCCTCGATTTAGCCTCAGCAGTGGGAAGAATGTCCAATAATACATCCAGCACAAGCTATTTTTAAGACCTCGGGAAGCTAAAAACAAACCGGTTTGTGAGATGTTTCACATTTCTTTGGATCCTCGATGTACTCAGTCTTTTTTACTGGGGAAACCGGTGCTCAGTTTTGGACTCATGTGAAATGACACTTGTTTTCACATCTCTGCACATGGCAAGTTGTTACATCTGTGGGTGCAAATGTCAAACTGTGTTTCCTGGAAATTGCAAACATTGCTAAATGTTCTCTGCAAATATAGGTGGCTGGCATGCAGCTCCAAACAGTGGTTGTTTTTTATATAACTTTTCTGAAACCAAATAAGCAAGAATAGAATTGAAATAAGTGGATTCAATGGGATGTTTGTGAGATTTTACGTAGGCTTCAAAAGTTTAAGTTGTGAGCCAATAGCATACATTTTCTTCCAATTTCACGAGATATTACAGATGGAGGTTAAAATTTAAAGGGTACAGTTAATAATTCATGACTAATTTATGAACTACTAAGTATTTATTCTCTTTACAGTTGAATTTCAATCCACAGACCACCATTTAAAAAACCAGGCTCTTGAGAAACTTGACTTTGGTGTTCTGAATCACAGTCAAAGGTCTATCTTTGTAGAGACTCACGTCACATTTGATGGTGCGTTTCGCTCTAAAGATAAAGTTTAAACTGTGCTGCAGGCTTGAGCAACCCCAAACTCTTTTGCACCCTAAAATTACTCAAAACCCTCAAATATGCAAAAACAAAACATAGATTGAACCCAGAAATGGTAAATATTGTGCAACCAGGATCTTAAAAATGATCAATTCTTCTTCGGTGGTGCATGATAGACAGATATTAGGACATCAGCATTTAACAAGGAAGAGAAAGGAATTCCTCCGATGGTAGTTTCCTTGTCTCTGTTCCCTAAACTTTTTTAACTCAGCACCTTTGTTGGTTTGTGACCCCATCGAGCGTCACAGCGCTGAACACCATGGTCACGCTGCTGCAGGTTTTCCCACTCGTCCTGTCAAGCAGCATGCCGGACGTGCTCGCCGCCGCTCTGGCATCTGCAGCGCGGTGTCAGGTTCACATTCAGCACCCTGCTTTTCCACTCTGCTAGCATGCATCTGTCAGGCCTGCAGGGAGGTTTTACTGCCTGTGCTCTCTCTGCAGTATGGATCTGTGTAACATTATCATATGTCCCGTACAGGCAGAGCTCAGTGTCGTCACACACTGCGGCGCCGCAGGCCTGTACGAAACTTCACAGACTAGATTCATCAGAGTCTAAATAATGCTCATTACTGTCACAGATGTCTTTTAACATATTGATAACTATTATAAACGTTTGTACAGCTCTGTCATATGAAAAATGCAGCTTAAAATCTCTTTCAAGGTGGACAAAATACTTGCAAAAACAAACAGATATTCTATCAAAGTGATGCCCTTTTGGTTATGAGAAATATTAAAATTGAAAACATAGTGAGTGATACTAAAATCAATATTAACCACATTACGCAAGGTTATTTAATCCAACCTACAAACACTAATAAACCAGAAAGAAGGAAGCAGATATTCCTTTATTATAGCACTGAATAATAAATCCACTACAGTGTCAGTTTTAAGGTCTTTACAGACGTCAATATTTTTTTTTCGAACCTGTATCCTGTCAATGTAAGCGTTAACATCAGCAATGTTTTCCCGTCCTGCGATATTGCGGCATTTTTTTTTTGGATCATGGTCGATTTTTCTAAAGTTTCGCGTACTGTGTGTCCACTTCTGACCAATCAGATTGCGTGTTGTTGCAACGTCGAAATCACCAGTATATCCAACATATCCAACATATCTCACCGGCTAATTGTTAACGTGTCGGAGAACAGAGTGCTTTTTGATAAAAAAAAAAACAAATATTACAAAGATGACGACCTGAAGGACAACATGTGGAGAGTCATAGCGTTGGATTTCTCATATGACGATGGTTTATGTGCTTTAACAGTTTGCTAAACGTCTTTGTTTTAACTTTCATCTGTGCTAATGTATGCTAACGGTTGTTACCATAGTTTCATGTGCTTATCTGGTACTGGCCCCGACTCAGTATTTGCTATCATGACAGAAAGCCATCTCAACACTAGTGTCTAATCAGAACTGAAAACAATCAGCGACCGTGGTACAGTTTCAGCTCCTGAACCAAGCAGTGAAACTCACCAAGTTCTCTTCTTTTTTGTAATATTGGATGCACCCATGTGCTACGTTTCTTTTTCTTTAGAGAAAGCAGAAGAAGTACCAATTCGCCATCACTTCAAGTTGAAGTAGACTCCATTTTTGTCCTCTCGCTTCCACCCAGGACTCTGGTCGTTAAGAGAAGGTCCTGCCCTCCTTCGCCTCTGATTGGCTATAAGTGCTGACCGTTTGGCTTGAGTGTTTGATGACGTTTCCAGCTTTTCTAGCCAATCAGAGATGAAGGAGGTGGGACTTTGTGCCTTTTTCCCCCCGGAAAGTCGCAAGATAGCATCGGGCTTGATGTGTATAGTCAGGCGCGTCAAAATCCGCCTTTGAATATTTCGTGATTTTGCGTTCTATATTCATGTCTCCCGCTGTGTAAGGACCTTTAGTCACATTTATTGAGCTACGGCCCTCACAGGTTTGCCTGTTTTGTTTAAAAATTACTATAGGATTAACCCAGCAGTTAAAAATTGTTTTATTTTGATCAAATATATTTATCCCTTACAAAACCTCACCATACAACTGAACCACTTCAGTCTGGCTCTCAGAGATTCTGCATTTCTCTTTATCATATCAGAAATATTATGAAATGCAAATTTAAGTCGATTTCCATCTGCTGCCAGAGTGTCTTATGTTTATGCTCTACGCCTGCATTCAGCTAACTTACTCATAAATAAACTGATGAGTGTCTTTGTAAGTGTTTTAGCGATTTCTCTGAGACAGGAAATTTTGAGTTGAAAGCTTTGTCCACTGTTTGTTGAAGTGTGCACGCCAGTTTTGTGTATCTGGCCTGTCTCTTGTTGTTGTTAGAAGCTAATCAATATAGCGAGGAGTGTATGAAGATATATTACAATATTGATTTTTTTTTTTTGGCCCAAGCAGCAGCTGTTTTCTTGGTACAGTGTTTTAGAGTTGAAGCTGAGGTGTCCATCACGGCTGAGAAAGCATCTGTAAATGTTTTGTTTTGTTGTTCAAACTGACCAAATTGTTAAAATGTTCAATTTAAAACCACATGAAACAAAAGAAATCATTCAAACTGAGGGATCAGCTCCCCCCCTGAGAGGCTGAAACAGCTGAACATGTAGCATTTTTACCGGATCAATAACCTGAATGATGCAACGGTTAGTCAGTGAAATTGGTTCTGCATCAGTCTGCAGGAGAGTAAATAAAAACTCCCCACCTGGATGAGGCTGACAGCACAGCAGATGTCTGATATAATCAGGATTAAAGTGTATTGATAACACTCATATTGATTGTTTGTGTGGGTCATTAGCAGGATTGCAGCCCCGCTTCATGTTTCACTGCAGACGCTTTCTGCTGAGTCAGCACTTGGCGGCTCGCAGTCCCGATTGGAGTCACTTTTTCAGATGTGTTGTGGTGTTTCTGCTTGTTCTCGGTCATGTTATCCTCGCACAGTGAGTCTTTGTGTGGCTGCAGAATGTGGTTTGTGTATCTGACTCGTCCTCATTAGCAGGATTACTGCGAGCGTTCAGATTAGAGACCATCTGTCCGTGTAAACCTGCACGAGAGCTGGACGGTAGCCTGTGAGGGTCCATTCATTCATTCATTTAATCACCCTCATACTTTTTAATGCATCATAAAACCTGCAGATGTTTGCCGCAGATTCAGGAAACCGTCATGAATTTCGATCAGAGATTTTCAAAATGGATCCTGGCTGAGCTGAATGTTTAGTTGAGAATGTTTTAAAGAAAAATGTTCAAACATTTATATCTTTTTTTTTTGTTTGTTTGTTTGTTTGATGTTAGTTAAATTTCTTTAGGGTTATATATTTATCTGGATTTACTACTCCTGGAAAAGGAGATTTTTAGGGTTAGATACTCTGATCACACACCGGAACGATTTATTAAGACTGCTAGACCTCACACCGAAAGTCTGCTGTAACAATTCCACTCAGTACAGTTATCTTTTGTTCAAAAAATCTATTTTCCATTAGCCGGAGTGAAACTGGACTCTTAAAAACATTATAGCACATCAGTACAACTGATAATAGGTTTGATTGAGTTTCTCTTCAATGTTTACAATGTAATCTGACTTAAACAGGCTTTATGCTGCGTTCGAGTTACCTCGGAAGTCAGATCTCGGAGCTCAAAATCACGTCACACGAAGTCGAAAAAAAGCAAAATCGGAGGCGGAAACAAGATGGCTACATTGACGAAAGTTATTTTAGCGCTTGCCTTGTACTTGTTATATTTGCTAAAGTAACCTTCATAGATGTAGCCATCTTGTTTCCACCCCTGATTTTGCTTTTGTCCGACTTGCGCTGGTAACTTGGGTGTGACGTTATTTTCAGCACCGACATCTGACTTCTGAGGGAACTCGAACGCAGCATTAGTGCTCTGTACAGTTCACATGTCGACTTGTTAACTTGAACAGTGAATAGCATAAATGTGATGAAAGAAAACGGGTGGTTGACAAAACTTTGACAAAGCTAAAAGGGGGGTATAGTTCAACATACAGCAAACAGTTGGCCTCTTGCTAATAAGTTTCTCCTTTGTTTTGATTCGCGACATATGAAGTCAACTCGGAGATTGGCGACCAATTGGGATCCATTTTCTCTTTCATGTGTAACGTTCTGAGCATGCTCCAAAAACCTAAACCAGGATTTAAAAAAGATGAAATACTCGTATCATAGGAACAAAAGGTACAGAGCTGTAAAAGTTTCATCCTGTTATCCACTCGCTTACATGATTTTGATTGTTTTGGTTCATAATAGATTGACCAGAAGGCGACCCTGTAGTAATGAACAGAGAGGGGCGAGGGGCGTGTCAGTGTCAATTAATCCTTGTAAACTGGTACAAGGATAGTAATCAATTAGAATCAGCCAGTTGAGCTTTAACCCCAGCTCTACTTAACTGTACATGTGAATGAATAGACAGATTCCTCAGACGTGAAATCTCATAGGAAGTTGCACATCAGGTTGGTGAGAATTTCCAGTTTGTTCCTCCCCTCATGGGTTATTGAGATATTACGTCAGGGTAGTCTGTAAATATCTACGGTGCCAGGTCTGGGAGGCTCCAAATTGATAAAATACCCATAAAAACATGACGCCTTGGAAGGTGAGGCTGGCCTCACTGTAGGCGATTTTGGGCTAAATTTGGAGCCTGATTCACCAGCTCCATTGACAAGAGGAGCTTTCTGATTTTGGTTTGAACAATTTCCGTTTCTATCAAGAACAGAAAAGCAGACTTAAACTTGTGTGTCTTATTAAATCTACAAATCTCAGATACTTAAACCTTCCCTGCCTGCAGATGTTACATTCTTAACTTCTTCATAAATTAAAAGGTTTAAGGAAGACTCGATGGAAATGTATTCTATAATTTTCTCTATCTCACAAAACTTTGGTACAGGAGATTTTATCACGCTCAGCTTAAATTTGACTGAGTATCTTCAAAAGTAATCTCCTTCATGCTGCTGCGTGTTTTAATCTGGATGTTGTGACAGAACAGAACAAAACAGATGGAGTCCGACTGGATCAGCTCAAACGAGGGAAAGTCAGTCAAAATACAACACACCACTGTTCAACATTTATGATCGAGGTCTGCTGCGACCTCTGACCTTTGACCCCTCTGTGCCGCGTCTGCTGTCATGTAGCTGTTAAGAGTGGAGAGAGAAAGAGGGAGGGAGGTAGAGAGAGGTAGGCGGTATTTTGAGGATTATCAGTCTGTATTAAAACCTTCATCCTTCCTAAACTGGGTCAACTTGCTGGATCTACAGACTCCAGACTGGACCAGATCTCTGTGACCCGGGTCAGAGCGGAACAAGACTGTGTCAGTTCATTTTAGTTCAGATTTACACTCAGGGACACCTGGATTATACCTGTGACAAAGAATACTCCATTTTGGCTCAGGTGTACTTATTTTATTTGGTATACAAACAAAAATCTTGCCTGTGGCGTTTTCGGGTTTGCAAATTGACGTTCGCTGCGATCAGAAAAGTGTACTGCTGCTCTATAGAGCCATTCTGTGATATTAGTTGAAATTGAGTCACTTCTGTGTGTGATCTGTGGGAGTTTGCAGCTTGTAGCGCCGCACTGAGTGATGTAGGAAACACACCACAAGATAATCTGATTCTTGGCCCAATTCCCTCTTACAAAAGGCAGCAAATTCCTGATTTTCTGACGGCTCCAAACAGAATCTCGCCACTTTTTCATGTGGTGTGAGGCGTATTGGGAGTGATTTTACTTCCTCTCATCTGCTAGGAAGACCACTATGGCTGCACCAATTTTAAATGTTATCATTATGTTGTAATTTGTAATTCTAACCAGTCTGAGACTGTGACGATGGAGAGAAAATTGGAGCTGTTTGGAATAAAGGATGAGTGCACAATATTTGTTTTGAGTTTTATCACCTTCACTGTTAAGTTGGGCTCGGCAATTCTGGGCCTGTTAAGATCAGCTGATTGCAGATAAAGCCTCTGATTGGTTGGCGTACAACAACAAAGATGACAATCAATGAGTATAGTCAGCTGATTAGAGAAATCACAATATATCACTTAATTTATGTAAAAATTCATTTCATTTTTGGAAGATTGGATTTGAACAGTCTCTGGAAATACAGCAATCTTCTTTGTTGAAAAGAAAATTTCTTGGATGTTGCAGAAACAGATGGAGTTTATCGACAGAAAGCTACCAGTTGAACGAAGCAAGTGGATTTTATTGTACATTTTGAGGTCATACTATTCTGTTCGTATGCTGCGTTCCAGTTGTACTTGGAAATCGGGATTTCCAAGCTCTGAGTGGGAAATAATCCGGAACACCCCCCTGAATTCGGATTTCCATCTCGGAAAATCGGCCGATCCTTGCCAACCCCAACTTGACAACAATGTCATAATTCAAGATGGCAGCGCAGTGCATCAACAGTAAAAGCTTTAGTAATGTTTTATGTATTAGCACTTCTGTTTTGTTTTTGTGAAATAAAATAAGTGGTATATGTTGTACTGTGCAACAGTTAACTGCAAACATGGTGCTATGGTGTTTGTAGAGTAAAATACTGTGTTGTGCTTTGTTTACAACTGGTATCGCTTACAACCGCTAACACAACTGACAACCGCTAACGACAGCCGACAGTTGTAAACAACAGCTAACGAAGGGTAACTGTAGGCGTCCATCTTGGTTTTCCGACTTGTTAACTGGAACGCTGTCAACTCAGGTATAGCGTCATTCCCAGCTCCGACTTCCGAGGTAACTGGAACGCAGCATTAAAGCCGATATTGTGAGCGCAACAGTTTCATCTTGTGTACCACAGTGCTTTGGACTGACTGCCTCTCACGATGCCTTATGTCATTGTTTTGAAGGCACGCCAAACTTATCTAAAGGTCTATTTGCAAGGGAATGACAAGACAAAGTATGTGCATGCTGTTTCCATAAACCCAGAATAGCACTTAACTGAATGGTATAGATCATCTCTATGTATCAGCGTCTCTCAGCAGCACTCGGTCTCGCTATTTGAGTCGGTGTCAGACCAGAATTTGATATCAGGATCAGACCAATGGATTTCTAGTCTGGGTAATCGAAATAAAGTTACAGCCACATCTCAGATTGTGTTCAAATGACACCAACTGGCAGCCCAAGACTGGAGTAAACATGTCATTCAGGTTGTCAGAGTTCCTGTCGAGCTGTGATAGGTGTATTTAAGGAAAGATTTATGCTCCTATGACAGTCAGTTTGCTTACAAAGCTGTTCTATATCCAGAGCAAGAAAGACCCTGTCTCTATCTGTCACTGTCTATAAGTGTGGGTGTGTGTTAGTGTGTGTTTGTGTGTTTGTGTCTACGTCTGAGTCCAGTCCAGACGCGTCTAATCTAACACTGATTAGTTTTCTCTCTGTATAAACACTGACGTCTTCTGCACTCAAATAACCTGCAGGGATTTTCAGACATTTTAGCAGATTGACGAGTGTTCCTGTTGCCCGTGTACAGTGTGTGTGTGAAACTGTGTGTTACATAACAAGCTCTTTTTGGTGGTCTCAGTCATGTGATCTGTGGTATGTTGAAGAGAGGCAGCGACACAACTTGTACTTCCAGTTTAAGATCACTGGCAGCCCCGCTGTGAGGACTTTAGAGACACAGTCAGCAAATAGCTCCACTGCTAACTGCTGCTAATAAAACCACATTTCACTTTTCTCTAGCTGCTCTTCAGACACACTTGGGGTTGTTTGAAGGTAGTTTTGATGGAGCTGCGTCAGCGGTTTGCCCATTTTTCCGGTCTGTATGAGCAACACCAAGGAAGAATAAAAACATACGCCTTCAATCCCAGAAAAGCTTGGACGCCGATTCTGATTCTGATCTTTTGCAAATCCTCTAGAGACTATATTTGACAGGAAAAAGCTGCGAAGGCAGCTTATATAATGCTGAAACCAATAAAATATATGCGCTCGCTTTGATTGTGATACCGGAAACCTGTTTAAAAAAGTTGAAATAAAGGCGAATTTACCTGAATGTGTCATTAGCTCTGCTTTTACAATCACCCTGTTAGTGTTAGTGAACCCAGGAGACCAGTTTCTAGAGTTTGGGAAGTGAAATGTTGCCCCTGCCTGATATAGGATTTCAGCTGCTCAACAGTTCAGGGTCACGTTTTGTGTCCTAGAGAACATGGTGTCCATGATTTCCAAGTAGAACATCAGATTTTCAATTTGTCAGAACACAGGACAGTTTTTCTCTTTTGCCTCAGTCCAATTTGAAGAGGCCCAGGCTTAGAGAAGTCTCCAGTCTATCTGGATCACCTTTAGTCCTTTTTGCAGGATTTCACCTGCATTTGTAGATGTCCTCCCACATGTGGAAGTTACCCATGCCATGGACACACATATCTGCTTTTGAACTGTACGCAGATGATGAAGTGGCTGGTACCCGTCACCTTGAGAGCAGAGGACAATGCGTCCATGTTTTTTGAGCACATGCAGCAACTTCCACTACAGAGCCATGCCTGTTTTTAATGCTGTGCTGCCTCAGGGCCTGAGGATCAGGGCGGTCCAGTATTGGTTTCTGTCCTTGTCCTTTTTGTACAGAGCAGGGCTCGACAGTGCGAACGTTTCACCTGCATTTGCAACAAAAAATAGATGTGTGCGAATTGTAAAATGTATTTAGGGGCACATGTGCGCATTAAAAAAAAAATGTTTTTTCATGTAAATACAGTGGTGTAGTTAGTTTTAGGTTGGATATCTGACAGACATGCGCCTCTTATCTACCAGTGTCTTCTCACTCTCCATAACCGGGAATAGCAACAGCAGCGTGGTTATATCTACTCAGCACCCTCACTGTCAACATCGGGTGTTTAATAAGGGCCATCAATAAATTACCTGTTGATGTTCTCAAAAAAGGCTGTTTTCCTTCAATAGCTTCCATGTCATGTGACCAATTGACCTAAAATTAATTTCAAATAATAGAACTTATGTCGACCAGTAAGACACACATTATGTGATCAATTGTTACTAAAGTTCTTTGTGTGCTCCTTACTTTTTGAACTTAGGAGCACACGTACTCCTTGTGAAATAAATTAGTGTCAAGCCCTGCAGAGATTTCTCCAGAATCTCAGAATCTTTGAATGATGTTGTGTACTGTTTGCTCACACAGTCTTTCACAGAGTGATGAATCTCTTCCCATCTTTCTTTCAGTAAAACAGTAAATCTCAAAGTTTGAACATCAGATTTGATCATTTTTCAACATTATTTTTAATTAAAATCATTTGCATGCCATCAAAATCAGTTTTTACCAAAATGTTACAGCATCTTAGCTCGTGTAATTGGGGTTGCAGCAGATCAACTAAGTCTAGTCGCTGTAGCTTGTCAAGATAACAAATGTCAAAGTCTCTGTTTTTGTGTGTTTCAGGCAAAGGAGGCGAGCCGGTCTACTCTCCCGGTCACAGTGGCTCTCAAACGACATCTCCCGTTGCCCTCCCGCGGCTCCAAAATAACAACCAAAACCCTCTTACGGTATGAGCACACACTTGGATTTGGAGCATGGATTTATCCTCTCACACTCACAGTGTTTTTCTGTAGCTTCATAGAAAATAATTCTTATGAAACACACTAAGAAAGTTTTCTAACTTTTTGACCTGTTTTAGGAGTCCTTTAGTTTACTTGTCATTGTGTATTTGTTTGGGTGTAATATCTGAGGCTGTAGTTGGACCAGAGTGCTGCTGTTAGCGTGTTAGCCTTCTGTTAGCCCTCTGGAGCAGCACTCCTCTGTAACAGTCAGCTGTAGCCTCTCAGCTAATAATAACCCACAGCTCCTGGATGCTTTAAACAGCTGATTGGTTTAAAGGCTGGTGTGAAGGACACACACACACACACCCACATACACACACTTACAAAGGTCTAATGGTATAACAAGACTGATGCAGCATTTATATAGCCCATTAGCCTCAGAGTGATGCCCTTCACTGCTAGCTTTAGTATTGATTTCTGTAACAGCACAGTGAAGGCTTTTGGGAGGGTTTGGATCATCTTTCAGGAGGAGGAGGTGCCGCTTTGTTTCAAACCACATTTGTACAGCAGATGAATCTGTTTATTGGCTCGAGAAGATTTTACAACCTTTAATGACCCGTAACTACAGTAAAAACTCATTTCAAGGGGGTCAAGGTAACATATTTGATGTCATAAATGGGGATATCATATTAAGGTGATATCACTACAGCAAGTCTATGACTCAATATTAATTACAAAATTTAAAAGGACGAGAGAAGACTTGGATAAAACTACATTACTATAGCTCTGAGAAGCTGTTTAAGTCCACCCAGGACTCGTACAAGGAAGTTTGAAAGGTTGCAGTTTCATATGTAGCATCTATTTAATTTTCCTGGTAAGGCAAACTTCTCCTGTGTTATTCAAGTTTCTCACCACAACCTAATCTTGTTTTCCTGATGCTACATTTAAATACATCATAACACTATATAATTTATTTTACCCATCACCTCCAACACATCATAATGTTACCATATCATCACCTCTTTTTCAGTCTTTACCACCTGGCTTCCTTGCATTGCATTTATGCTATCCAACTCCAAGGCTAAATCCCGGCATGCAGACTGTTTAGCGTGCGCAGAACGCTCGGGCCACTTTTAGTTTGATTGAGCCGTAAACATGGAAGAGAAAATCTATCCCTGTGCACAATATCTCGGCATGTTACTCCAGCTATGAGACGTTCGATTGCAGCCGTACTAACAAGTTGACATGTATTTTAAAAGATCGGTTTCAGTCAGACTAATGCAGTAAATCAACAATTTTAACGTGTGAATGTACTAAATTACCTGATTTGGATTGAGTGTAGCGCTCTACCTGCATGCTTAACTCTGCCATACCTCTTTTGCTGAAATAGCCACTTTGTAAACAGTCAACATACAGTCCTGTCGTTATCTATTATCGCACTATTTGTAGTTCAAAACCTCAAATACTTCCACAAGATGTTTTCCAGGTACTCTGGTGTCGTCATTGTCCGCTCAGATAGGTTCATGCACCAAAACAGTGTATTATGGATCTGAACTGCTTATTTACCTATTTTAATTATGACCTTAAGTTCGAATTAAGACTGGACTTTGTGATAAAAATTGACAGCCTTAGTCCTAATGTGCACATGTGCTACTTAATCTTGTTTAAAGTGACACAATTGGACGAAGAGTACTTTGATGGTGTTAAATTTCACATTTTCAGATGTAAAAAACAAAGTACATGTTACAACCAAACAAACGTCCACTAACACAATTAATGTAGGTGTGCAGCCTGAAATGCTAATAATGTGAGTAAAGAATTGTAAATATATTCTTAAGATTATCACTTGACTCACTGTTTGGATCAGTTTCTGCACACAGTGACACAGAGACTGGTTTTATGGTTGATACTGTGTGTGTGTGTGTGTGTGTGTGTGTGTGTGTGTGTGTGTGTGTGTGTGTGTGTGTGTGTGTGTCAGCAGTTACAGTGATACCTGAGAACAAAGTGTTTGGTTTTGTTGACTCCTCCCTCACCTGACAACACCTGGTGACTCACACACTGTTATTGTTTTGGTTTCATCACTTCCTTTTTGTACAGCAGAGTCCTCTCATTGGCTAGCTTACCACACACACACAGACACACACACGTTCATACACAGCTGCTTAGTTCAAAGACCGGCCGCTTTACACAAAATAACAATACCTCTGTGTTTGTGAGTGTTTCTCTGTGTGTGCGCGAATTGAGACCAAATGCACCTCTGTTATCTGAAAGGACCCAGGTGTGCTGGTCGCCACGACAACAGGGAGTGACTCACTGAGCGAGAGACAAAGAGACAAATGAGAGAGAGCCAGACAGCTGTTTCTCTGTGTGTTATGTACAGTTGGAGCGCTTTTTTGTTGGCGTTTTATATCCATATTTTTATTGTCAGTCATTTAAATTCTGGAAAAGACAGATTTTTAGAAATTATGTTGTAAAAAGCACATTTATATCTACTTTTAGTGTTTCTTTTTATCTCTGCATAATATTACATTGATGTTTTTATTCTACCTGGGCCATTAAGGACTCTGTTCTGCAGTTTATACTAGTGGTAGAATGAGGGTCAATAATCAGTTTATTACAAAGATATATGTACGTTTTATACTCAGTGTTGTTTAGCATTTGTAGAGATTACAGTACACTTCACAGTTCTTTGACTAACTTGCACCTAAACGTTACTTTTATTACTGATTTCTGTGATTTAAAGGTTAATATCAGGTTGAAATTTTCACTTAAAGCCACAGTGTGAAATATTTATCCAAACAGACTTATTAGCATGGAAATATGTCACTCATTAATATGTGTTGACAAGTGTATGATTTCCTGAATTTAGAATAAGCCTTTAACTTCTACATAGGATGCTGAACTCCCATAGAGGCAGCCATCTTGCACCGCCATGTTTCTACAGTAGCACAAAGCAGATAAACTAGTAACATGTGTTTTTGTATTTTGGTGATTTTAGTTAAGAGGAAGAGAAGGGTTGTGTTGTGTTGTGTACCAAAAATGTATTGATAAGAGACTTTTGGTGGTAGAAACCTGACAAAGGAAGGATCATGCAGGAGCTTTTTGTCCTTGAAGGCTACTGTTGCTTCACCCTAATGTTCACAACAACCCCTTACACACATGCACTTTGGTATTGAACTTATCAGGACTTTAACCTGCATGTGAAAACACAAAGTCCTAATCAGTTGACCTGATTTTAAACGGACTTTACCCTGCCAGCTCCTGAGTACAAAGTCTGTGTAAAATCCCACAGAGCTGAAGTTTGAACACAGCAGGTGAATGACTTGAAAAGCCTCCTCTGTGTTAAACCTGCTTGTTGCTAAATAATGCTCTTAAATCTTACTACAATGTGAGCCTCGTGCAGGAAGTGGCATTAATTCTTTGTCAGTTTGGTGTTTATATTTAACTATTTACCAGAATGCAGAATTTTTGAGGGGAAAGGGCCAGAGAAGCTCAGGAAATCCAGGATTTAAAAACAGTAATCATCACAAGAAACGCTTGAAAGTTACAGTCTGATTCTTCACCTTTCCATCTTTGGCTCTCAGCTGATCCCTGTCTCTGTGTTACCCCTCAGGGAGGCTCTAAAATCGCCATGTCGGACGCCGTCCAGCTCTCGTCGCAGTCGCAGGTCCATGTCACCCAGCTGTACGAGGAGAACACCAACAAGCGTCCGGTCCTCACCTCCCAACCCAACGGCCTGGCTCCTCTCAGCTCCACCCGGCCGGGCCTGCCGCTGCCCGACCGCCAGACCTCGGCCACCGAAACCCCCCACCACTGCCGGCAGGGCAGCGCCGCCTCCAACAAGTCGACAGACAGTAAGCCAAAGCCCTCTCCTCTGAGCCCCGAGCAGGCCATGAAGCAGTTCATGTCCAAGATGTCGTCGTTTGAACACCACGAGGTCTTCAGCTACCCAGAAGGTACGTACACAACCCTGTTTTTAACCCTTAGAATAAAGAATCTGAACCTTACCTTCCATGGATGGATTGCTAAAGGATCATGTGCTTCCTCTTCTTAGTGTTTTTTGTCGGTCCAAATGCCAAGAAGAGATCAGGAGTGATGGGAGGAGCCAACAATGGCGGCTATGATGACGATCAGGGATCATACATCCACGTTCCACACGACCACATTTCATACCGCTACGAAGTCCTCAAGGTCATCGGCAAGGGCAGCTTCGGACAGGTACAGCTGCAGATCCATAGTCCATCGTTTTCTCTGTTTGTTTCACTGTGTAGAAGTTGCTTGTTGGAGCCATTGCTGTGTTGATTATTGAATAATGTGACACAATAATATCAGTGAATCCAGCTTGTTGGTGCAACAAATCAGCCAGTGTTGCTGTTGATGCAATGCTTTTGTAAACCAACTGATCTTTCATAAATCTGATTGGTCTGTAAGTAAAACTAACACTGAGTAACTTTCACTCAGAAGTTTTATAGCAAAGTTATTGTGCGCCAATAATCCTCTGATTCAATCATAATAACACATAATGTGTTAAACCCGCTTTGGCTGATTTCTGATGTAGAGAATTTAAGGTTCTCAGAGAAACAGAAAACGCATCAAGTTAAGTTGAAGTAGAAAACAACCGTCTTATCTTTGCCTGACAGAGAATAATTCGTTTCAGTTTATTTTTCCAGCAAACTGAAAAATAATCTGAGTCCGGTCTCCCTCCTTCCTCCAGGTGGTAAAGGCCTTCGACCACAAGTCTCAGGCCCACGTGGCCCTGAAGATGGTCCGCAATGAAAAGCGTTTCCACCGGCAGGCGGCAGAGGAGATCCGCATCCTGGAGCACCTGAGGAAGCAGGATAAAGACTCGAGTATGAACGTGATCCACATGCTTGAGAACTTCACCTTCAGGAACCACATCTGCATGACCTTCGAGCTGCTCAGCATGAACCTGTACGAGCTCATCAAGAAGAATAAGTTCCAGGGCTTCAGCCTCCCGCTGGTCAGGAAGTTCGCCCACTCCATCCTGCAGTGCCTGGACTCGCTGCACAAGAACCGCATCATCCACTGCGACCTCAAGCCTGAGAACATTTTACTCAAGCAGCAAGGACGCAGCGGCATCAAGGTACGACGGACGAATCCAGTCTGTGCCGCCAAAAACTTGATGCTCTGTCTTTAAGCCAACCTCTCTGTCTCTCTTCAGGTCATTGATTTTGGGTCTAGCTGTTACGAACATCAGAGAGTTTACACCTACATCCAGTCCAGGTTCTACAGAGCGCCGGAGGTCATTCTGGGTGAGAACAAAAGTAGCTTTAGATTTCACTTAAAGTTTAGTGGTGTTTTCCTTGCAGCCTTGAAAATTTAATTTGTAGAGTTAAGGTTCTCTGCAGGGTTCATATTCATTTGCAGGTTAAAGTTTGAATTTTGAAGGACAAGAAAAACACATCATAGCACATACTGGTGGCATTAAGGATAGTGGCATTAAGACTAGAAATTAATTCTATTATTTTTGCGATTGTGTGCTATTTGTACCTGATAGTTAAGCAGCTATAGCTTTTTTACGAGATGGCCCCAGTAATACACTTTGTGTCATGAAACTAAGCGAGACTCCCTAAAGGTGCAAGTGCTATTGCTTCAACCAGGAATCACTGGACATCAGTTGTCAGAAATACCCCAGAGTATCTACACACCATATTGACTCATTGTCTTTCTCAAAAGTGTAACTTAAAAAGAATAAAAATATTATCTGACAGAGTTAGTGCTTTGACATCATCTTCTACCTTTGAGTCATAGTTTCAGTGGTGTATTTGAGTAATGAATCTAAAAGTCAAGATCATTATCATAATTTCAAGCTGTTAGCTATTCAAGTCCTGTGAAAAATTGTAATTCAAAGTTTATCATTTAATAGATCTAGTAAAAATTATTAAGTACGACGTGTAATAATCCCTGGTTATAGTGTCATTGCTGGTTAAACTCTTGTTTCTATGGGTTGATCTTCTCTCCAGGCTCCAGGTATGGGATGCCAATCGATATGTGGTCCCTGGGCTGCATCCTAGCCGAGCTGCTTACCGGATACCCTCTGTTGCCAGGCGAGGATGAAGCAGACCAACTGGCCTGTATCATCGAACTTCTGGGCATGCCCAGTCAGAAGCTCCTGGATGCCTCTAAGAGAGCCAAGAACTTTGTGTCGTCTAAAGGATACCCTCGGTACTGCACTGTCACCACACTGCCTGATGGCACCACCGTGCTGAACGGCGGACGCTCACGGAGGGGGAAGGTACGCGGCCCACCGGGCAGCAAGGACTGGAGCGCAGCTCTGAAGGGCTGTGACGACCCGCTGTTCCTGGACTTCCTAAAACAGTGTCTGGAGTGGGACCCGTCGCTGAGGATGACGCCCAGCCAGGCACTGCGCCACCCTTGGCTAAGAAGGCGACTTCCTAAACCGCCAACAGGAACAACCACAGGAGAAAAGACTTCCTCCTCTTCCAAACGGGGAACCACCACCTCCGACGGCACGATCACCTCCATCTCCAAGCTCGCCACCACCTCCTCAACCACCACGTCCTCCTCAAAAACCAGGACTAACTTGGCAGCAATCACCGATGCCAACGGAAATATTCAACCTCGGACGGTTCTGCCCAAGCTGGTCAGCTGAGAGTGAAAACATCCCGCCTGCTGTGGCGGGAAATAAAAGCGCCGATCACAAGCATCCATTAGCAGTCAGCTGGAACTGGATAAAACTGGTTTGATCCAGTTTTAAAGAGCGTTTGTTTTTTCACGCTGGTTTTCACAGCGTTGTTGGAGTGCTTTCAGGACAAATACAGCCATGGAAACTTAGTGTTGGAGTGTTAAAATGTGCAGCATGGCCAGGCTGGGATGTAAGCCGAGCTGAAGGAAACTTTACCGATAGATTGGGGTGCGTTCAGACTCCTCAGTCTTTAGGCTAAAAAACACATAGTTGTGTTAATGTGGGAGCAGTGAGTCAGGCCTGACCTCACAAACATATTTGAAATGATTGTGGAGCTGCTCAGACAATCAGAACACACACTCTGTAGCTCCAAACATACAAACAAACATGGTGCTGACTGAGGGAACAAGACTTTTTATGCTTTTAATCGAGCTGATAGTCAAGTCATTGATTAGATGCCAAAAATCTATGTTTTAATGACCTTAATCTTACAAGGATATATCTGCACACAAAAGTAGAGTAATAGCTAATGTTTACTGATCAATAAGCCAAGATATATGCTTCTAATGCTAAGGTCACGGCTGCAAAAAATGCCACAATTAGCTTGCTCGTCTGTCATATCACAAAGGCTTTGTCCACATGGTAACAGATATTTTTTAGAACATTTATTTCTGCTCATCATTTGTCCCCACAATGACCTCATGAGCATGCCAGACCATTAGGTAGTGATCAATCTGAAATGCCGAAGAAGAACATCTTATGCCTGCATATCGAGCTAGCAGCAATAAAACAGCAGTTCGTACAGTGTTGAATTAAAAACCCCTTTAGACTCTGTTTACACACGGACGAAAGGCAATGAAAGACATATGTTTTCAAAAACATCTGCACACATGTGGGCAGGGCCTCAGAGATGTATTTCAGTTTCGGGAACATTAACACAGAGCTTGTCCTTACTTTTGCTTAAATAGTGGCACAATGATGCAAAGCAAAAATCTACCATCCCTAACTAAGGCATGCTAGCTGGCTAGCATTCTTAGCAAGCGATTTTTACCTTTCTAGCTTTAATCGTTCTATTTCGATGCCAGACAGCTTTATTTTGCCAAGCTGTCACTTTGCTAACAACTGACCTTTAAACTCGCTAGCATTTAACTTTTTATGCTGCAGGAGGCAATGTTCCATTAAATAGCCTCTTGAAATTCATTGACAAAGGAGTCCTCACAAAACAGGGTAACAGTTGCAAAAAGTCCAGATCTGGCTTGCTAGTCTTGTGTTCATATCGCCATTACTCAGCAGTTTTTAGGTGTCAGTTTGGGGAACATCCTCAAGCATTACTTATCACTTTTTACTCAAACTATAATCTGATCAGCTCTATCCTAAGCATCAGCCCGTTAATCGGCAAATTTTCTCAGCTAGCAATTCTTTAACAGCGTTTAGCTAGCATGAGTTACCTTGCTAGCTTTGTGCCTATTAGCTGTGTTTACTGTTAGCGACACCTTGCCAGTTATTAGTTTTTACAGACAGCTGTTGGTCTATGTTTAACTGTCATTTTGCTGATGAAAATTGGCCAACAGCAAATTTTAAATTGGTCAGCTAGCGAAGCTGGCTCACTTTTTGCCTTTTTTGGCAGTCTGGTGGCTAGCCTTAGCCTTTTTTTTAGCCATAGCCTGTTAGCTCTCCACTGCTGGGCCTTATGAAGCACAGTGTTTTTTGAAGGTTTGCAAAGAGGAGGGAGGAAAAGATGAGAAGAAAAGGAGGAAAAGATGAGAAGAAAAGCATGTTTGAGTGAACTGACGGCCTTTTGTTACTTTTTTAATTCGCTAAATCTGATTGTTAAGGACACAAAATGGCGGAAGGAGTTGTGAGGATGTGAAGGAAGGTGGAGAGACAGTTATTCAAAAGTTCTGTTTTAATCAAAGGGCTCTGAGAAAAAAAAGGTCATTGAAGGAGAAATAATGAAATATGGTGCAAGCATTTAGCATTTTTAAACCAAGGAAGCTGATTCACTTAGTAATTGATTTTAAAGGCTGTTAACTCATTTCAACCAGATTTTAATACAAAAAAAGCTCATATATGTTAATTTAAAGCTGATAAAAGAGGAAATATTGTCTAAAGCGCTGTAGTAGTCAAAGTTTGTGTTGCTGACAGGAGATTTTTCATCCTAAACTTCAAATCTTTTCCTCTGAAGTTTAGCTCTTTGTACATTGATACATCCTACATTTAACAAAAATCACAGTTCAAGTTTTGAAATAAGATTTAAAAAGAAGTGGACTGATGAAAGCTCTAGGGTTTAATTAAAAGTAACACTAAACATATCCTCTAAATCACACATAAGTAAATATCATTATCCAAAAGGGTCCAGTCACATCAGTATGCCCTGCCATCACTTTTGTGTTTCAGTAAAACTGCAGACAGTGTCGGACTAATCATGTAAACATGGCATTTGTCCATCCTATTCAGAGCCAGCATAACAGACATATGGTGACTTGCTACCTGTATTTTGAACCAGATTTTTCAGGACAGTTAAGAAACAATCTCCGATACAGGTCAGTGGAAACACATCAAGTGCGTGTGAGGTGAGTTTGGAAGTTTACATTGCCCTCAGCCGTCATCATGAGCTTAACCTAATTGTTGAGTTTCACATCACACGCATAGCCATGTAAATGCTGACTCGGCATCAAGCTGTTTTTGGATTCATGCAAGTGGGAGAGCAGAGAAACAGGTTCATGTACACCTGGAGAAACCACATTTTTAGCCATTGAATCACCAATAGAGAAGCCTTTTCTTTCTCTGCAAGTAGGACAGAAGATAATGTCTATATTCTGTGAAATATTTTACATTTCATTTTACAAGGAAATTAGAAGTTTTCCAGCAGTATAAGTTTTTGCAGCGTGTGAATAGGTGGAGTGTACAGAAAATTTCTTAAATCATGATAATATATAAATTGCGTGATACAGTTCATTAAAATTTACCACATTTTAGTTGGGTATACCTCCTCAAGGCTGGGTCACCTGCGATGTAAAAACAAATTTAAAGCTCGTGTATGCAACTTTCAGGTTGCCTTGATTTTGGTGCCCCCAGTGGACAGAGCAAAAACACTTGCTTCTTTGCAAGTCTTGACCCGTGTTTGTGGAAAATGGTGTTATCTCTTAAAAAACTCTAATGCCTTCCATAAATGGTCAAATGTATTACTCATTGTGAAGGTTTGCAAGGTAAATGAAGCTTAACACTCTTAGTCAGTGTCATAATGTAAAAAATCTCTTACAAGAGCTTTAAAGTAAAACCATGAAAAACAAATGAAACTATTCCAGCGAAATTATCACATTATCAGAAATCAAGTGAAGGCTCCCAGAACGAAGCAAAGCGTGTCATAAATATTATGAGAAAAGATTTTAATCATGTCATCAGCTTCAGTGAAAGTTACGACAATAAGAGTATTATTGTTTCTGTCTTCATTGACCTGGTGCATGCTGGGACCGTCTGCACCTTCCTGCAGGTGCAAACTGGATCAGCCAGTATACCCAGCTTTATCTGTCTTTATCTGCTGTAGCCTGTAATCTCAACATCACATGAAGGATCACTGCTTTAAAGGGCACTTCCTGATGTGACTGACCCTGATTCTGTCAGTAAACAATGATTTGTGTAACAGCAATCCCTGCACATACAGGAGATAATTAGGGCCAGGCAAGGAATTAAAAAAAATATATACAGGCAAAAATAGTTTATTTTTGTGTCTGAAGAATAAGGAGAAAATGGATTGAGTCAATGGATTCAAGTATGTTGGTCCTTAAAGTAAACTGCAGAAACATTCAGTGAACACAAAAACTGTCAGATATTTTACCAAATGCAAAAACATTAAAAATTTAAAATGTTTCATCAAGTGCTAAAATCACAATTCAAATGTTTGAAAAATATCCCTGAATATGCCAAAAACACCTGTTTTCTTTCACAATTCTTAAAAGGAAAAAAAAGTATTTAGTCTAACTTTTAGACCAGTACAGTTGCCTTAAAAGTCAACTGCAAATACATTTTATTAAAAGAAAAAAGAAAAAAATTCTCTGGGATGCAGGTTAACATTGAAAATATTACAGAGCAAGTACTAAAATGAGTCACAGGTGTTTTTATGGTGTCATATGTCCAGCATTATTTTTATTAGTAATTCTTTTATTCTTGTAAAAGTGCATTACATTCAATATTTTAAGTTTGAATATATATATATATATTTTTTGCAGTTGACTATCAGGGCCACCATACTTTGGGTCAGGTAAAACAATATAAATAAGAGGAGGAAGTGTAAAAGTCAGTTTGCCTTTTGCTGACATCAAAAAATAGAAAATAAATTCTCAGAATCTTTTTTTAAATCTATATACTAAATTTTCAGACGTCTTTGTAATATTTTGACATTTCTTGTATAATTGATTTTTTTTCCTCTGCCTGGCACTGTTTCTCAATTTTAGCAAAAAAGCTATGAAAGATAAAATATTAGACTGCATTAAAAAAAAAAAAAAAGGTAAAAACTAAAAAAAAAGTTAAAGTGTAAACAAGCAGATATTCTCTGACTGACTGTTAATGTTTGAAACTAAAGGTAGTATTTTAAAAAAGGATCTTTAAATGTGATCAAGGAGGTGAGGGAAGGGGTTTGAAGACACGTCTAATTTATTTTCCACAATTTAATTAATATTTATTAATCAAATCTACAAATTAACTATGATGTGCTGTTCACAGTGTATACTTGAATTTATGTGTGTGTGTAAGTCTGTGTGTGTGTTTGTGTGTGTGTGTAGCAGTGTGTATGTAAAATGTTTATTTTTAAAGCTTGTTCCCTCACAAAAACACATATAGTTAAAACACACACACACAAACATATCTGAACGCACTCTGCAGTTTGGCTCCACCCACTTAAGGATGAGTTACACTGGGGTGAGGATGGAGGAGGAAAAAGAGGAGGAAGAGGAGGAGGAGGAGGAAGTAGGCCGCCATCGGCCTGGCAACTGTGATGTAATGTAGCACATGAGGAAGTGGAGGACCATGACAGTGATGCACAGATGGAACTGATAATGTAAACACACAGACACTACCTGCTCCGCCCATCTCAGGGGAAGCTCCGCCCCCTCCTGGACCTAGACAGGAATGAGGAAGTAACTGATCGATAAAGAGGAAGAGAAGTGAGGAGGGGGTGGTCCTCTCTGATGTTTTTTTTGTTGTTTGTTTTCTAAAGATTTGATTGGTTGGTTGGTTGATTGTGTTTTTTAATTTTGTAATTTTTTTAGTGAGACGAGTGCTGAGAGTCGTAACTTTGTGCCTTCAGTATCTCATCGCCATGCCACGTCAACCCAGCACACACACAAACACACACAGACACACACTTCTGTACAGTGGTCATATCTAGACAACAATACTTGCTGATATTTTACACCAAAACTCATTTTTGTAGAAATCAGGAGGTAATCTTTCAGAGCAGCTCACAATGATGTCATGATTTAGTGGCCAAAGCCTGCATTCTGATTGGCTCCTTGTTATTTTAGCAAAGCCCAAAGATGCCATGTTAACTCTCTGACATTTGACCCCTGACCCAAGGCTCCTTGCCCCACCTTAAATCAGTGTGACCATAAAAAAACGAAAGCTTTATACTTGTCTTTTTTTAGTATTTTTTTACCAGCCAGCAACCTGACACACAATCAGGGCCCGTTTCCACTGACAGATATTTTTTTCTTCAACAGCACCCACAGCTTCATTTTCATGAGTGTGAGTTTCCAGCATGTACCAACAATCAGTTATGAAAGTCGTATCACAATATGACACCTCCAACTTTAGTGATTGGTAACCCCATTTTCAATTACTCTGCATGCTTCATATTCTCATATTCAAGACAGTTTTCCCCATAAAATGTAAACAATAGATCAGAGCTGTGTCCTGGTATTAGCAGCAGCTTCTCACCAGTAAGTATAACGCCCAAATCCAAGTGTGATCGGTAAACTCACGGCTATTGTTGCTAATAGAGTTTAAATCAGAAGTCACGCTCTGTCTTGACTGTAATTGGTTGTGAATAAAGAAGTTTTATTGAGAAGCATGGCCATATTTCACAAGTTAGCCAATTTTCAACTAAGAGTGAAGTGACCAAAAGCAGCTTAAGAGAGTGTTTAGCACTGAAAACATCGAACTAAATTAGTTATCTGTGGATAAAGGGTGCTCCTAGGGCTAAAAGAGAAAAAGTGCATTCAGTGGACACAGGCCCTTATTTCAGTTGTCTTAGATGCAGCGTCAATAGTTGCTATTCTTCTAGAAGCCAATTACTGCCAGAAGACAGTAATGGACCAAAAACAGCTAAAGAGGGTGTCTTTATGAAATCTCATTACTGCCAGAAGAATAGACATCTAATACAGTCAATTAAAGTCAAAACTAAAGTATTGAGGAAAACTGAAGTATTTCAGGGAGAAATATTCATTTATTTTATATTGATGTTAAATAAATATCAAATAAATGAATATTTTTTACAAACTAAGATTAGGCCTGTTGTGGTGACATTTTATGATCTTAGAATTTTTACTTTACTTTTTTACCGGGAATTTTTCTATTGGACTTTGTAATTGTCTTTAAATTTCCTTCTATGACCCTTTTTTTTAACCAAAAGAAACACTGACATATTGACTGAAATTGAGTCCGAAAAAAATATCAATATAAAAGTTATTACCTGTATTATCAAAACTGGGTCTGCACAGTGTTTACAGAGCCAGCAGAGCAGGCTAACACACCAACAACCCATTGTAGCTGTAAGCAAAGCACCTTTGACATCTACAGGTGTGTTTCTGTGCGTGTTGGGGTGAGGGGGGATTTAAACCATGGCTGCACAATGTACAGACACATATCAGCCAACTGTCGCCACAGGACAAAATGGCGACACCTGCTGACGACAGGGCTAAGCTAACACTAGCCGATCGACCGCTAGCCTCCAGGCGCTAGCTGCTGCACTGATATTTTCTCAACAGTGAAGCTAACACTAGCCTACTGCTAACTGACTGCTAGTAGCACCTAGCAAAATGGTGTTTTAAAGCATTCTTCTACATGTTGGTACCTCAGACTGCTCAGTTATCATTATTATTATTATTATGATTATTACTGTTGTCATTGTTGTGACTAACACCCAGGGCATTTGGTTGAATCTACCAAAGTGCATTCCTTTACAAAGCTAGCTGAGAGCTAGCTGCTCAAACAGAAACACAGGTAGGTAGAGAGAAAGGTGAGACAGAGAGTCAAAGTAAGTGATTGAAGAGGCAATCGGAGGAGCTGCCTTTCAGACATAAAGGAGGGAAGCAGAACACATGATGGTGTTTATTTTTTATTTTTATGTTGTTTTTTTTAGGCTGCAGTCCTACAGGAACATGAAGTCTTTAACCGACCTCTTGGTAGCATAAATAAAAAGACTTTCTCTGCTCGTGTGAAAGCAGCTGTAGCCTAACTAGCCCGCTAGGTTGTTAACATGCTAGCCAGTTAGCCTACTAGCTCATTCGCTATTCGGCTTCTATCAGGAGGTCTCTGCAGCCAGAAGTTAGCGTGAAGCTGCGCTGCATTTCTGTGACGTTTGCCAGCTGGGTTTTATTGTGGATTTTATCTGTAAATAATGTGGAAAATGTTTGAATAATAATTTTTTCTGGGGTTGAATGCGATGCTGTGCCACGTCATGGCCAGTTTTACAACGTACTGTATCTACTGTACAGAACACAAAAGTTGACACTTTTTCTAGTGAGCCTTTGTTAAATTTTATTGTGGTGGAAAAATTATTATTATTATTAATAAAACAGTTTTATTGTTCATCTGTCATGCATTGTCCTTTCTGAATTTCAGTGTGATCCAAAATTCAGTTTGTTGGATAAAGTCAAAACAGATATTTTCTGAACTTTATGATGAATTTAATGTGTATGTAAAGTGGAACAAGTGGCAGCTGTTTATAGTTTTAATAAGCTAACTGACTAATTTCAGAGCTTTATTGTTAGCTCTCAGCATTAACCTTGTGTTAGCTAGAAAGTCAATGATACAGCATGATGTCAGCCAGTCTTCCCGCTTTTTATGTTTTGAAATTTTCACTTTATGGCTAACATAACTACTTGATGTTAGCTTGGCAGCATTTGAAGAGATTTTTTTTGGCTAAAATGTTATGCCTTATTTGCCTCTACTCCATAGACCATATATACTATGGACAACTTGGTTCCACCCTCCGCCAGTATACGGATTTGAAGCTGAAAAGCTCTTGGTAATTCCACGCTTTTTCTCCATTTCCTGAAACCAACATTGCGCAGTAGCAGTGTACGGACTCCAACTCTTGCGCAGTAGCATTGTGGGCATTCGGCGGGAGAGTTGCTGTGATGACGCTCAGCTCAAACAGCGTATTCCCTGGGTGAGCTATGCAATCCTTGTACGCCTATCAATCAGGTGTCAATCATAGAAAAACATGAACCCCCTAATAACTTTTAAAAACGGAGCTGTGCAGAAAAAAAGAGGACTTGAGCACAAACCAGTCTTACAGTAACTTCCTGTCAACATCACAACCAGAGGGGAGAAAAATTTATATTCTGTGTAATAAATTTCTAAAGTTTGTCCACAGCTCCATAAGTATTGCTGGAGGAGGCGGGATTTATGACCTATACTGCAGCCCGTCACCAGAGGGTGCTGTTCTCGAAGTGGCTTCACCCAGCGAGGAGGCAGAAGGCGTCCATTCCATGTACAGCCTATGCTCGACTCACTGTCAGCTAAATTGCTTCATTCTACAACATTAGCAAGGTATGTAATGTAAATTTATAAAAGTTAACAAGCTGTGAGAAGTTAACATTTTTAGGATTATATCATTATGTTGGTATGACAGCATTTGACGTTAAAACAATACAAGGTTATGTCAGCACAAGCTAACTAGCTCTCAAACTCATCGACTTATTTGCTAAGATAATTACTCAATGTTAGCTTAGAATATAATTACCTAAACACACGTTATGAGATCTTAGTCTTTTTAAATTTGACAAACTTAAGCTCACAGACTAACATAACACAACATTGGCTAACATCTAAACTTTCAAGCTAGACATGTGATATTTGCTTTACTGGTCTAATGAATATTTTAGTTTTTAACTAACCTCCAAACTCCTTATTTTTCCTCTTGTGGGAAAAATAAGGAGTATCTTATCTTATCTTAACTCAGTGTTAGCTTGGTAATTATATGTAATGACAATAGCCAGAAATCTATAGCAGCATATGCTTGCCAACTGGCTGTGATTCAAATAGAGACGGGATGTGTGATTTTAAGTGTTTTTAAAAGCACAATAAATTGATTTTAAATATGCTTTTCAGCTGCATGTTTATACAGTTTTCTCTTAATTTTGACTAATTTCAATAAACAAGTCCTCTGAAATATCTTTGGTTGCTTAAAAGCACTCTACCCAGTGCAGTTACTTACTATATCAGCCCTCAAGACAAGTCTGCTGGAATCAACTACTTGTTTTCAATGATCATTTTCAATATTTTCCACGTCTCACAAAGACACTTTCCTTAGTTGATTCTTTTTGGTAGATTATTTTTCTCTCTCTCCCCTCTCAGGTAAGGATATTTCATTCTCTTTCTCATTCACACACACACAGGGTCGCTTTTTAATGTTCAACTACAACTCCGATGATGCTAAATTTAGCGCAGGATTGCCATGACAACGCCAGCTCTCACAGGTGTTAATGCAGTGTGGTCGAGGCGGAGGATGTGACATCACAGCTCTGTGACGCACAGTCAGGACTCACAGCAGCGCTATGGTTGTTAGATTGGAGCACATAGGAAAAGGTGATAAATACAGCCCACATGAGGGGGTGAAAATACAGTTCCTCTAAAAGAAGTCTTAAAATACAAAGACTTCGAAAAACTTTACTTCTTTTAAAACCCCTAGAACAAAATTTAAACTAACTTAATTTGCCTTTTACTCCAACAGTCATTGAGTGGCAGATTTACTGTTTAACTTGCAAAAACACAGTTTTAGTCATAACAGATGTACACTAAGTATTGTTGAGTCCTTGAGCAAGACACTTAAAGGGATATTCCGGCTTAAAACTTATTTAGGGTCAAACACACCATAACACCGAGTTAGACACTCCCTCAAGAGATGAGTGTTGCCGAACGCTTGCTTCTCTAGTTATATCAACTTTAGTAACGACCGCAGGATAGTAATACACAGCTGTCTGAGGAGCCATAAACAAACCTCAATCAAAAAGCCACTCTATAGCCACAAATAATGCTCAGAACAGCAACTAACTTCATCAACAGTTCATTCTTTATCATTTTCTTGAAGTAATAATCACCATATTAATCATTTTGCACTGCAGATGTGGTAGTTCTTTTGTCTTAGCATCTCTGTCTGGTTGCATTTCCATAAAGTAGTGATCATAAATGTTCTTCCTTGAGCTGCGTCACTCCGCAGCAGTCTTTAATGGACTGGCCTGAGGTCTCCTTACAAACAAGTGGCTGCTGGAAGAGAGTAGGTGAGTTGTGTTTAGCCTCTTTGCTTAAGAAATCAGGCAAAGCTAAAAAGATGTTTGGTGACTAGTGCTGTGGCTGGGACCCTATATGTACTGTTGATGAAGTTAGGTGCTGTTCTGAGCATTATTTGTGGCTATAGAGTGGTGCTTTGTATGAGGTTTGTTTGTGGCTCCTCAGACCACTGTGTATCGATACCCTGCGGTCGTTACTAAAGTTGGTATAACTAGAGAAGCAAGCGGTCTGCAACATTCATCTCTCGAGGGGGCGTCTAACTCGGTGTTCGTGTGTTTGACCCTAACTTAATTTTATGCTGGAATATCCCTTTAACCCACCTTGCCGTGTGAGCGAATGAATGGTGTATCCAATGTGAAGTACTTTGAGGGTCACTAAAAAGAGCTATTTAAAACCTGATGCATTACTATTATCATAAATCATTATGTTGGTTTGCTGCTCAACTCTTATTTGATCTTGAACCAATCTGAGGAATGTTGAAACAAGCTGCAGCAAATTTTTGTTTTTACTGAAGGGTTTGTCTTACTTAGGCCTGAAAATTGAAATCCTAGTTCTCCAGTGTCATCAATATATTTGAAGTTTTTCATTTGGACCAGAATTTTATTTTATTTTTTTTTTTTTGGATGAAATACGACAAAACATGAACAACAAAAGCCAAAGAGAACATTCAGTTCATCAAATCTGTCTGTAACATCGTCTTTTGTTGATCAAACTGCAGACACACACGCACACTTTTCACTGCACACACTCTTCTCTCTCTCTCTCCTCCTGTCATTAACAAGACAATTAGCTCACTATGGTAACCAGGAGCAGCCATGTGATTGGAGCAGCTGTGTTCCTTATTAGGCAGAGAGGAGATTAGCAGGAAGGACACGGCAGCTAAGTATAGATGCTAGCCTAAAGCTAACAGGCTAACTGTTCATAGCAGCAGCCCTCTGGGTCAAGTGATTCTTGGAAATGCTGCTTCAAATTTAAGATTTGAGGCTCAGTTTTAAGAATATTCTCTAGAATATAAAGTCTTTAAAGTTCATATGTTGTGACAGACTGCTTTGATTTAGCTGTTAAATTAAATTAAAGAGAAATCTTTCCCTTTAAAAAGTTGCTTAACTTAAAACTTTATCATGAAACATTCTCATTTGTGCACATACACAGTACAATTTTGACATTTAAGTTGAAAAAGTTGGAATTCAGATTTTTTTCCCCCTTATTTTTTCCTTGTTTGTTCGGCAGACAGTCAGTTCAGCTTTTTAGGGCCCGAGCCAGCTGCAGAGCAGCCGGGCGTAGGCCCTGTTATTCCTGTAGGGGTTTTTCTTTAGGGCCCGAGCGTAGCTGCTAAGCAGCTGCGAGAGCCCTCTTGTTCCTGTAGTTTCCTTCTTTTGTTATTATTATTAGGGCCATAATAACCCAAAAATCCACATTCTTAAATGTTTTATAACTTTTTATTTTTGTCCTCACTGGCCTCCAAGTTTTCTAGGATGATGCAATGTCCAGCCATCAACACATTTGTGAAGGAATTTTTACTCCCCAAAAGAGCGCCCCCCCATGGTAGGAGAAAAAAGTCAATTTTTTCTTGTCCCCTTACATAAAAATACACATTGTTGAGTGTCACGCCTGAACGCTTTGTCATATTGACACAAAAATTGACAATCATGTGTATCTCAATTAGATCTACGAAAAAGTCAAAGAGCGCGTATCTGTATAATGTACGGTTAAAGGGCTATTTTGCATTTTTTGCCGATTCGCACACATTGGAATGTGGCTATCTCCTCCTAAGGCTTTCGTCCCACCGATACCAAATTTGCACAGGGCAATCTACACCCCATGCCCATTCAAAGTTGTAAAAATCATGACGCTGCACCCCACGGTTTACGTTCTAGGGGGCGCCAAAGATGACCCAAAAATCCACATTCTTAAAAGTCATTTTGGCCACTGCAGGAGTACAGAGTACTGCAGTTCTAGGGGGCGCCAAAGATGACCCAAAAATCCACATTCTTAAAAGTCTTTTTGGCCACTGCAGGAGTACAGAGTACTGCAGGATACACACACATATACACACACGCCAACATACACACACACACGCACACACACACACACACACACACACAGACACACACACACACTCAGAGTCTGTTTTTTAGCACCTGCAAAAACATGCTGTTTACATATTTGACAAGAATGCAGAGGCTTCCTTTTGCCCCTGAAAAAAATCAAATTTCAAACACAACTTGACTGTTCATTTCTCCAAAAGACAACCATGAAGCTCCATTTCAAACCTGAAGCAGATAGTTGGTGCATGTGTACAG